CGAACACCCCCCCCCCCCCAATTTGAATACTTTGAAATATGAACACATGCTGATCCGAATACTTTGCTGCTGGTCCCAGAGGCGTTCGTTTAGACAAATTTTACTGTACTGTTAACAATATTCCTTTCTCTTTGTTTTTTAATTGTTCACCAAAATCCTTAAGTACAATTTGATTATTTGGGAGGGAATTCTGTTTGTTTGTGGCAACCCCGGTGGTAACACTGAGTTAGGCTGCAGGTTATGCCTTCCCATGGTACTCCATCCTGATACTCATCACATCGTTTTTATCCCGAGCGCATAGCTAGTTTCTCGGCTAGTTCCAAAATGTATGTTTCAAGGAGCCAAGTTATAGAAAGGCGAAGGGTACATCTTTCTGTTTTCAACTAAAAAGGTAGGAAGAAGGCCATGATTCATTTTTTATGAATCGCATGCAGGCCTCCTAGACTTCCAACAACGCGAACATCAGTTCTGATACCGCGATTACGGATCTCTGTGCGCGGTACAAGAAATATGTTCGGAAACAAGGAAATGGTGGTGCGCGACATTTCACGTTCGCGATATGAGATTCGTGGTTCGAGTGCAAGGAACGTAGTTCGCGGTATCAGAACTGATGTTCGCGTTGTTGGAAGTCTAGGAGGCCTGACATGGACTTTTCAATTTATGCTACATATAAAACTTTCGTTTCGAATCCGATTTTGTAATGAACACAATCCATTCAACTACCTGCTTCCTGTCGTGACTCTGGAATGCGATTACCCATGATGTAGTTTTGATTTAGATAGATGTCGCCTAACTCATGTTCATCTTGATTCACAAGGTTTCAAATGCTCCAACTTAATTAATGATCGCCTTGTTGAAATTCGAAGAAGACTCGTGTTTGAAATCCAAACCTTTCCAGTTTCGAATTAACAAGAGTGGTACATAAGGGTTTCAGTGCATAACCCGAAGGGTTGAAGCTCTCTTTTAAGGTTCTATTGACCTTCAATTTTCTCCCTCGGGAGATCATTACATTATATAGAGGTTCTTACTCAAGTAAATACCCTTTGCATTCGTTTGACTTCACTTCTTAAAAGAGAGCTTCGTCTTCGTTTAACTAGACTCTGAACGCAGGGTATCAAGTAAACGGTGTGCGGTGGTGGTCTCTAGCACCAACCATCATTGCAAAATATTAGGTGGACCGTACAGTAGCATTTAGTAATGATGGTTGGTGCTAGAGACCACCACCGCACACCGTTTACTTGAGTAAGAACCTCTATATAATGTAATGATCTCCCTAGGGAGAAAATTGAAGGTCAATAGTATATTATGCCCTTCAACTAGAACAAAGATAGAATACTCATTGCCTTCTCTTTCATATGTTATATCCACCATGTACTTGATTATTACACCTTGGATCGAATTATTAACTATCATTTCAATTTTGATTTGGAAAGTTCGTTTTGTAAAGGGTATATATTCAAAATAGTTATGTAGGTGGACCGTACAGTTGCATTTAGTATGTATCCGACAAGACTGACTTCTCCATTCTGATACTCATAGCATCTTTCTGTTTCACTTGAAATATCTCAGGGCTGAGAAGATTTGAGATGACATGGTTTATCATGATGGACTTCTCAACCTCATGTACAGTTCTGTGTGGAAATTGGCGTGACATTCTATGCCCAAAATTATCAAATTGAGTAATCATTACTTTACAAAAATAAACATATTATAACACTTCAATTAGGTAATAGGGTATAACTAGATACTATAAAAAGTAACATACTGCATTGTCAAGTATGGATATACGGCTAAGGAAAGTAACAAATATGCATTTATGAATTTACTACATCGGCCATTTTGAATAACGATTCCCATGCAAACAAATATTTTTAATACATTTTAACATATACGGCGTGTAGTCTTATGATCCTGTCCCTAGCTCCGATTTCGTTACTCGGCTGGGAAAAAAGGTTTGTTGGTATCATTTTGTTCCAGACACTCTCTAGAATAAATTCATCTTGGGTGGAATAAAAATGTGTGGTAAACGAATTCGCTATGGGCAGTTAAAGAGGCGCCATCTATTCATTTTCAAACAGGGGGTAGGGGTATAAAATAATTTTTAACACATTTTAATAGTAAAATGACATTGAAATACTAATAAAATCTTATCAAAAACATTATTTACAATCAGTATGAATTTTCTTGTGTTGATTAGGGTGAAAATAAGGGCATAGATTCGTTAAGGTACGAAATGTACTGAAAAAATTCATTCTGAAGGACCTATATATGTTCATACTACATACTTAAAATTATAACTTCCAAAATATGGAGCATATGTATCTCAAATGTGCTCAAAATGGTGTATATACTCTTGCTTTGTCATAATATTAGTAATAAGAAGTAGAAAAATGATTGTACATTTTAGAAATTATTAATTCTCATTTTGGCTTCTGACGTCCCAGGGGTGACCATATCTCACCTTAATAACTTCCAAAATATGGAGCAACGTGAGATATGGTCACCCCTATCCTGTATGATGCCACAATTTTCAATTTCAATATTTTTTTTCTCCGAAGGTACAAAAGCTATTTATCCAAGTTCAGTTCATTTTGTACCTTAACGAATCTAAAATAAGTTATTACACGGGGTAGAAGTACGAAAATAGGTGGCGCCCCTTTAGTGAATTTCAAGATATGCCCTTTTTTCACCCTAATACACACAAGAAAATTCATACTGATTGTAAATAATGTTTTTGACAAGATTTTATTAGTATTTCAATGTCATTTTACTATTAAACTGTGTTAAAAAATTATTTTATACCCCTACACCCTGTTTGAAAATGAATAGATGGCGCCTCTTTAACTGCCCATAGCAAATTCGTTTACCACACATTTTTATTCCACCCAAGATGAATTTATTCTAGAGAGTGTCTGGACAAAATGATGCCAACAAACCTTTTTTCCCAGCCGGGTAACGAAACCGGAGCTAGGGACAGGATCATTACATTTCTGCCAATTTCCCAAAAATGTCAGAATAATTTATTTAGAAATTAAATAGTATATACAGGGTGTCCAAAAAAAAGCAGGACCGTAAGAAAGTTGAATAACTCAGTCAATTTTGCATATTTTGTCTTGAAATTTCAGAATTATTTAGTTCATTCAATGTGAATTTTGTTGTGAAAGTTTGACAATAATCTGCCAATTGAGTCAAAAATTAAAGCTCCTTACAAAACATGCCCTAAATGTGCACCTCTCCTCTCTATGCACAATTTAATCCTGCGATCAAAGTTGTTGATGATCCTCCTACACACACGTCTTTCTGAATGGACAAGTTTTTTTCAAGAACAATTGCTACTTAGGCTTACTTTCCTCCTGATGAAGTGCTACAGTATCCATTGCATTCTGAGCAATGCACTGCCTGGGTGGCAATGAGGAAACATGGAATCATCAGTCCTTTTTTGTTCGAGGGTGACTGGGGACATGCTATCACCATGAACAAGGACCAGTTAGTTCTCACTTAGTTTTTTGGAGGTCACTAAGCACCAGAAGGGACATCTTAGGAGATAAGCAGTGGTTTCAACAGGCCAATACCACCCCAAAACTGCAAATGATATGCTGAAATGGTCTAGGCAATGATTTGGTGGTCAGCTCATCAGTTGCAGAACGCAAACCATATGGGCAGCTCATTCCCCAGATCTAAATCCCCCAAATTTTTATCTTTGGGGATTTCTCAAGCCCAATGTGTATACAGACAGGCCCCTAACAATCTTAAGAGGGCAATAACTACCCCAATATTTACCATCCACATTGATGTGTATAGGTCAGGGTCATTAACAACTTTCTTAGCAGGATTCGTTTGTGCATAGAGAGGAGAAGTGCCCACTTTGACCATGTTTTGTAGAGAACTGTAGTTTTTGACACAATGGACAGATTATCATGAAACTTTCAGAACAAAATTCACATTGAATGAACTAAATAATTTTAAAATTTCAAGGCAAAATATGTAAAATTGACCGAATTATTCAACTTTCTTACGGTCCTGTTTTTTTTGGACACCCTGTACATTCCAGAATCAATACGTTATACGAGGGTTTATCATAAAATTCTCATAATATCTCTCTTAATTTTTTTATTTTTCAATAAATGAAATTTTCATGAAATCTGCAGTATAGAACACTGTATTAATCTATCAAAAAATATTTGGTATAACAGAAATATTAGGTAAGTAATGGTTGCCATAGTAACCGGAAACCAAGGCACCCGGGGGCAAATAGAAATAATTGAGAAAATGCGCATTTTACATACTTAGTAAACTCTCATAAATAAACAAACACAAAATGTTATCTTGAATATGTTGTTAAATGCTTTTACTATAAAATAAATTGATCATGTGAAGTGTAATGTCATAGAGGATGCTTACATGCTTCATCATCATCAGAAAAATAAAATGCATACTTACAAAAAGTTTAGTTAAGTTCGAAAAATCCTTTGCTCATACTAAGATGTTTTAAAACAAATATGTTGCAAAGAATATCAACAAAAGCATCCCCCTATTTGTGGTTTAAACATATTTAAGATAAACTTAAGGGGGAAATTGACTTTTCTTGGAATATTTGACAAAATAGTTGTAGTGTCTAACATCACTTCTAATGAAGCATTACAATTATCCATTATGAGATCACACAATTCACATGACCATTATAATTGTTCAAAACAGTCAAGAACACATGGTATTTGACAATTTGATGGGTTTCATATAGTTTATTTGATAACTAAGCATTTAAACATGGTTAGTTATATAGGGGCTATTCTTGCACGATTTTTATTTGCCCCGGGTGCCTCGATTTCCTTTTACTATGGCCACAATTTCTGAAATAATATTTCCTGTTATACCAAATATTTTTGATAAGCATTCTATACTACACATTCTGTGAAAAATTCATCAAAATATATTAAAAAAATAAAATATAAGAGAGATATGATGAGAACTTTATGATATATCCTCGTATATGTGAATATAATTGCTATCCACAAAGCAGATTTACACTACAAAGCACTATAAATACTTGTTTATCAAACGGCATACACAAGGCTTAATACTGGGAAAGTATTTGAATAGGACTTATTTTGAACAACGCGATATTGGTCTCTTATAAAAACACCAAGCATACTTTTACATGTATACGGTACACACCGTGGTACATAAGGGCTCATAAGCTGATCGATGGATGAATCAAGCAGGGTTTTCTCGATGAAGACTGACTCTTAATGGTCATATATACTTGTCAGGGTAACATTGTCGGTGAAATACATAAATAAGATTTCTGTGAAATAGATAAGAATTGTCAAACAGTTTGGAGCAAAGGGATTGTTAACAGTGTTAATAATGAACAATATTAAGGAAAATATAACTGGTGCCTAAGGACTGCTGCGAGACTTAATGGTTAAGTTAATCAATGCACATATGCTTTGAATCGAATCAGACAAATGTAAATATACGCGAGTAAATGTCCTTCAACTAAACAGCCAAACAGGAGTGTAAAATACAACTGATCAAATCTTAGACAGGCTACAATATGATGGTTAATTTCAATTTCATGCTGAAGGAAAACTGAGAGACAGTAATTGGATAGTGGGTGTCGTATATAGTGCAGTGCTTGTTGAGAGGTGAAATCAGAATAAATCAGAAAATACCATACTTCACATGTTAGCCCTGCAGTGCAATAATTTACAAAGATTGGCTATTGAAAATGAAGAAGGGTAAGTTTTTTGTCTTCTACTACATCAACAAAACACAGAAACATAACGCAACACAACAGAGTATATCACAACATAAAAGATCAGAACTATAATACAGCACAGTCCTCACTAATTCAATACTTCAAATACCAAATAAATATACGATTGGCATTTACATTTTGTTAATACACTTAGAAATACACTTTGTTATGAACCACCGCTGGCGGATCTGGGGGGGGGTACCAGGGGCGGATCTGGGAACCAACAAGGGGGGGGCCCAAAGTTGTGGTCTGAGAAAAAAACGTCCGAACGTTTGCTCCGATCCATCGGCCGGCGCCCGGCCGATTGAGTGTTTTGCTCAATATTGTACTCAATTTTGAATAAAATACTCAATCGGCCGGGCGCCGTAGTGAAAACCGGAGCAAATGTGACCAAAACATTACTGTATGCAATGTTACGGTTCCCAGTTTGATTTTCGATCGATCCAAGATGTGAATGTTAGAAATTGTGAAATATATCTATATTCTTTGTTTTGAGAATTTCGAATCTGACTAATTTAAATCTGTATCTTGGGAGTGGGGAGGGGATAACCTCACAAACAGCATTGCATATGAAATAGAACACCTGGGGATATCGTCATTTTTGTTTCTGTATAAATGTAGTCTTCCATGGTTTCAGGTAAACCTGCTCTTGTTAAAAGACTTGCTAGTGAAGCAAGTTTTGAGTAAGTAACCCCCTTATATTAATTGTATTTACATTTGCATGCTTGTAATATAGAGAGCAGAGGAATCAGAGATAGAATAAAATGTTTTCAAATATGTCAGGTACATTCCCCTCAAAAACTGCCGATTTCATTTATTTCATTAAACTTGGCAACAGAAACTTGCGGAGTGGAGTGTATTCGATTTTTGAATCACCATCATGCGAAAGCATGGCCTTTTATTAGTTCCTTTCTAGTTGAAAAGAGAAAGATATGTACCCCCATAAATGTGGGGTTATTTTGAGGTTTTTTATATTTAGTAGGATATTTGTTTCAAAAAACTCAAAATAACCCCACATTTATGGAGGAAAAGATATGATGCGTATCAGAACAGTATGACACGAACAAAAATAGCCACATTGCATGAAGTACTGCAGTTATATAAATTCTCACTTGACTGAGCTTGTCCATCCTTGTTCCATTGGTATTTCACTTCTTTCCATACCACGGTCCCGTTTACACCGTTCCGTATTATAGACTGTGGACTACTCTGATAATTGCAACTTCTACTTTTCATGGAAGGTCACACATTCCAACATATTTCAAACAGTCTGTATGGTTATGCTGGGCACTTTCTGGGTAGTTGGACTACATGTAGGGGTGGCAGACGGCCCTCAGGCCAATTCATACCCCCACCCCAAGAAAACCTTGAGGGTACTTTAATACCACCTGATAAAAAGAATACTAATGCATGTTATACATTCATAGTTTTATAGTAGGCAGGGCATACCATGGTTAGTCAGTGCCAGGAATGTCCAATCTCTAACTTATATGGTTACCATGGAAACAGTATTTATGTCTCAAAATCTTCTCAATTTGACCTCCTACAAAATATGTCCCTTAGCCCTCAAAGTGAAATATTTGCAAATGTGTTTGGATTTTGTGGCTATCACTTTGTCAAAAGTTGTATAAATATGTACATATTCACACTAAAGCATTAAAAAGTTTATATAATTCTCCAATAAATCAATGATGTTTATCAAATATAGTCACACACAACTACTTTTAGGGAAAAGTGGGCGTGGCACTTTTTGGTACTTGTGTAATTGTTGCAGCATTAAGCGAAAATACATATTACACTAACAATAATTGACATTTAATTATCATTTACTAACATTGTGTAACATTGTAATATGTTCATTATCATTATTAGATACTTAGGATATTTTATGTAAGTGTTATCATGAACTTTCCCTTTATCCCTATACCATACAGGGTGGGCATCACCAATGGTGTCAAACTAACTTTTCTGTTTAACTTATTTTTTACCATAGACAAGAGAAAAAGCTTTACTTGAAGTAGTGACCTCATTAGGTGCTATGTATATGGCTAGTCGGTAGATGGCAGCACTTGTGCTAGTTGGGCTAGATACTTGTATTTACCATTGACTTGACATATGTCACTTAGTCTATTGATTTACCATATTCGTTCTGTTGGATTAAAGTAAAACTGCATTTGCATTGAATTTGAATTTGATGATGTTCAGATTGTGTTTGAAACTTGATGATAATCAGAAGTGTTTGAAACTGGATGTTGTTCTGATTGTGTATACATGAACTTTAAAAGGACCACTGAAATAATAATTCAATGTTTAAGATTCTTTAAAATTATCTTAATGAGAATTTAGCCTGTTAACCTAAAGTTAAACTATACTTCAGCAAGATTTCGAAGCTATATAGCAGATCTCATCATTTGCAACTTTTTCATTATTTGATAATTTAACCCATTATTCATTATAGTGGGGGGAATTTAGTAGAAAATATTTCAAATGGTGATACAAGCAAATTTATTGGCTTAATCTGTTATTTAAACTATTTGGAAAAATTCTGTCCCCATGATCGATCAAACTGAAAAGACTAAAGCTGCTAATCACAACAAAACCTGAAGGACAATAGTGCCACAAGCAATGATACTCTATTGTTTAAACTCACGTCAAAATTCTGCAATTATTTTCTTGATGGTGTCAAAGTAATGGTGTTGTAGTTGTAAAACATGGTAAATACATTCATAAATCTGCAAAACTCACTCAGTACTCAATTTCAGTTGATTTTGGCAACTTCAGTTGTTTTGGCAATTTACACAAATTGATTTTGTTGTAAATTAGTGCATTTGTAAGTGTAAAGAATAAGAAGGGTTTCAAAAGTGAACCTTAAACTGCTCCTATGTTATAATGACTTTTAAAAACTGATTTTGTTGTAAATTAGTGAATGAATATTCCTAATTATAGAACCAATGATGTTAAATACATTAAACTTAATTATGACGTGCAGGGACCTGGGGACAATTCGGGAAATACGGGCTAATCTCCGCTTTAAGCGTTAATATCTGCCTTATTTAAAAAGCTAACTTTATGCATTATATATCATTTTGAAGTATTTTTTATTCGCATTTCACTGAAATTATTTTTCCTTGAAAAGTGTGATGGGATCTACCATATTTTTTAAGTTAAATGTACTCCGACATCGTCAAATACGCTGTAAGGCGTAACATTTCACGCTTACACGGTTCGTTGAAATCAGGATAACTTTTGAAATACTGATCAGAATTTTACTAAAATTTCACATTTTATTCATTGAAACATGTGCTTTAATGACGTCACAATTGCCTCGCGGCTACAGTTCAAATCGTCTTATATGAACGCTTTAAAGATTTTCAAAATTGTGTAAGGTTTTGAAGGCGAGGGAGACAAGCAATAAGTTTACCTTTATTTAACCTTCTAATTTAGGTCTGATTTCAAAAAAAATCTAACTGCACAATATTGTCATGGCGAAATTTACAAAACAATAACCGATTTCTTTATTTTTCAAATAATAAGAGAATAAGAGCTGCTTTTAGAGACTTGAAAAAATGTAACGCATCGATTTTTTACCACAAATCCCATACATATCAATTTTTACTGACGCCCCGAGTGGATTTCCTGACCGTTTTTCAAAAATCAAAAACATTTTAGAAATATTGTCCTCGAGATCTTCTTGCTCTGTGAATTTCACCAGGATTGAATAAGAATAAAGCATCTTATTTTTAGGTTGACTAAACTTGACAAAATGTAACGCTTGTCGTTTTTGACGTTATAATGCTGATTGCGCCCTATACTGGTCATTGTATTGTTTTGGTATTTTGACGCCATAATGTTACTCTAATTGTCCCCAGTTTCGTGCGACGTGTAAATAGAGTATCCATTGTACCAATTTGTGAGTATATAAAATAAGAAGAGTGTCAGGAATGAACCTTGCTTAACTCCTAATTATTTATTTTGACTTGAGTTCATAACAGTATTATGTGTTATGTGTGTATGTTGTATACTACAGCTCTAAACATAAACATGTCTCATCATACTCTGATGAAATCATAGCAACCTCTCTTTTATGATTACATTACATTACATAGTACTACATAACATTACATAGTACTACATAAACATTTCACCACGAGAGCATGAATTTCCCAAAAAAAAAATTTTGCCCACCCTACATGTTATTTAAGTCATACTTTGTCGGCCATCTTGGATTTTGGGGGGGAAAAGTGAAATATTCCGTCGATCACAGGGACAGATTTTTTGAAAAAGGTTTTAAGAAGCAGAAAAGCCAAAGTTTATACTTGTATCACCATCTGAAATATTCTGCCTAATATAGGGGTAAATTCCCCCCACTATTATTGCTGATTTAAAAATTGCAAGGAATTCAAATGACCAAGGGAAGCCAGTGATATGAATTGGCCTTATTCATTGAATAAAGTATTAAAGTACCCCCAAGGTTTTGTTGGGGTAGGGGTATAAATTGGCCTGAGGGCCTTCTGCCACCCCTACATAAAGTCCAACTACCCAGAAAGTGTCCAGCATAATCATACATATTGTTTAAAATATGTTGGAATGTGTGACCTTCCATGAAAAGTAGGATGCATTTCTAGAGCACTTCTACAGAATAGTCCACAGTCTATTAGTGGTTTTGTTAACATTAATACGGAATAAATCATACCATTTCATGACAAATGGTGAGATTGTCCTACGGAAATTGAGATTATGTTTCACAGCAAGTTCGCACGGCGTCATGCCGTGGTCACATTTGCTCCGATTTTCACCACCGGCGCCCGGCCGATTGAGTATTGTGTTCAAAATTGAATACATTATTGAACAAAACACTCAATCGGCCGGGCGCCGTAGTAAAAATCTGAGCAAATGTGACCACGGCATTACTGTATAGCACATGCTCTAGGTAATTGATTCTACTTTCTATAGACACCAAACACATCTCTGTCGATAGAATAATGAAAAAGCCTTAGGGTCCCAACCTCCTTTGTTTACATTTACAAAAACGTGAAAAATGACAAAAGCTGTTATAACTTTTTAAATCTAAAACTCTTGAAACCGATTTCACTTGCCAGCGACAGATACTTTAGTCTTTCACGAACCGAACATGTCAGTTTGGTTTGTAATATCTCCAAATAAACGATAAATAAACGCGCCGGCCGATGAAAATGTGACGCCGGAACAAATGTGACCCAGGCATCTGTTTATGTCCCCAATGCCTTGGTCACATATGCTACGATTTTCACTTCGGCGCCCGGCCGATTGAGTATTTTGTTCAATATTGTATACACGTTTGAACAAAACACTCAATCGGCTGGGCGCCGGCCGATAGATCGGAGCAAATGTGACCCAGACATTAATGAAATGCAAATTACTTTTAATTTGGATTCTAATGCCTTGGTCACATTTGACGTTCGTTAAATCAATTTCAAAATGACGGGTGTATGAAAATTAATAGGGAAGTCCGTAGCCGACAACCGAAAGTTGCATTTGCGAATACAAGTTAGGCTATGCTTTGTAAACGCACATTATTTACAAGTACTAACAATATAGCATAATAGCACTATTATATAGGCTTCCAGAAAAGAGGATTAGCTCCCAGCATTATTTTTTCTTTCGATATTCTCTTTTGACCGGTTTGAACCACTTCTGTAACAATATTCCTATTTCGTGTTCAGGCCCTTTAGTCGGGATATGAACATTATGATAATATTATTACCAATTTGGTCCATGAATGTCATGGAAGGTCGAGAAAGAATGCTAGGAGCCAATCCTCTTTGACTTCCAACATGCCCCGAGCATGCGCATGCTTTAATTATTATCGTACCTAAATAAAGGTACGATATTGTCTTCAGCTTGACGGGCGGGCGGCGGGCGACTTCTCACTTTCTTGTCATCACGATTCCAGGAAAACCGCTTGACGGATTTTCTTCAAATAATCACACATATTACATTGTAAGGATTTCTAGAGCTGATTAGCTTTAACGGCGGCCATCTTGAATCCTAGCGGCCATCTTGGATGTTTTAGATAAATCTTGTCATCGCGATTCCAGGAAAACCACTTGACGGATTTACTTCAAATAATCACACATATTACATTGTAAGAAGTTCTAGAGCTGATTAACTTTTCGGCGACCATCTTGAATCCTGGCGGCCATCTTGGAAGTTTTAGATAAATCTTGTCATCGCGTTTCCAGGAAAACCACTTGACGGATTTACTTCAAATAATCACACATATTACATTGTAAGAAGTTCTAGAGCTGATTAGCTTTAACGGCGGCCATCTTGAATCCTAGCGGCCATCTTGGATGGTTTAGATAAATCTTGTCATCGCGATTCCAGGAAAACCACTTGACGGATTCACTTCAAATTATCACACATGTTACATGGTATGAAGTTCTAGAGCTGATTAACTTTTGGGCGGCCATCTTTAATTCTGGCAGTCATCTAATAAGTTTTTGGATAAATCTTGTCTTCGCGATTTCAGGAAAACCACTTGACGGATTTTACTCTAAATTTTAATGTTAAGGAGTTCTTGAACTGATTAACTTTTCGGTGGCCATCTTGCTTTATGGTTCATCAAGCTCACACTGCTATGTTTAGGTACGATATTGTTCACACTGTGCCTTGTTTTTTGTTCTGTAACACTGTTACAGGTAATCACTCTATCGACAGAGCCTACTTTACTTTATACTAATAAGAGTAATATTAGAAAATAAGGTGAAATAATGTGTAAATAATTAAATATTACTGTATAGAGAGAAACCAAACATAAAAATGTTCACGGTATTAAAAATGTTGATAGTTAAGGTTAATTTCATCACGGTTTATCATCTATACCTCTATATGGCGAAGCGAAAAAATTGATTCGATGACTGTTGAAATTGTATCACCATATCTTCAAGTTAAAATCTTCATTTGTTACTGGAATTGTTTGTTTCAGATTTGACCCATTTCAAGTATTCGAAGTGAGGCATCGAGCATGTTCTCTCCTGTATGTCACTGTAAAATGTGGCCGCAACATTTCGAAAGGGTCATCCACAAAGGATCTTAGTAAGTATGCATTATTTTGGTAATTCCGTGCGATAAATCGTACCCTTCGCAGAGAGTTTGAAATCGAGCCTCTGAAAGAGAGCATACACGGTAGCAAAAGAGTGTTTAATAGAGAGCATTCTTCACTACACTCGTCGAATAGAAAACAATTCTTTGATTTATCATTATTCAGCCATATTTAGTTATGCAGATCTACCCAATCACAATCAGAAGCACTGTACTGTATTTCTTTCTTTTTCTCCAATAATGCATAACATTAATGCCATAAAGACTATGAAAGCAACTTTTTGGCCATCAAGATCTAATCAATATCAGAATGTATATTCATTTTTACTCCTAAGAGAGTAATATTGCTTGTCTTTTATAGTTTTAGGGTAATGAATTACTCAGATGCGAGTAGGTAGTTACCAGTTTCGCCACCAGGTGGCTGATTCGGGGGAAATAACGTGGCAGGGTATTCCAAACTTCCCTTAAACCTGAATATTCATCAGTTTTAGTGGTTCACTTTTCATATTATCCTTATGTATGTGATAGTTATACAAATTAAAATATGTCCAGTAAAAGAAAATATTATCTGCTCAACACAAGAAAAGATATTTCACATTTTGTGGTTTTACAACATGGGGTCTATGGGGAATCTCCCCGACCTAGAAGTCACATTTTCAAAGAAGATTAAATTTCCAAAGTTGATGAACTCTTTTCAAAACCATATATCTAGATGTAATTCTACATGTAGATTCCAAATATGACATCAGTTTGACTGAATTGTGAATTTTTAATGACGTAAATCAAGATTATTTCTACTCGCATCTAGGATATTGTGTAGGGTATAATGATATTGTAATAAGATAGGCTCGACTAGATATAGGGTGAGACAAAAAAAAGCTTTCAACAAGCCTCGGATCTCATTTATGATGGAATCCTCGTCACTTATCTTACGTAGAGTATTTAATGCGAGAAATAATATATAAATAGGACCTTGATGCAATTTGGGATTTAAAGAAATAAACGAAGAATAATTCACGAAGACGCAGATATCATATCCATTCGTGGATAAAAATCATATCACTCATAAATCATAGGATATCCTCTATATATTTAGAACATTTGTTCACATTGTTCAAACGTATCTTATTCATTTTACGCCGCCCGCTTAAAAATAAAAATCGCAATCGGATAATATTTCTCAAGTAGAAATCAACTACTTGGAAAAGGAAACAATTAGTTTAGTATTGCCATCTACTATAGCCTTTCAAATTCTCGAGTGTTTTCTCGTATACCTAATTAATTTGAATTCTAAGAAAATATTAATGATTGTGCAAAAATGAGTAGATCGTCTTACTGCACTCATAGTTTCACGAATGTACTATACTGTTGTGGCTTTAACATCATTGTACACGTTTGTACTTCATTTAACAGCACACGTATAGCTTTCGAGGAGGATCCCCGGGTGCACGATGGTTGGCTTCATTGATCATCGAGGAATACTTCAATAAAAATAATGACCTTGACCTCATTAATTAAGGATGGTTACATAATAAATTAATTCAGAGATGTTTTTGTGACTCTGATTAATTATGGTCACAATTGAGGATTTTGGGTTACGTTGCTACTTTGAAGTGGAACCCATTCAGTAGTGATTGAAGATTTAACTACATCAGAGGTGGCCATATCATTAGAATCGTAAAAGGGTATCCGTTTTTTCAATTCAATTGTTTGTCAGATAAAAGTGGAAGATCAGAGAGTCAGAATTGTTTGACCGTCTGAAAAATAGTTGGATGAAACGGAATGTTGTTGGCCCAAAAATAGAACATTTTAAAAATTATTTAGATTCTCCTCCAAGTTTTTGTTGCACCTTTAACATTATGCCGTCTATCAGTTACTTCCGTTCCTCTAATGCTGTATTTCCTTGTCAGTGACGTTTTGACGTTCGCAAATGTAATATATGGCGTTATTTCGACTAAGTAGAAACCCAATGCTATTCCCTATTCAATACCTAATTGTATTTGTCAATCCCTAGGCTATAAGGCAAATGTATAATGTCAAAGAGATCACATAATGGGGCAAAGGGAATCGATGTCTATAGATCAAAGTGGTCTCCATGTCATTTTAATGTGCACTGTATGTTCAACATACCTCAGGTTATATAACATCATTTCATCATTTTCTATACCCGGTGCGTACTTTATACTTTTTACAATGTTGCTTCTTGTGCTGAACTCAATCTAAAAACAGAAATGCATTCATTGATTCAGATTTTTAACTGTAAATTTGCATTTGTGTTTTCACAGCCTGTGTATCATAAGTAAAATTTTTTGCTTTCTTAATTGCCATTTCTGTTTTCTCATTTAGTGGATACACCAGATCCTTACGTACGGCTGCGTCTGCCCAACTCACCCGATGGACGTAGGAAAACGATGCACTACGACAATGAGATAAACCCTAAATGGGAAGAGAGCTTTCGCTTCTATTTGGACACTGACAAAAATAATACTCTTTGTACGTTTCATATGTATAGTGAAGTATACAACAGTTAATTGTGGTAAAGTATAAGTGGGGTATAGAGGCCCCAGTGGCCAATGAGATCTCTTTTTTTCGTAGCAACTCTTGCGCCAAATATAGAACTGGTACAAACACTTACATAACACGAAATTGACTCCAGGCAATTATTTCAATTAGAGATTTTTTGGGGTTCTTTTGAATTTGTTTATGTTGATGGTTTCCATTCCGTTTTTCTCATTATGTGCACTTATTATTACGCTATCAGTAAGTTAATAAATATACGAGTACAGTATTTACATCATAAGGCTGGTCGCTTTAAGTGGTTTTCCAAGAAGCTGCACTATATGGAGTCAGGGAATTTCAGTCATACAAAGTAGAAGCTTAAAGGGAGAATTAGATCTAGCGAGCAAGCCAAACAAAAGTTGTTTCAATTTTAAAATATTTTTGGCACATATCACTCTTTTTCATGTCTATTTTCTAAGAACCTCAAAGTGTGTTCTATGTGTAATATTTTGAGTAAAATTTAATCAATTGTCTCTACGCGTAAAAAGTTTCATTTAGTGTACTTGCCATTTACAGAGAAAATGAATGAACTATTTCTGTTTATTTTTTGGAAAGGTTTCAAATATGCTTTTTCGGTCTTATAACAATTAACAGAATAAAATTTCCGTTCATATATTGTTGCACCATAATCATAGAATCTCGGTCTACCAATACTTGAAATACGGCAATAGAAAGTGTTAAATGTGCTTTGGTATGTTTTTCAAATGGTGCTACAATAACCAATCAGTATACACAGATTCTAGCAATGGTATAATAATATATGTTATTCCAGACTTGGATCTGATGGATGCCAATGTCATTTCTGATGAAGTCATCGATACACAAGAATTCAAACTCAACAATTTAGAACCTGGTCGTGCTGAGCATATTACGTTTAAATTTAAAGAGGTAATTATCAGCTAAGACTGAAATTCATGCTATTAAGGTCTCCTCATATCTGAACGAATCAACTAAACGTAATCTTTGGATAAATTGGATAAAGTGTCAGTGCTGACGATTGGGAACGTAAACTTGCGAACCAAAGCGCACCTTTGCGAAACCTTCCGAAAGGGTACTTCAGCATACGAATGCCCAAGCAATGTGTTGTGTATACTGTATACATATATACTAATGGGAATGGATTTTACTCAAGTCCTATTCTCAAATACACATAAGTTGACGTCGGTTTTTTTTCGTTCATATGCGAGGAGGCCTTTTTCGTTTTACATACATGTAGATACTTAAAAACAATTTATAACATGATAAAAGCCATGCATTTGTGTTCAAACTGATCTTTACATATTTATTAATTTTTTATTTCCAGTCATCAGAGGTGGATGTCGATTTGAAATTGGTTTGAGTAAGTTTTAATTCACCAGTATTCATCTTCCCACGCTCGGTCATTACTGCATTCTCAACAAAGGTGACATCAATATCAAGACAATCATTTCTAAACCAAAAGACACATCTTGGCATTCTACATCAATCTGGTTTATTAAAAGATATATGTATGATATCATATGATTTGGGAATTATAAGTGTGCACTAACACCCGGTACGTACACTTGACCCCGCTTTTTCAATTTAATGAGCCAGACAATTTTAATTACCCTTTGCATTCGTTCGACCGACATCACTTCTTAAAAGAGAGCTTCGTCTTCAGTTTATAACAAGACTCTGCGCGCAGGGTAATTTTTAATAGTACAAACTAGAAGAACAAATACCCAGATCGAGACTCTTTTAATATCTCATTTATAATTTAGGACAGAACCCCCCGACACTGTACTTCACGTTACCGTTGAGACAGGAAATGACATCACTAAAGGAGGATGTATAGCAGATATGAGTACGTATTCAATTTCTTCTTTATATAACATTTCATATAATAAGGAATTGCAACTTCTTTTACATTTGTAAACGATTAACAAGCCAGCTTCTTTGTTAGATTACATCTGGTACATGTTGTTAATAACGGATATTAAATATCAGTTGATGCGACACCCGCGGCATATTAGAATGCTTTTGTGCCGTAATTGTCATGCTAAGTGTATAATATTATATTTCAGTTGATACTCCCGATCCTTATGTGCAACTGAGAGTGCCAGCATCTGTATCAGGTCGTAAGAGAACAGCTTACAAGAACAATGATGTCAATCCAGTGTGGAACGAAAGTTTCAAGTTCACGTTGGATCAAAATAAGAAAAATAAACTAGGTACGCACAGATCTTTGACTTGGCATCAAACCGTTGAGTGTATTTCAAGAGGTTAATTTCAAGAAATTCCATATTATTAAATGATATAAAACGTATGGCTAAATGTGTTTTTTTCTGAAAATAAACATTTTCCTGCGGAATCGATAAGCACAATTATAGACCAAACTCATTAAAAATGAAAAATGATATCAATCAAATACATTGAAGTGATCCACAAGTCTGGTTATATTTTTTAATGATACCTAAACATAAAATATGTCAAAATAAAAAGCCCATCATTCACATGTATACTGCTTTGTGTTCCAGAGATTACTCTAATAGATAAGAATATTGCATTTGGTGATGAGATACTTGGAGTGGAGGGATATGACCTGGATACATTGCCACTAAACGAACATCGCAATATTGAAATAAAATTCACCAATACGTCAACAGTCCATTTAAAACTTAGAAAAACTAAAGAGTAAGTACAGCCTTTGATAGGAACTAGTTGTGCAAAGACTTAAAGCCCCCGGGCAAAGTTTGGAAATATTGTAATCGTTGGTGAAAACGGAAAATTTGAGTAATTTCTTATTTGATAATTTGTAATTGCACATCTGTATCCATTCAATATTTACTTTTATGTCTATTCTTATTTTCAGGGAGCATAAAGGCTTGCGTTCCAGTCTTGCTCTTTGTGACGAAGAGAAAATGTTCCAGTATGCGCGCAGAGAGAAGATATTTCACAACATGCAATACATCTTGGGCGAAGACGCCCCTTCAAATATTAGCGAAGTATGTTTACAAAATGTATAGTTGTAGCTCTATTTTGGATTTCAAAACGAAACCGAATTAGTTTTAAGGCAAAATTATTTATTTATTGTGATATTGTAGTTTTTTATTCATTTATTCATGAATTCATTTTGATTCATATAATTCAATTTTATACCCCATTGTAGAGATCGAGTCCAACATAAAATTTAAACTATAACTTGAAGTATATTGTTGTGGAAAATATTCCTTTAACAAAAATCTCTTTTGCTTGTGTATGATTTTCTTAGGTTCCTCATATAGCAGTACTGGGCTCTGGAGGTGGTTTCAGAGCTATGGTTGGATTGAGTGGTGTATTCAAAGCTTTATCAGACACCAAGATACTTGACATGGTGGAATATTGTGCTGGGCTCTCAGGCTCATCGTGGTAAGTAAATAAACATAACTAGCAAGATCAACCATATTGTATTTAGATTATTCAAGAATTTCAACTGTTTAACATTCAATAAACGATCGTAAATCTGACAAAATGAGTGGAGAGGGGGAGGTATGATTTATGCTATTTCAATTTCAACTAATCTTGCTGCAATGATTTTTTCATGAGAAAGTTCACTAATTACGCTAAATGAATAGATGCATGGTATGGTAAACTCTGTCGGGTCTTATATGATTTTTTAACTGATACCCTCCCGCAACGTCACCAGCTTTCAAAAGTCAATATGTTTGCTATAAATCAAGCAGTGAATGAGTCAGTTGCACCTCTTTGAATAGGTACATCTTAGAAATCAGTTCAAAAAAGTATAGAATACCTAATAGATTTCAAGATAACGTGTACCATGGTATATATTTATTTAGCATTTGAAAAAATAAATCTTCTATGAGAAATCATATGGTTGATCTAGTTTGGGGTTTTATTGTGTTGAATTATTCTCAACACATATTGCACACGTCTGATCTGATAATGCGTATTTATGAGCATATTTTATACATACATATATGGTACTTGTAAATGTGCGAATTTTAAATAAATAAAATTAGTAATTAAAAAATTAAAACTAACATGCAATTTTTTATCTATCATATTAAAGCACGAAATGACGATTGAATTATTGTGCAGTGAAAAAGAGGGTTTATTTTTAGGTATATATCTCAACTATACTCCCACAAAGACTGGCCTAATATCAAACCAGGCAAACAAAATCTAGAGCTACGCCAACGTATCGAATCTTCATGGACGAAACTCTTAATAACGCCAAAAACCATGTACAAGTACATATCCAGTATTATTTCCAAACGTCGCCAGGGGCAACCAGTCAGCTTCACCGACTTCTTTGGCCATTTGATAGGAGAAACTCTCATAGGAGATGTAAGTTTTAATATTGAATATCAAGAGTGTAACATTTTTCTATTGTGATTATATTAATAAATCGAAAAACGGATTTTTATAATAAAAATTAAGAATTTTTATGTTGAAATTACATGAACTCAATCTCTAAAAAATCACTGGCCTCGAACCTATAAGTGTTATTTTAATGTTATTTTCTCATGGAATAATCTTGAAGTCGACGTTAAGCACCCTTAACCATCCACCTCAAAGAGATCACCATAACAACAGTTGGTGTGATGGACTGTAACCTTAGTTGTGAAGTGTAATGCATGAATAAAGGTATTTCATATCCCAATGACTATCTTGTTACAGAGGATGGACTGCAAGCTGTCTGATATGGCTGCCAAGGTAATTGATGGCCAAGCCCCGATGCCTCTCATGACGTGTCTCCACGTAAAGAAACATGTGTCAGCAATGGTCTTTCATGGTGGGTTGGATCTGAGCTAGCTATAACAAGCCATTACTACACTTCCTTTCATAAGTTTGTCAACCGGCAATTTTCATTGGATAGCACTTTAGTAGCATCTTTAGTAATTATCCCAACGAACGAAGTTCGGTAGGGATATAGTGAAGCCGTCCGTCCGTCCGTCAGTCCGTCAGTCCGTCCGTCCGTCCGTCCGGAAGATAACTCAAATATTAAAGAAACATGTGTCAGCAATGGTCTTTCATGGTGGGTTGGATCTGAGCTAGCTATAACAAGCCATTACTACACTTCCTTTCATAAGTTTGTCAACCGGCAATTTTCATTGGATAGCACTTTAGTAGCATCTTTAGTAATTATCCCAACGAACGAAGTTCGGTAGGGATATAGTGAAGCCGTCCGTCCGTCCGTCAGTCCGTCAGTCCGTCCGTCCGTCCGTCCGGAAGATAACTCAAATATTAAAGAAACATGTGTCAGCAATGGTCTTTCATGGTGGGTTGGATCTGAGCTAGCTATAACAAGCATCTTTAGTAATTATCCCAACGAACGAAGTTCGGTAGGGATATAGTGAAGCCGTCCGTCCGTCCGTCAGTCAGTCAGTCCGTCCGTCCGGAAGATAACTCAAATATTAGTTGACGGATTTTCTTCATATTTGGTGGAAAGATGTATATTGATGAATAGTTTTACGCAAAAAAAAACTTTTTCAAGATGGCCGCCGCTTTAAAAATGACGGGACTTCTTCTTAAAAATCATAAATTTTTCATTCTAAACCAAAGTAATTAATATTATTGTTTGAAATTTTGGTAGTATATTCGCAACATCTATCTATTTCACATATATTCCGTGTTATTCATCCTGACCCCCAGGGGTCGTGTATGGGGGTCAGGAAAACAGAAATTTTCGCTAATTTTTAGATCTTTCTGAAGTATAGCTTTATTATACTCAAATGAAAGGCAATTAAGAGTAGATTGCAAATATTGTATCTTTTTTCTGATTCGAGCCTCGTAAAATTCAAAATGGCCGTCTAATGTACGATTTCGCAATACTTTTTCGATCCCTTCAAAGTATGGCTATATAATACTCAAATTGAAGGAATTTTGGAGTAGATCACAATTATGGTATTATTTGTCAGATTTGTACCTCAGAAAATTCAAAATGGATTTTTTCAAGATGGCCGCCGCTTTAAAAATGACGGGACTTTTTCGCAAAAATCATAAATTTTTCATTCTAAACCAAAGTAATTAATATTATTGTTTGAAATTTTGGTAGTATATTCGCAACATCTATCTATATCACATATATTCCATGTTTTTCATCCTGACCCCCAGGGGCCCGTGTATAATAATGGTCAGGAAAACAGAAATTTTCGCTAATTTTTAGATCTTTCTGAAGTATAGCTTTATTATACTCAAATGAAAGGTAATTAAGTGTAGATTGCAAATATTATATCTTTTTTCTGATTCGAGCCTCGTAAAATTCAAAATGGCTTTTTGATCCCTTCAACGTATGGCTATATAATACTCAAATTGAAGGAATTTTGGAGTAGATCACAATACACTGTATTATTTTTCAGATTTGTACCTCAGAAAATTCAAAATGGCTGCTTTGCAGGAATTCGCAATTCTAAAATCTAAATTTTTCAATTTTAACCAAAGTAATGAGTATAATTGATTGGAATTCGGTAATTGATATTCTGTTCGTTGGGATTTGCTACTCCGCGGAGTTGCCATTATTGTTATTTTACTAATTTTAACAGGGTCAATAATTTTTTACCCTGCGCGCAGAGTCTAGTTAAGATGAAGGTCTCTTTTAAGAAGCGAAGTCGAAATATTGCAAAGGATAGTATTTTTTCGGCGTAGGCCTTGCACCTGCACCTGCACCTGTAATTATAACTTGTTTTGCACTGGTATAAATATATGAAATAAAGAAAACAGACTAAAATATGCTTCGATGTGCCCAAGTTATCAATCACATTTAACGTTCCATATTTATAAAACAAGGGCTTCAACAGAATGTTGTTGACTATATTTTGTTGTTTACATTTCAGAATGGGTTGAATTTTCGCCATTTGAAATCGGAATGCCAAAATATGGTGTGTTTATGAAGCCCCATCATTTTGGGAGCAAGTTTTACATGGGTCGACTTCTGAAAGAACACAACGAGCCACCATTGCATTTCTTACAGGGTGAGGATATAAAAAGCGACATCTTTTAGTGGGTTTCTTTGAAATGGTGGACATAGAGTATTTTTGTTAAACGTACATTGTAGTTGTTCAGTTTTTGTTCAGTGACATGGGGCTTATGTGTTTTGAACTCCAATGCATACAGCGGGTTTGTAATGCTGGGTATACAAAAGGGCAGCGAGACCTGAGGGCAGAGGCCATATATAAAACTCAAAAATCAAATTACGTCGGCCTTGTGGAATATCCCTTGCAAACAGAGATATTTTTAGGTAAAATACCAGTTAAAAATGCCAGATTACTTATTGTTCTCGGCCTTCCTTAATTTATTTATAATATGTTTCTTCTACAGGTATCTGGGGCAGTGCATTCACGATTCTGTTCAAACGACTTTTAACGACGAGTGATGCGACTAAGAAAGACCCAATTCAGCTGATGAGAATGGATTCTCAGGATGAGAGAATGGATATGGGTAAGTGTTAAGTATGCTACTGACGTAAAAAATTCGATATTTAAATATTGTATTGCGAGAAAATGAACTTCTGAGGGGTGGGCAGTTAATAATCTTTCAGTTTCTTAAACATGTTCTTCAGGTGGGATTATTAAATCACAAAACTAGTAAAATAAAGGTTGTGAATAGAATAGAAGACAAAATAGTTTTGTGATTTGTAGTTCGATATAATTTGATATTTTTCTTATACTTTTTCGACATTAACTATTTGGAAAGAATGTCACATGGGGAAGAGCTTTGTATTCAGTTTATTGTTTTTATTCTTAGATTCTGCAGTTTCAGGTATGCATGAAAGCCAACTTTCTTATTTAATTTGCTTATTATGTATATCTTATTTAATTAGCATATTGCTTATTGTGCTTCTCCCTGCAATTGTGCAGTTTGTAATGTGAAATGCATGTATAGTGTATACCACCATCATTGAAATGTACACCATGTACATGTACACATGAACATGTACATCATGTACACCATCATTGATCCACAAGCCTTCTTTTTTTCAAAATGTTGTATTCCCTTAAATGTTTAAAATTGAAGGCTTTCCCAGATCCCCACCATATTAGCGAAAACTCTGGTCCAATGGATGGTGCTGACATTAATATATGTCAATATATAAATGCATACTGATAAACATGTACCATGTGTTACCATATGTTAAGGTACATTGTCAGTGATGTGTATGGCATTTATTTAATATCATGCCAATGTGATTTTAGTAATAGATATTTTGTTTTATCCACTCATAATATCAGTTAACTAGAGTTTAAGGCGTTTTGTTAACAAATGTAAATTTTTGCACTTATTGTTTGAATTTAAATTGAGTCTTTTATATCGCAATTGCAGACACAGCTATAACTAATGATGCTACTGTTGACACAGATGACGAGGAATCAAGTGATGCGAGTGATAGTGATACTGAGAGTGAACTGGATGATGATGATGATGTTGAAGACCTTCTGGTCAACAACGACGGTGTCAACTCTGAGAGAAAAAACGAGTTCTTTATCGAGATGGAAAATATCGAAGAAGCAACTAATGATGCCCTTCATTCAGATGAAACCAGTAGTGATAGAGATGACAATCCAAATGACAATGTTAAATCAAATGAAAACATACCTAGTAGTGCTAAAGATGAAACCATATCAAGTCCCACATCTGCTACAAGTCAGAGTACAAACCCAGCAGAAATATATAAACGGACATCCAGAAGGATGTCTCTAATGGGCAAAGTAAAACCTGTACCTCAAGGCCCAACTGTGAAGAAGCTTCGAAAACAGCAATCAAGCTCTCAGAAAAAGTACAAGAGTAGAAGTATGTGGCAGACAATGCTTATGTCAATGTTTGAGAAAAGCGAATTGTTAAGTACAAGAGCTGGACGAGCAGGGCTTATACATAACTTCATGAGAGGACTACAAGTAGAGAAGGTCTACCCATTCTCACCGTTTTCTCCTACCACGCCATCCGACCAAAGTAAATGTTCATTTATTTCATTTTCAAAAAGCGATACTGAAATAGGTATAGTGGCAAACGTAAATCACGAAGAGCTAAATAATAAAGCCGTGTGCCCTTATTGTATGTGGTAAACGTAAATCACCAAAAGCTAAATAATAAAGCATTGTGCCATTTGTTACCATTTCATTTCAAGCGTTTGTTTCTCTAATTTCAGCCGACTTTAAGTCAATATTTGAAGAGTATGCTACCGATATGAAGAGGCTGTATATGGTAGATGGCGGACTGACTTTTAATTCTCCATATCCCTTAGTTCTACGGCCACAGAGAAAGGTCAACCTGATCCTGTCATTTGACTTCAGCGCTAGAGATTCTGATGATGCTCAACCGTTTAAGGTAGGATATTGGTCAATATATCTGGATATTTTAAATATGTTCTTTCTATTGCAAGAGAGCAAATGGGTACATTTCTCCTACCTAAATACAAGGCAACTTAATGTATACCGATTCATTACTTAAGCCCACGACCCTTGGCCATTATTAGTATGAATGGTTTACCTTACTTAACTACTACACCTACACTTAAAACCATGTGGAAATACAACCAAGCAGATACTCATATGTTAGCAATAACTAATCATGATTAGAACAATTTATTTGCTACCATTTCTTTAGTAACTACCAAAATAGAGACTCTCTTACAAAAGATTTTACCAGCTTTTTACTCGAAATCATAAGAATCATATTCCCGACAAGTTGCAAAAATTAAGGAAAATGCAAGACCCTGGTTTAATAGCAAACCTTCCCATGAATTTGCCAAGAAAGATAAACTTTATCAAAGATTTCAACATCTGAACACTGATCAAAATTACAATGCATATAAGATCAAACTTATGTAAAATCTTGATTTGTGACGTTAAGGTCAAATATACAGATTCAATTATTTTCCACATATTTGATTCTGAAGAAAAATTCTCTAGCATGGTAAAAATGGTAAAAACTTGACAAAATTGAACAAACATAACATTAATTTTCTCTTTTTTATCAATATTTGTATGATTTCAATACTTGTATGACATTATGAAGCCCGACATACACTCTACTATACTTGCATTTAGTGTTCATGAGCAACCCATTTGGCTTATAAATAATGATTATGTGACTTGTTCTTATTTGTCTGTTCCTTATTATTGGTTTATTGGATGACCGTTAGATGTTAATAAGGTACTTTCAAAAATATACTAAATAATACAATTAGACAAACAGAGTATCTTATATTATGCATTTCTAGGGGTAAGATATAGTAGAGTGACATAGGCCTACACCAATGGGGCAGAGTTCCACTTGCCTGATTAAGTCACACCGTGTCCCTATCGAGTTCCGCAAACCTCTTTGACTTTGCAACATGGAGTCCCATCGTGCCCCATTTGTGTATGTTGGGCCCATTGATCTTTTGAGAACGAAATAATAAAGCACGTATGCCATGCAAATATCACCAATCTTATCTAACTTATTTTATCGAGTTAAAATTTTATGCCTTAGCTTAGTATCAAAACGAGTATGGCCTATACAACCGGTATGCTCATTCCAGGAACTCCTTCTTGCCGAGAAGTGGGCCAAAATCAACAGGGTACCATTTCCAAAAATAGATGTCTCTAACTACGTAGACGAACCACCAAGAGAGTGTTATGTATTCCGGAATGACGACATTCCTTACTGTCCTGTAGTCATGCACTTTTGCCTTGTAAATAACGAGTTCAAGTTTTACAAAAAGCCTGGTAGGTATCATAACGAATTTTTTGTTGTATTTAAGAAACAGAATTTTGATTGGAGGTTTGTCTTGTTCTGCTGTTATTTTAATTACTAAAGAATTGTTGAACTGTTGTTATCCCCTTGCCATTGATTGAATGATAAAGGCACAAGACTCAATGAATTGTAGGGTGATTTATCAACGAAAGTTTTGTTTCCTGGCTTTGAATGAGAGCGACAGCATGAATTTAAAGTCTAAGATAAAAGACATGAATGGATCAAATCATCTTCAATTCATTAAGTCGTGTACATTTCACACATTGCAAAAGATTTCGCACAGTATTACTTATTTATGGATTTGAGTGATTTTAGAGGCTAAATGGTCAAAACTAGTTCAACACTAACGTACAATTTGACATTTGACCGGCCTGTATTAGCCCATGCCTTGCTATTCCTTATGATACTATTTACATGTTTTCACTTAACTGCCATGAACGTGAAATTGTGAAATTGACGAGGGTAATAAATTTCAACGAATCTAAAAATAGCCTAACCATGCTTTGTTGTAATTTCAAGAATGCTAATTATTTGAAATACTGTGTTCTGATTGGCTGGAATATGATATATATTGCCTATGTGCGAATGATGATTTAGAATTCTACCTAATCTTTGGAAAAGAATGGACATCAGTTATGTTGTTGATATCACAATAAATGTTCACACATAGCGTAGTACTATTCTTAATGACTTAAAACTGTTACAGGAGTTCGACGCGAGACGAAAGAGGAGACGGACTTTGCCGACTTCAGTTTATTTGACGACCCAGAGGCACCTTACTCAACCTTCAACTTTACATACTCAAACAAATCATTTGACAGACTTACTCAACTAACCGAGTTCAACACACGTCTCTGCGTGGATCGCATACGAGAGGAGATTCTCAAATGCATTGAGAATAAAAAATCTGGTCAGCGAGCCCAAATGTCGATGAAAGACATTCCGAGATTACGTCGTATGATGTCTAAAGACAATGCTTCACTATTGGAGTCATATATAAAGGAAGACGAGGAATCTAATACTTCCTCCCAGGTTGACTAAAATGTGTTCGCCCTTGTCCATTATGTTCATATTTGACTGGATATTGATCATGCTCCTAGATAATGTTTCAAGGGCATTATAAGGTACTTTTTAAGGTCAAACCTTGGTGTCAAATATAAACAATTACAAACAGCCATAACATTGTTTTTTCCTTGGTTTCAACATAGTTTATAATCGTATCCCTGAAATATGAGCCCCCATTACAATTGTTTTCCCCAGGGTGTCTCATTTTTAGGTGGGGTGGGCCAATTTATAAGTTTTGATAACGTCATTATCAACTTCAGTTAGAGTCATTCTAAGTGAAGCCATTTTCTTTAAAATTCTCCAATATCGCGGTTGTTTGAGCATCTATTTGTGGTTATTTACCTTTGTAGCTTTATTAATTTGCATCGCGAAACATTTGGAATCCAGATTAAACTTAGTTTACCTGAAATCGAAAACGAAAGAATTTCGGCAACAGAATAAAGCTAATTGGAGTTGGAGTCATCCAACTGAGGAACATTATTGTATACCTCATTGATTTGGTAATATGCATGCACCTCATTTCTAGAAATGAATTCTTGCCTATCATGACAACTATTGTGACATTTTATGTGAGAAGTTCGACATAAATAAAATTACCTGAATACATGATCAGTCTTTAAACTGTTTATTTAATGAAATTCGACTGTACAAACCCATGCATTAGTACAACTCACAAACAATATTGAAATCCAAGCCACATGCGGGTCCAAATATGCACGTTGAAAAACCGTTAAAATTTGAATTTTAGATCTACCACCGATGTTAAAATCAAAGATTTCGAGTCTCACACTACACCGTATATACTTGTTCCTTTAACAAAAATATCTTTCAGTTGGTACATTCAACTGCAATACAATGTCCCTCTCGTTTTAGTGGCGTTTTGGGTACCCAGCTTAAATCGTGACACTGGTGAAAATTCAAATTAATGGTTTTCCAACATTGATATTAGTTGGACCCGTGTGACCCAGCACGAGGATTAGTTTTGCTAGTTTCCTTTTCCATGTATAAGGTTAGTTAGCTATTTAACGGCTGGCCAGAAAATAACTACGATAAAGTGTATATAATTTTACATATTAAAACGACCACAGACATGATTATGCTTCATAATCAAACGAAAACGAAAATTCAAAGGTAAAGAGGCTTAACATGTAGTTCAATGAATAGGTTGCCAAACTTATTGAGGGGAGTGTAGGTTACCTACTTCGTATTTTGATTATTGGTTTTCAAAAATTACAAATTTTCAATCGTTTTTGTCTTATATTATTTGAAGAATGTTCAGAATGTCTCCGAGTGTACTAACTGCTTTTATGAAGTGCTGTGTACGAGGGGTGATTAGAAAATAGCGAAGTTAGAGCGGGGCGTCCAAGACTTTTGGATCACCCCTCGTATGTATAGAAATGATCAAAATAAATAAGATTTTGACTAAAGCTGAAAAGAATGAGTGAACGATGGATATACACGAAATGTAGTTTTTAAATATTTTATCACTGTATTCCCGCCCTAAGTTGGTACTGATGGCATTGGATTGTGATGTGATCTCTAACAATGAGCAGATGAACTGACACTACTATACAAAACTACGTCAATAATCCATTTGATTGACACATATGATGATTGACAGAAGCGATAATACATGAAAATCAATGACGAAGGTATCAGGTCGGCCATATTTGAAAAACACTTAAACTTTTTATTAGTTCACTTGTTTACACAAAATATGCTGAGCTAGAAGTGGGATAAATTCGAAGATATTGTTACTACAATGTTTCAATCACGGTTGTCATTGGTATTTCTCGTTGTTATTATAGGACATCTCTCGGTAAGAGTGGAATCGCGTAAGTACGGAATTTCCAAAAATTTTGCTTGCACAGAATAACGCAAGTTAATTTTCCAATTGGCAGTTGAAAATTCAAAGAAACTTATCAAGAAATTGACATTTTACTTGGCATGCTTGTCTTGGTATAATATGGACACCAACAAAGTGTATGATGGTGCTGAAAAGATTTTCTTCTAAAACTTAAAGAGATCCATTCGTCCAGATTTCTATTCGGGACAATCAGTAATGTCCCAATATAATTTCTCATAAAACATCATATATAGATATATCGTGAGACCAAATCATAAGCACAATTTGTCAATTTCACCAATTTATTGGGGAAATCAACAGGACAACCAACAGAACAACCAACTGTCAAAATTAAACACAATAAGTCGAAAACAATAAACAATGTTTTACGGGGATTTATCTATATCTTAACCCCCTAGAATTAGAAGTAATAAATTTGGCTCCTCTGAACCAAAACAATCTGTTCAAACTGAAGAAAAAAAAGCCAATCAGACTGGAACAACTTGAGCGGGCTTTTTAGATTTCTATTTAGAAATAATTCAAAGCTCAGCATCGGTAAGTTGATAAACAAACTTGTGTTACATCAAATAACGCGAAAAAAACAGGGGGTTACTTAAATTGTGTTTTTAGGAGACTCGATCTCTTTAATAGAATTGCCTGAGAAAAATTTCAGATATTTCTTATAATATAATATAGTGAAGTCAAGACTAGCATAGATTATTAATGGGTGTGTTGCTGTTCCGGGGTTGTAATGTAAAAATGGAATCATCTGGATAACGTGTCAAAAATACGAATGCGGTCCTAACATGCTACGTTCTCTAAAATATGAAGACTGCTAAGATCTAAAATGCTGGTCGCATATACTCAAATGTCTATGTGTTAACAATATAAAGTTCATTTCATTATTTGATTTTTTGCAAATTACAATAGGGGAACTGTTTGTTATTGACACAAGTTGGGGGGGGGGTCTAAAACATTGTATGTCATATTATCTAGAGAAAATTATATCCATCCTTGGTACAACTCATTACAATTTGACTAGAACATGCGAGTATACATTTCAGAGCAAGCGTGCATATGCCCAGATTGCATTGAGTTGCCAGGAGGATTCAACTGTGAAGCTATACCCAACACTGATAATTGCAACTGCGCAACGTGTGGATGTATTCAAGGTAAGTTCCCGGGGGTAAGTTCTAGTGAATGAATTTTCATTCATACTGTATACCTCATCTACCTTTCCACCCATAGTCCCATACACTTTCCTAAACCGAAACAGAGTTAACACACATTGGCAGGGCAGCCACAACCCACCACCACTAGCCATAAGTTAATACATAATGCATACGTATGCTATCAATATTATTAAATTATCATTTCTTCACTAAAACAACTTTATACGCTTGTTAAAAGGTCGTGTCAGTTGATGTATAATTTATTACGGAAAGCGAAAGGGGATATACCGCAGAATTTAAAATTCAATGGAGTTTTAACATGGGAGTGATAGCACACACCGCGGCCCAGTCAGATATATTTCTGCGCACTTTATTTATTTCATTCACTTTGCACAACGCGCCCCCTGTAATTCATTCAGTGCGCAATTAAAAATTGTTTATGAGTGATATCGCACACCGCGGCCCAGTAAGATCGAGCTGCGCACTTTATTTATTAACACACTCAAAATATCGCGCTGAAGCTTGTATATGCTGGCGCGATGTAATTATAGTTTTCTGTTGATAAATGCCCAACAAGAAACGGTAGCACAACGAATTCAACTTTTTTCGAAAGACTGCAGACTTGACCTGCGAAATTGTAATTTTGGATCACAGTGATGCCTCTAGAGAGGATATCTATGAGAATTACAGATTATAGTGCGCAGAATTATAAAGTCAAACTGACCTCAAAATGGTAGTACACAGTGTACACTGCCATCTTTCAATAAAGTAACTACAGACCTTCGTATACAAAATACCAGAATGATTGATGTAATACCTGTATACCATTTCTTCTGGGAGAAGGAAAGTTCCTATATGTATTCCATGGCCGTAGCCAGGGGGCCTCACCCCCTCCCCCTTGCCAAATATTCGTTCAAAATCATGCAGTTTTTCACCATTCTTAGTAGCACTTTTCGCATGATTTTTTGGCCATAACTGTCAAAAAGCTCCCCCCTCTTGGCCAAATCTCCCCCTTGGTAAAACCACTCCCCCAGGTTAATCCAAGATACGGGTCTGTATTCTTAGACGAGATTGTTCAAGAACATAAGGTAGACATAAGTGCCACCTGTTAAAAGCTAGGAGATATTTTCTAAGTTATTAAGTCATCAATCAGCAGACTGGTAATTGTATCCCCCACCCACTTCAAACTCCATACACTAACATACTATTACAATTTTATCTGTGTTTATTTGACTGTAGAAGGTGTACATTCATAGCATTGAATTGCATTTCATTGCATTGTATTGTATTGTATAGCACATCATTGTATTGTATTGTACTGCATTTTATTGTATTGCACTGCATTGTATTCTATTGCACTGCATTGTATTCTATTGCATTATATTGTACTGTATTGCACTGTATTATATTATATTGCACTGCATTGTACTTTATTGCACTGCATTGTATTGTACTGCAGTGTACTACATTGTATTGCGCTGCATTGTATTGTATTGCACTGCATTATAATGTATTGTATTGTACCACATTGTGTTGCACTGCATTGTATTACACTGCATTGTTTTGAATTGCACTGCAATATATTGCACTGCACCATATTGTATTGCATTGCATTGCAGTGCACTGCATTGTATTATATTGCACTGTATTGTATTGCACAGTATTGTATTGCATTGTCTTGAATTACACTGCATTTTATTACACTGCATTGTATTTTATTGCACTGCATTGTATTGTACTGCAGTGTACTGTATTCTATTGCACAGCATTGTTTTGTATTGCACTGTATTGTATTGCACTGTATTGTATTGCATTGTATTGAATTGCACTGTATTGTATTTTATTGCACTGCATTGCACTACATTGTATTGCACTGTATTGAACTGCGATGTATTGTATTGCACTGTATTGTATTGCACTGCACTGAACTGCGATGTATTGTATTGCACTGTATTGTATTGCACTACACTGTATTGAACTGCGATGTATTGTATTGTACTGCATTGTATTGCACTGTACCACATTGTATTGCACTGCATTGTATTGAAATCAACTACATTGTATTGAAATGAACTACATTGTAACTGTATTGCATTTTATTGCACTGCATTGCACTACATTGTATTGCACTGTATTGAACTGCGATGTATTGTATTGCACTGCATTGTATTGCACTGTACCACATTGTGTTGCACTGTATTGTATTACACTGCATTGTTTTGTATTGCACAGCAATATATTGCACTGCACCATATTGTATTGCACTGCATTGCAATGCACTGCATTGTATTATATTGCACTGTATTGTATTGCACTGCATTGTATTGCACTGTACCACATTGTATTGCACTGCATTGTATTGAAATGAACTACATTGTATTGCACTGCACGGCATTGTTTTGCATTGTATTGCATTGCACTGCATTGTCTTGCATTATATTGCACTGTATTGTATTGCATCGTATTGCACTGCATTTTATTGTATTATATTGCACTACATTGTATTGTATCATATTGCACTGCATTTTTTGCATCATATAACACTGCTTTGTATTGCATCATATTACACTACATTGTATTGCATCATATTGCACTGCATTGTATTGCATCATATTGCTCTGCATTGTATTGCATCATATTGCACCGCATTGTACTACATCATATTGCACCACATTGTATTGCATCATATTGCACTGCATTGTATAACATCATATTGCACTGCATTGTATTGCATCATATTCCGTATTTACCATTTCGTTACAGTTTTATTACATAAAATGTTATATATACATTGAAAATATTTTATACAATATCAATTAAAAAATATGAAATGGCCCAAAATAATATATTTTCAATATTTTAGATATATTTCATATTTTAGAATCGAATCTGATAAAAGTGCGCATGTCCTGGATGTGCTGCGCGCTAGAATCGGGAAATCTCAAAGTTCTCCTCGTTAGAGCCATCAATATTATCCAAAATTGTCATTTCGCTGGTTCACTCCGCAGTCTTTCGAAAAAATTCAAATTCGTGGTGCCACGAATTTTTATTCGTTTTTTATTCACAGATAATCATTTTTTCATCGCGCACCGAATGCCGGAATTTCTGCGCACTTTATTTTAATTAACTTTGGTCAACGCGGCCCCTGTAATTCATTCAGTGCGCGATGAAATCTATCTGACTGGGCCGCGGTGTGTGATATCACTCCCATGTTAAAACTCCATTCGATTTTGAATTATGCGCATGTCCCCTATAGCTTTCCGTAATTTATGTATCATAGTTTGACAATAAAGTATGTAACTAACTTACTGACTAACTAAAAAAATAAGAACAACAGATTAACTATAATGAAGATGAGCAATACATTTTGGGTATATTTATTTATTTATTTATTTATTTATTTATTACAGTGTCACCCGTAATTATACGGCCAGCCTCCAAAGGCTTATGAGACACAATTACAATCATATATCCCGCAAATGTACTCTCAGATAACCCGCAATGAACGAGTCCTTGATATTAATATGGAATTCATGTGCATTCATACATAGACATACAAGTACACTCCACAGCCTTTTGTACGAGCTATTATATTATACACCACTCAGTCAAACATCCTCACGGTGTTATAGCATGACGGTAACGACAAGGCGATTTGCAAAATTTTGCGGTAACGATAACAAAAAATGGCGGATGGGAAAGACAGCATGTCTTCTTTCTCGCCTGTAGGCAAGATTCACAGATAAGATTTCCTTTTTAACTAGTTCCATTCGGTGACGTATATATGGATGGTTATAAAGACTGGGTCAAATCTGCCAGGTGGTTTACTAGAAGCGGAATATAAGCTGTAAACTTACCGACTGAGATGTCCAAGTTCATATTTTTTAGTCCATTCTCGTGATTTCTCAGTATATGTGCCTCAGAGCCACTCAAACTATTAACAGTAAGTAAACTGTGTATAAACAAGCCATAAAATGACAAATCCAGAACAGGAACGTGGTCATATTGTAAATAATAAGGTTTCAAACGCAATGTCGTTAGACGACTACGTATGAATTCTATGGACGATAACGTATTGTATTAGATGTACATTAGATATTTCGCGGACGGTTACGTGCATGTACATCTTTCAAGTTAAGGTTGCTAGTTCTGATAGCCTCTTTCCAAGTAATTGTTATAATGGATAAGAAATGGAATATTGAATTGCTTATATTGGTTTTAGGACTCGCAAGATACGCTCTTGTTTGAGCCTCTATAGGGCAAGGAAAAAATTGTGTCTTGCTTTATTAATGAAACCAATTTAAGTCAAAAAATAGCGATGAAGAGGAAAAAGAAGAATTAGCATCAAGTACTGATGAATATGACAAAATTAATAACAATGAATCTGGGATACATATATTTGAACGAGGTTCGCGTAACCGTCAATAATTTTTGGCGTAACCGCAAATTAAAAGTACAATATTATGGCTTAAGTAGAACATATTAGGTGGTTTCCAATGCTCAATTGGCTTTTTATGATCGTATGTAGGTTACATCTACAGTATGTATATACCCCGAGGTCGTTAGGCAATGTAGACCATGCCGTAACGACAAAACTAAACAAATTACTAAATTTTGTGTAGTTTTGAATTTCAAACTCAACAGGTTTTCGCTTATTTCATGTTATCCCCGGGCATCAATTTGCAAAGAATACGTTCAAAATATACATTACTAAATGCATCACCGAATGCGATGTCTACAAAAGTCGTTCATCCTTTCATTGATACACAGTAGAAGAAAATACTGCACCAACCTTAGTTTTCTGTTCCACCGCGGCCATTTTATTGGATAAATCAGTGATCGTAGTCGTCTAATATCGTTTTCAGAGGTGTCGTAACCATCATGCTATAACACCGTAATCCTGAAGTACTTTCGACAAACAAGCTAATTCAAGTTTTGCCTGAACCGGGGATCGAATCCGGGACCTATTGCGTAATTGGTACAAACGCTAGCGCCGAGCTACATCGACATACTATGGTTTGCCAACCTGCCCTGTGTATGCACGCGAGTTTACGCCTATTTGTTTTAGCGCGTATAGAGTTCACTTCTTAACGGGCGTTACTAACGTAAATTACGTATGCAGGGGCGTAATTATACGTCTGCACGGGCGTCATTAACGCTTACACACCCGTAAACAACGAGTTCTTGAAGAGCAAGCTTTCTTGATTAATTTGACACTAGCAGATTCAGAATCATGATTGCAATGGATAGATCTAATTAACTCATGTGAAATCTGACTTGCGCCAACTTCTCAGTGGTTGAACATGTCCTGCCTTTCCTGGACGGCATTCCAAGATTCCAACACCAGCAGAATGGTAATTTCCGGCATGTGTGGTGACAACAGGATGGTATTCTTCCTCATGAGTGAAGGGCTGTGACAGAACTCTTTGGAAATCGGACCATAGCATTGAATAACCCAATCGAGCGGCCCCCAAGGTCACCCAACTTAAACCCCCTGGATTTCATCTTGTGGGGTCACCTAAAAACCAAGGTCTTCACAAGACTCCCAACTAATCTGAATTAACCTTATATCAAACAATCATTTTATCAAGTCAGTGTGGTTTGACAAGAAAGGGAGCTCATTACACGTGCTTGTAGGGACATGTTGATTGTTGATGCGAGCGCACATTTGCGTGGATAGACATGGCGGCTATGTTACGAAAGACATGTAAAGATAGGAAAATTGCAGAATGAATTAGTATAATGTCAATCTCTAAACCCTTTAACTGTGTACAAAATTAAATGTAAAAAATGCTTCCTCTCTGTCCTTTGTTCTTTATAACCCCTGAGGAGTTGGCGCAAGTCAGATTTCACTGTCCTGTGTAGTCAACCATGGAAGGATTTTAAATCTGTTGGTGTCAATTGAATCGAATTGAGAGATCTTGCTCTTTAAGAATTGACTTTATATTTTAGGGTAAATACCAAAATTATATAAGATATTGATCATTTTGTACTTGTAACATTTTTATTGAGACACTCTGAGCTTAGGAAAACATAGGAGAGTGATGATTTGGTTTGATTTGCGATCATGAAAGTGTATGGCCATCTTGAATGATGGCATTTTATCAGTTTTTGCAAGTTCGTCAGCAAAGTCAAATCCACGCTTTGTTCGAACACTTACTGATGAAACATTTTGACCAAAATCTGCTAATGTCGTGTAATGAACAGACGGTGATAATATATAAAAGTACAGAAAAGTAAAACCTCAAGATATGTTGTAATACGAGATAGACGTGATATATCAACAGAATCCTCCACTTTCGGACTGAAGTAATAAACATTTCCATTATAGGTACATTGATAGATTGGTGTTCTTCAAGAAATGATATAAACACAAGACTAGTTGCCTTCCTTTTTTATCACAATACTGACTTTGCTGGGACATCCTTCCAAGTACAAGAGTTTGAGGGTGTCATGGGTATGCTTTTGAATTACTATCCGAGTGAGTTGGGCGACACTCTCTGTACACAAGCTGATATACTGGCACTCTCTTGTGAACAAAGACAAATGCGTTTCAGTCAGACTTTTGAAGTTATATCATTTTTGGAGGATGAAGACGTCCCAGGGTTAAAGAACTTTATAGTTACTCTTGAATCACTTCAAACTAAAACTTCCGCAGATTTCGCTCTACTTGACAGGATGCGTGATAGTCTTGGTGTACTGGAACTAACTCGTCGATTCTTGTATTTCTATAACCCAAAATTCTCTGAAGGTAAGAATATTTTAGATACGTGTAACAGGGTTGAACAAACGAGAGAGATATCGATCACTTTGTGCCAAACTTAATCATAAAACAATGAGAGCCAGGACTCGTAGGGAAGTTATAGAATTTCTCTTGCTAGTAGTTTCCATTTGCATTTGATACTTCTTAGTAATTTAAGTGATTGTCCTTAATGAAGACGATATTTCATTCTAGCTAAAATATGTCAATGATTTGCCTTCTTCATCGATTAAAAAATTGAATCTTTGCTATATATAGCTTTTAAGGAGCAATTTCATGGGCTAAAGGCTGTTTTTAGCCTTGCCCAAGTCGGTATTTTTTACTTATCTGATCAAGATAAATCTAATTCTTGAGAAACAAATTCCCGATTACAGCAGTGAATAATGAATTATGATCAGTATGCGATTTTACTCCAGGCAAAGAATGTTTGGCAAATGGACAATGTCCGACAAGTGCACCTCATTGTGTCGATTGTTCTTGTCATCAATGTCGAGATGGCAATGACTGCCGGGAACCAGGAAAGTTAACTTGTAGGAGTAACAGAGCCGGGATGATGGTTTGTGGAGATCCCCACATTAAACAAACGATTAAGGGTACAAACCAAAAACTATGCTACGACATTTTGGGCGCTGCTGGTAGATCCTACCTTCTATTGGATGATAATGGCATAAGTAAGAAGTATTATCGTGCTAGCTATGATGTATACCCCATGCGTAATATATATATATGTCCATTGGCTTATCCATGGTCACATGATATCACAGGGTACGTACCAATTTAAGCGTGACATATTCGGTATGACGCGCGGTAACGGTAAGGTACAACACAAGGAATTGGAATTTACGTTCTGGTTATACCGTCTTACCCGTGTGTTATATCGTATACTACATTCGGAGTTTGTGTCGGTTTCACTATGAAATTCACAGTCAAGTTCACTGTCTAGGATACTGTTCCAAACATTCACATATAAAAATATCTAGAAATAAGACCAGATCTTTCTGAAACGATGAAAACATCAGTTTGCTCAAATGCATAACCCTCTTGTTGTACCTTACCCAGCGCGTTCAACCGTCCCGCTTAATTTGGTACGTACCCTGTGGATATGAAATATATGAACTATATTCCCTGGAAAATCCTAAGTGACATGGCAGGTGAAAAGTACTACTAATGACCACTTAAGTCACGTGACCAGTCAATTGTACTTTATATCTACCGTCAGCAATAAATGTTGAAATTAAAATACTTCTTATTTTGTTTTTGCTTTACATATGCGGTGAATAATAAAACAAATAATGACTGCCAAATTTTCGGAAGAGTGCAAAAATGTTCATAAAATATCACGTGTATATATGATTTTACCAGTATTCAATTCATAATATTTATTTAAAATGATATTAACCATTGTATTGATCTGTTTTCAGAAATAGTTTCAAAATTCATAACTGGCGAGAATTCGAGCAATTCTGAAGGCTGGGCCGAGTATGTCAGCGACCTTTCAATTACAGTTGATGGCGTACATATAAAATTTAACACGAAGTTTATCAGCGTAACAGAACCAGGAAAACCGACTTTAATGCATAATTGGTTGATAAGCACAATTTATACGAGCGCAGGGTGGATGGCAGCATCTAAGAAGCAAGTTAATGTTTATATTAGAGATGGCGAAACCACTGTTAATGTCATCCGTAAAGGATTGAGTCGTGAGGTACCATTCCTTAACTTTGGTAGTAGTGAGCTTCACGAGCTTTCAGCCAATGCAGGGGGAATATTAGGTAGGTGCATGTTAAATCTAAGACGGTCTTCTTGGAATCTTGACGACAAAATTTATTGAAATTCTTTTTAAAATGGCTTCCAGAAATAAGATGACCACGTTATTATATAAAATTCTCAAATTTTGAAATACATCTGCTTTCGAGTAGATGCTATGGTATCACAATGCTCCACTCCGTTGAAGTACAAAGATATGACGGGGTTCGTTGTGTACAAGTGAACATAAAAAGCCACAGCTATATGATCTTTACGATATGTTTACTTGTGTAATTTGATATTAAAATTGTGTTCTTAGGTTCCATTGCTAATAATGCGAAGTTGGTAAAAGATGGAGCGAAGGATTTGGTACATTGGAATCGTGCGATGATTCCAGTTAAGAATGACTCTAAGGTGTGTCTGCATGTTGACCCCTTTTATCAGGCAAAGCTCAACTCCCTCTTAGAGAGATTCATAGTCAAAGAGGAAAAATTGGAGCGCCAAAAACGACAATGATTGCGAGTGCAATGATCTACTATATCTAGTATTTGGTATATCACCGTATGTCCTGGCTATAATGTTGCGCAAAGAGATACAGAATGTCAAATATACTACACGTATCTATGTTACCATTATCTTTGATACAAAAAAACAATCATAAAATTATAAAAACCGAGATATGCTATCCTTAACGGGACGTTCTAAATTGAAATCTTGACCTCAATAAAAGACTTATCTTAGTGTACTATCAGAAATATCAAATAAACCATTGACTTAGAATTATCATAAAATAATACTTTTGTTAGTATGGAATATCTGTTAAGCTAGTCTGCTATCCTTAACGGGACGTTCTAAATTGAAATCTTGTGTGTACATTTTATTAAGACATATGGACATGGTTCATAAAACTCATTAACTAAGAACAGTGTAATGTTATGCTGCAGTGTGATAAAATCACTAAAATTTATTTTAAAAACTTCATTACAAAATATTTAACCTCTTTGTTACACAAACATATAACCATATTATACTTTAATACAATGCCATCCTCAATAGCTTAAATCGGATGCATTATTTTCCAATGCAATGCCATCCTCAAGGACTTAATATCAGATTCATTATTTTCCAATGCAACGCCATCCTCAAGGGCTTCATATCAGATTCATTATTTTCCAATGCAATGCCATCCTCAATGGCTTAATATCAGATTCATTATTTTCCAATGCAATGCCATCCTCAATGGCTTAATATCAGATTCATTATTTTCCAATGCAATGCCATCCTCAATGGCCTAATATAAGATTCATCATTTCCAATGCAATGCTCTCCTCAATGGCTTAATATATCAGACTCATTATTTTCCAATACAATGCTATCCTCAATGGCTTACGCTTATATGAGATTCAAATGAGATGAGATGCATTGCCACACCCAGGGGCTTTAGTGAGATTCCAATGCAATGCCGCTCTCAGAGGTTTAATACATCAGATTCATGAGTTTCCAATGCAATAACGTCCTCAATGGCTAACGTCAGATTCATCAATTTCCGATACTGATTTGCCATCTGGTACTTTTGATTCAAAATATTGTTTCGGCATCGTGTTGATTATGTCAACAAGACTAGACATTCTCAATGGAGTCCTTAGTTTCTTTTTTCGTATACACCTTGTCATCCTCCTAAGCAGGTTTCCAGAATCCGTACCTCCTTCTTCCGGTAAAAAGAAAGAATATATTCTGGATTTTGAAGCCCTGTGATCTGAGAATGACACCTTGTAATCTCATCTTTAATGCGCTCTTCACATAACAGTGTATTGAATTCGACTAGTTTAGTGAGTCTATCTTTATCATAATTATTATCCAATATTTATTTGTATTTATTTTCATAACACTTGCCGTTAACCGAGTATCCTATATCCATAATAAATAAATGGACACTTTTTATATACCATGGAATACTTCTGCTACAGTCTCTTTCACATGGACAGAAGTCATGAGAGGCATGGGTGCGACGCCATTTTTTATCTTCGCTGCAAAGTCGGAAAGAGTGGAATCCATTCTCTGGAAACAATTTAGGTTACATCAGAATGAAAAAATCGTTTGCTTGCTTTAACTTGTTGTATTAATGCTTTGTTGCTCTTGAATATGTATTTCCCAAAAGCAATAGAATGAAAAAGGTTTCAAACTACATACATCACTCATTATGATGTGCATCATAACATGTCCGTAGAAGTCTGTAAAGCTGATTGGTTGCCCTCTCTGGCGTTTTGCTAACATGTACTTTGCGGCCTCAAGGAATCTCTTCGGACTAAATTGCTGATAGTAATAGTGGGTCGCATCTGTAATGACCTTCGATAGCAAGTCGCTACTACAGTCTCAGATGTAGTGGCTAGCCCTTATGGCTCAGGGGTAGAGCGTCTAACTGAGTGGGAGGTCCTGGGTTCGATTCCCGTATGGGGCATTGAATTTAGCACATTCTCTTTCGAGTCTAGTATCTGGCTCGGTGCACTACAGCTCCCCGACGAGCGTGCCAAAGGGTCGTTACACATCAATACTGTAAGTAGAAATAGTACAACTACAGAGTAGAGCACAATACATATTTATGAAATAAGTGCAAGGTGTCTTTAAGACATTGATGGAACATTGCTAAGAAAGTGTCTTAAGACATTAATTAAACAAATGCAATGTGTCCGCAGAACATATCACAATACACATTGATGAAACAATATAAGTTATTGAATGATTTGAAGTGAAATACAGGATATATTCTGCTCGAGAAATTCCGTATTGGAACGAGACGAAGTCGAGTGCCAATACAGAATATCGAGTTTTTATCGTGTGCTTCTCTGTATTGCTACTGAGATTGTCCCCTCCGTACCAATATTTTCTGCATTGCGACGGAGATGATCAACGGGGACAATCTCAGTAGCAATACAGATTGGTACAGCACAAGAACTGACCAATCAGAGGGCTTCATTTTACAGATCATACGATAATATGAATTGTGTAGAAGAGTGCAATACGTTTTGAGATGAATAAAGCACAATTACTTTTGGAGAAACAAGTGACAGGTGTGTGTAGGACAGAGTTGTAGAAAAATGTATATGTATAGCACAATACAGTTCAGCTTTAGTGCACTGCATGTGACAGTCAATCGTCATTTGTGCCACACTGGCAATTTTTAAACAACAGAAAATGTCTGTGATGATAAATTCTATTTGTTTTAATTTTATATGTCGTGTCTTGTTGTAGTTGTAAATAGATTCTTATTCTAAAATAATATGATCATGTTTTGTTTGTATTTTTAATTAAGTACATGTATCTTCGGAATCTTAAATTCTAAGGCTCTTGAAATAAGCTTAAACGGTGTTGCATAATTTCGCGGGAGATTTTAAACATTGCGTCCGGCATAAGTAGCCTTGACCTTTCGAGGTCATTGGAGCCAAGATGGACGAGGTGTCGAAAGGCACTAATTAAACGATTAATTAATATAGCATTCCTCATTTCTTAACTAGTTCAATCAATACAACGAGTGTTGATCACCAAATAAATACAACTTACCAAAATAGCTATGGTCAACGTGTATTTTATATAATATAGTTTCAAGAATATTTTTTATCAATTTAAAAAAATTGCAAAACGCACATTTTTACCCAAAAACTCACTTCGACACGTATTTCATCTTGGCAAACCTCAGTATCAATAAATGAAGCCTTTACCTTTCATTCATATTTTCAACATACCAATATATTCTAAACTATTACGTCTACAGTATGTTACGAATTCGAGATTTAAGGCCTATGTTACGATGGCAGTAGCATGCAGTAGTGTCGTTTTATATGTTATTTTCTCTCTGGACTACACGGTGTATCAAAAAATGCAACCTACCTAACACTGCTTATCTTTTTAACCAATAGAGTCAATTTAAGCTGGTTTAATCCTCTCAAAGTTGACAAAGTTCCATTGCTGCAGTCTGTGTATTGCCCTGAGATAAAATTTTTGGGATTCAGGTCTCGGGAGTGGGGTATCTGGGTTTGAAGGCTCTCCGAGATACTGTTGGGAACTATTGGGCTCACCCATTAACACCATTCATTTATCCCAGAACCCTCCAAAGCTCTATTTGAAGCACACTCTAAAACTAGTTGATTGCACTGCCCCCTTTTTAAGAATAGTCTCTCAATACCCGAAGACTATGAGTTTCAATTAAAAGATAGATATCTGTCTGTGATGAAAACATTTCAACTAAGTTAACCATCGCAGGTCTATTAAATATTAAAGTGTGTTTATGTTCTACAGTATTCATTTAACATGTTAATATTAAACTGAATGTGTATCAGATAAAAACAAACACGTTTGAGTGTTCGATCGATATACTAAAGTTATTATAACGCCGAACAGATTGATTCATTTATTAAATGATCATGGACTTTGAGCCTTGTTCATGAAGATAGTATTAAAGTCAAAGTAGTTTGAAGCATTATTCTCTGAAGCATCGAACTTTATTTTGTTTCTATTCTTTATTAGATACTATCTATTCATATACAGATTTGTGTTCAAGAACATTTTTCCTTGTGTTTACCTATCATAAGGAAGGCAAGCACCGAGGAGCTGTGTTTGAATATTTTAAGTGGTACGGTACAAGCAGGGGAGTAACCACTGGAGGGATTACTAAGCTGTCGGCCATTTATACGGTAAGGAGTCAGATGAACATCATGAAGCACATAGCACACTGATCATTTGTAGGTATATTCCAGAAGCATAGACGAAAGTAATCAAAAACAGTGATTCTCTTATAAGAGTTGTCCTGCCATGATAAACGAACACTTCAATATATATTTTCCTCAGAGACTATTTGAAAACCGGATGTGAATACATTTATTTATTTCAGAAGAAAAATGATGGTCTGAAAGATGGGGATATTTACTAGACGGAAACCTTTACACGAATCTCGTAAGTCAACATTTTCTCTATGCAATATATTGGACAGCATAATCCCAGATTGAGACAGGCTATTCTCTGTCTAGAGTATACTGACACAGTAATTTCCTTAAAGATTAAGAAAAATACCTAGTATCTATTGCGATACGGGTCAAAATCGAGAATCCCTGGTGATTGGCCCGTAGCTTTAAGAAAACAGTAAGAAATGCCTTAATTGCATTCATAAAAGCAACATTTTTGTAACTGTAACATTTGAAAATGAACTTAATTCGAGACCCTTGTATAAATAATTGTATACAAATAAATCATGTATGTATATATACTTACATCAAATAGCAGTTACGTTGGGTCGTCGTAACCCAAACTTCAATGAAAACGGTATAGTGAATAACCACGTCGTTTTATTTATCTTGCTGTTCGATCGCATTTCTGAAATGTGTACTTTTTCTGTATCGTTATCAAAATTTGAAAATATTTTTTAATCATTCAAATATCATTTATCGTTACTTAAAAATGTTTGAAACTTTTCGAAGTTGACATCCGAAACAAAGTTAAGAAATATTCAATTTCCCGCCAAAATATTTGAATTTCCAGCATTGAATAGATCAGGTAAAGAAACATTATTCTAGCCATTTAGTTTTGTTTAGTATGCAATATAATTTATAGCAACTTTTATTTATCTCATCTGGGTAATTATGTAGTGTTTTCATTTTGAAAATGAATATTTTGAAAAAATAAGTGGTTATCATGTTCTTAATATTTTTGTACCATTGACTTCGATGAAAACTTTAATTTAAAATGTATATTTCTTTTACACGTTTATGAATTTTTCTTTCAACACAAAATATATTAGGATGTACTCTATGTATTAGTGTAAATTACTTCTTATTAATAGAGCATGGGACAACCAAAATTTCATTTAAAATAAGTTCATAATCTTCAAAAGATTCTTTTAAATGAAAGAAAAAAAATTCATATATTTTAATAACATCGGGTAAGACTCCCATACAAGCCAGAGTTGTTTAAAAACCTTCCCAGGGCCTAACGATAAATAACAATACTATGAAAGAATGCTTGATATGAATGACATCATGTTCATAACAAACATAAATGAGGAAACTTCACATATTTGGTGTTGTTTTATTCAGATGAAACCTTCAAATTGTATTCACGAATCATCCCTTGACAATTGTGTTACAGGAACACATTCTGGTGCTGGTCATTTCAAGTTTTGAGTCTAATTTTGTATAGCACTAGTACTACCAAAAGCTCTAATTATGTCAACGAACATAATTGGTATGATGTCATGGAATGAAGTCAAGTGAAGTCAAGAATAAAGTGGTTTTAAACTTTACATGGAGCCTTTAATGATAGGATTGTATATGCATTACATATATCCAAAGACTATATTTCTGCAAATCTTCAAATCTGAAAAGATATTTGAATCTGATGAAGTCATAATTTTACTTTTGAAATTCTAGTCTAGTTTAGTCCCACATATTAATCCAAAGGTTAAACTATAAACTAGATAACGTAGATAGTTGTGATTGTTGATAAGCATTCTGTTGATAAGCACCCCACGCACAGAGCATTAATTCTTTATTGAATCATTCAAGTTTAGTTAGTATGTTTAATCGTCGATTTGATTATATTTCAGAAACTCATCGAGAAGTCCGAGCAAATGATCCGATTTTCAACGATTCCTTCCAATATGCAGTAAGCTTAAGAAACGACATTGTCTTCATTCATAATTTACCATAATATATTGCTATGAATCACATTGTTCAGCACAGCTCCACTAGTTCCAAAGCAGTATAACGGCCGTAATTATGGCAGACGAAAAAAGCAGATGACGCCATAAATTTTCATTGATCACAATGTAAACTCATTTTTGGCTTTTGCATAAAGAAGAACACTTTTTAATTCTAAATTGCATACTGCTGCTTTCAGTTTAGATGTTTATTTTTAGCCATTCGTACATAAAGTGTTGTATAATAGTTTCATAACTTCGGAACTACAATTTTATTATAATTTAAAACAAAACCAAAAAAGGAATCTGGTGCAAGCTTTTGATTGAACGAGCTCGACCCAAAATTTTGTTTATTTTACAGAACAACTTCATTAGAACATATAAGTACACTGTCTTCACCTTCCTTCCAAAGAATCTGTTTGAGCAGTTTCAGAGAATTGCAAATGCCTACTTCCTTTGTCTTCTAATTCTTCAGGTAGGTTATTAAATACAATTGGTTAGAGTTATAGTACGGGAAGTAGCTCCACGGGTCTAATATAGATCATAGTTCCTATTTAGGATCGAATTGAAGTGAGTGTTATGTCATAGGATTAACCATTTAGATGATAAGTAATAGTATATACAAGTAAACATTAATATGAGAAGGCATCCCCTTTAAGTAACATATGTAAATTCTATCACTTTGATAATTTAATAATGTTACAAAATTATTAAGTCTCATGCTATACATATGCACTGATATTCCTATAGACATCTACAGTAGTACCCAGTACCCACCATGTAACCATGTACAAACAACAATTAAAACAAATTAAAACGATTAAAGTAAATAACTACTAGTATATAAATGAAACGTAACGTGACGTATGTCGTGTGTTACTAGTTTTCTCACCATGATTTGGTATTATTATAGTCTTTGTAGATGGTTTGCGTGATCGTTTGCACTGAAATGAACAATTAGCTGGGCATAGGATAGAGACAATACTCAATTTGCAATGTTTGGATCGAGGAACATCTCCTATAAATGAGATACGAAATTCCTAGACATTTCCTTCCAATTCTCTATTATCATTAAACAAAGTCAAGGTCACACACGAGTCAATTCTCAAACTTATATTGCAGGTTTGATTTGTCAAGGTTTAATATATAAATACGAGGGGTGATCAATAAGTAATGGACGCTTTTTTACACAGCTACTTTTTATAGACCAATTCCTTTGATTTTCATACCAGTGATACATCATTCAATTATCTATAAACTCTGAAGATTTGAAGACAAAATATATAGTGCATGTTGATATATCCTTATTTCCATGAAGGAGGTACAGGTACCCCGGGACCGACATTTACGTCACATATTCAGTTTTCAGCCAGTTTGGCAAATTTCAGTTAGATTTGAACTTTTTATATGCAACAAGTGTTGTGTTGTTTGAAATATTTTGCTGACTGGTAACACAAAAACAGAAAGTATTGTGATGTCAGAGTGTTGTGTGGAAGGAGTTTGCATGTCAATTTGAGAAAGCATTGTGGAAGAAGGGGTTGGTGAGAGAAGGGAACACCCTACTCCATATGGACAATGCACCTGGCCACAGATCTCAAAATGTTCAGAAAACAATATCTCTGGACCTCAAAATTGAGCCCTTGGCCAATGCACCATATTGTCCAGATCTGCTCACATGTGACTTATTTATTTCTATACTACTTATTTCTATAGAGAAAGGACACAAGTTTATTGAAATTGATGAAACAAAACAACCCGTGCAACTGCATTTTGCTACCATGTCAGATTCAGCCTTGTCTTACAATATTGAGTTAATATGATGAGGCATTGTGTACATGTAGCACTTGATGGAACCTATGTAGAGGGCCATGTGGAATGAATGTGGCATAATACCACATAATGATGATAAATTTTCAAAATCAACTATGGCATAACAAAATGGGTAATTCATAACCGTAATGGTTTGTTTTGTTCAGCCTGCATTCAACTGCATTGCATGTTAAACAAGCTAAAATAGCTTCAGAATGTTTGACCTATACATCACGGAAATAAAGATATATCAAAATATATTACATGTTTTATTTTCAAATCTTCAGAGTTGATAGATAATTGAATGATATATCACTGGTAAGAAAATCGAAGGGATTGGTCTATAAAAAGCATCTGTGTAAAATAGCGTCCATTACTAATTGATCACCCCTCGTATATACTTAAATTTTAATAGTCTTACACACTGCATGCTATCTCTTTTGTTTATAGTTGATACCCCAAGTGTCGTCACTGACTCCCTTGACAACAATAATTCCGTTAATATTTGTGCTCACCTTAACAGCTGTGAAAGATGCTTCTGATGATATAGTAAGTAAATAACTTTGCATTCGCATAAATTTACATAATATCTATATTGCATTTTGTTAATATTGCATTACATGTTTTCACATGATATTTATATGTTGTATACACTGGTTCTTATATTTCATTTATATGTTCATATTAACATTGACTTTATATTACATATTACTTATTCATTACATTTATATTGCATTTATACATTACATGTAATGTTACATGTAGAGTATAAAGTTTAATGTAAATAAGTGCGCTCGTGGGAATTTCATACCTAAGATGATGGGATTTACTAAATGGGACAAAGATATAAAAAAAATTGCCCCCTGTTCATGAGAGCATTATTTAATAGTTAATAGTAGATCTCGTAATGTTACTAAACTTACATGCAAACCTGTCACTTTCTAATGTTACGTACAAAACTGGGGACAATTAGCGTCTTTATTTTGACTCTAAGGAGTGGTATCGATTTGGAGAAATATTTTGACACGCATTTCTCTTAAACCAGTCATCAAAACACTCTGAAAATTTTACACATCGTCAATTTAATGGTCATATTTTGGATGGTAACATTATAATTTGAATTATATATATATGATTTTCTCTATATTGTTTTAGAAAACACATCAAACACTTCTTTCGTTCTCGGTATCATATGTTCGGAATGAAATGAAACATCTATCTGAACCTCATTGGAACAAAACGACATAAACACAACGTGTTTAGGTCCCTCAATATTGTACAAAGGAAAGTTTGGTTGATTTTTAAAAATATCTTGTTTATGAAATAAAAGGTTTATCTTAATATTTATAAATTTGCATACTTTTTGTGAAATCAACCAAAATTTCCTTTGTATAACTATAATATTGAGAGGTCTAAGAAAATGTTGTATATGCTATTTTGTTCCAACAAGGTTCGGAACGACATTTTATTTCATTCCCAAATATTTGTAGAAAAGAACAAAAAACAACTGCACTAAAAACAAAAAATGTTAACAAAAACAGTTATAAAAAAATATATAACTAATTTTTGCATTACATTTTTTTTTTTTTTTTTTTTTTATATATATATTTCAAAATCATTTTTACAATGAATGTTCAAAGAATTAACAATTAATAAAATAAGATCCCAGAGGATTGAAATTAGAAACACATGTCTTCTCCCGTAAACACAGTAAATCTCACTCCAGGAATTCCTGAAAAGTGCTTATTAAGTGTTTATACACAGAAGAAATATGTCAATCATATTTCACCCAGTAAAGATCTTATTTTGAAAAAGATGGAGTATACACAATAAGTCCAAATTTAGTCTGTTCCAAGGTTAGATAATCATATTTATGTGTCCTGTGGATTCTGGTCAACAGCCTGGGGTAGGGAAAGAACTTTGTCTGTGCCATCTTTAATGAACTCAAAGATATGATCATGTATCCATTTAAGTCCTTTCTGTTCACTGACACAGATGCTGTTAAGAAGTATTTCATGGGCAATGTCAATCCATTTTGCCTCAGGGTCTTTAAGTAATGTCCCTTGTATCTCAGATTCTTTCATGTCATGGGATATAATCACAATAAAGTCATCAAGATTAGCAATATATACATCTATGTTCTCATCTCCACGTTGTTGATGAGCTAGAAAGGTATCATGTATGACAGTGTTACGCTTACTGTCTTCTAAACGTGACTTTAGATCATCGCTGTTAAACTGTTCCTTACTAAGCTTGCTCTCAACAACTGTTGCTTTTATTAAGGTTTCATCTGTGTTTGTAGCAATATTCTGTGTGTGTATCCTTGCACTTACTGCTTTACTTTCAGTTTGAGTAATATCAGTTTGTTTATCTGTATTCATAGAAATATTCCGTTTTCGTATCCTAGCACTTACTGCTTTACTTTCAGTTTGAGTAATGCTTGTTTGACTACAGGAATCATTTGACAAAATACTGTCTGTGTTGCTTGATCTATTCACTGTCTGACTTTTGTATCGAGAATTATTCATTTTGGTTGATAGACATTGGAGTTTAAGTTTTGGTTCAGTTTGTTTTTCGTCCAAACATTTCATTACATTATCGGTGGTCTGTGTGTTTAATTCCTCTCCAGATGGCTGTTTATCACTTTGAATTGATGCAGGTTCCATACATATTGTGTGTACTCCAACATTTTCATGTGTGTTTTGATATGGTCCCTCACTGGTTACACTAACTTGTTTTGGTATGAATGGCTTTGCTTTAGACCAGTCAGCTTCACTCAGAGGTGTTGAGGTATGATTGCCTGCTAATTTCCTATTGTTCTCAGTTTCATTATAAAACATAGTATTGTATTGCGAATCATTATCACAGCTGGATTGTTTTAAGTGAGAGTTGTTGAACTGGGTCATTCTAACTTGGTCTCTATGTGCTTGTTTTGTATTTTGCCTGACCTCTTGTCCAGTATATTCACCTGTTGTAAATCTCAAACTTATAGTTGTATATAATCCATTGCCTTGCATTTTATAGTTGTAAAACATCTGTCCTTGCAATTTTAGTAATTCCAATAAGTTCTCCACCACTTTAGGTAACATATCCATTATATTTTGAGAAATTATATCGTAGAATTAGTCACTTTTATGCTAAAAAATGACCAAATTTAGGAGCTCTAAAAATTGCCAACCTGTCCAGTAAGGGACCATTACATTGTTGCCAATCAGTCAACATTACATACAGGACCGTGTTTTTTATAGAATGTTTTCAACAATTGGTTTAAGAGAAAAACATTGTTGTATTCAGTTCACCATATCGATACCTATCCTTTCAGTATTGTATCTGAAGTGATTAAAATAACACTGGTTTCCAAATAAAAAGTACTATGAACTTTAAATTATAATTTTTAGTTATTTAAGTAGTCCAGCTTGTAAAAATAGCTATTTCTTGTTTTAGCAACGTCACAAAAGTGATGGCGAGGTTAACAGTAGACAGGCATTGGTGCTCAAGGATGGCAAAGTCACTAGTCAAAGATGGGACAGTATCCATGTCGGGGATATCATTCGCTTGGAAAGTGACCAATTCGTTACAGTCAGTACCACCTTTGCATTACAAACAATTTTTGATCAATATTAAGAGCACGGGCTTAGATGAATCAAATATCAAATGTTCTTTATGTATTCTATATTTATATACTGGTACCATTTGATGTTGCAGGCTGACATGTTACTCCTTACGTCAAGTGAACCGAACGGACTATGTTACATAGCAACGGCGGATTTAGATGGGTAAGTTAATTAAGTTTCACTATTGTAATTTGATGCCAAGAAAGGGAAGGAGCCCCAACATCCAAAACAATGCCTAGCACCCATCTCCCGGAACTATTCTTTTTGTAATTTTGTAATCAATATCGCAATTCAACCCAAATCACTTTCGTTTTTCAGGGAAACTAATCTGAAGGCTAGACAAGCAATACCTGACATAGCCGAGATGGGCGATGATACTGGCATTTTATCAAGCTTTAACGGTAAGAACATGTGAATATTCTCCCCGAACTCCTATGCAGTGTCTCGGTATAGACACTGCGGCGGGCAGATTATGGAATCCCCAAAATTTGGGGAAGATAGTCCCCCTTTTTGTCACAGATGTACTTGTTTTTCACACAACTTATAAAATATATGTTCTTTTATGTTCACCAATAATTATTTTGTCAAAATATTCCAAAATCAATGAAATATAAGAGCAAATCCCCGCGGAAGGAATTCTGAGTAAAAGTTGTGTTGATAAAAGTTTACCGCACGTGTTGTTTATTAGTTAATACGCGCAATTCAACCAATGAAATTGTCTAAAGGACGTTATACACCCGCCATTGGGATCTCCCCATGGGAAAAAAATAATTCATCTGATTTTTCAAAATGAGTATTCTGCTTCAATTATTACATTTATATGCATACTAGTATCTTGTTGACCTATATTCAGCACTGTATTGATGTATAGGCCACTTATAAGGGTCATAATTCAATCATGAAGTGTAGAGGTATAGATTCCAAACCAGGAAGTATTTTTGTGTCTGTCAAAATCCATTTACATCCTACGCATCCCTGCATCTTATCCAAATATGTTACTACATAATTAAATATAATAGTATAATCTTTGGTTTTACAAACTTGTTTGATATTTGATAAGTGTAAAAGTTGTTTTTGGAGCATTTTTCTATAGCCATTTTGTAGGGAAAAAAATGATGAAAAAATGTACAATCTTTTAATTTTAAGTATGACCTGAATCGATTGCAAACTTCATATTTGCACATTTGATGAGATAAACCATTTGTGTCGTATTGTGAAATTATTAAGTTTGCAATCGATTCAGGTCATAGTGTATTTTTGGTATTTCTGTGATAATCAATTGAAACCAATGGCCTCTATTGGGATCTGCTGATATCCTCATGTTAAGTCAATGGTGCACATTCCCATGTAAGTCAATACAACCTTACTGAACGAAATGATCCCTATCTCAGCTTATGTGTGTCCGAGCACTTTAATATTTTCCAAAGTATTATATGACATTTTATTCTTCATGTTACACCTACGAATGATTCATTTTGACCATAGGGATATTTGCCAATAATTGCACATCGTCCTTTTACAATCACGCGACCTGTGCATGGGACGAGAACCAATCACGTCAGTTGTTTATTACGATGTTACCATGCTTACGGTGAGACACCTGCCCGCCGCAGTGATATATCAGTTCGTATTCTCCCCTCTCTTACAGTTTTGTGTATATGTTTTATACTTACCTTTTGGACTATGCAAAACCCATTCAAAATTACCTCGATTGGTATTCAAACATGCTGATTTTTGAAGAATATATTTGCAAAATCAACAAGAGTTTAGTAACATTTTGAAGGTGGTCTCAATTTACTAAAAAGGATAATTTGAAACTACGAAATGCCGACTTGGGGTTTTTATCACCAAAATGTTGAGTGAAAAATAGCTCTTGTTAGTTGATATATTTATTGTCTGTTTACATCAGGTCATATTGAATGTGAAAAACCAAACAACAACCTCACAAAATTTGAAGGAACCTTGAACTGGCATGGGGCAAGTTACTCCCTTGATCCCGAAAAGATTTTACTTCGAGGCTGTACCTTAAGGAATACAAAATGGTGTTATGGTATTGTGATATTTGCTGGTAAAGACACCAAACTGATGAGAAACAGTGGAAAAACAAGATTCAAGAGGACTAATATTGACTTGCTTTTGAACCAGCTCGTCTTAGGGGTAATAAACGACATATTTTGAAATGAACGTGTAACTTCTGAAATACTAAAAAAGATATATTAAAGAAATGTTTTTTTGACAATCGATATTTACATAAAGGCTAGTGTGCTGACGCAATCACAATTCATGAACGTTTGCGGACTCCTGACATCTAAATACAATAAAAATGTGTTGAATAATACGATTTCATTGATTAGGGTGGAGTATTAGTAAATTACTAACATAGTCAACTAGTACGGATTTACTATAGTTATTCAAGTCCACAATAACACCGCACGTTTCCATTTTGTTTTCAAGAATCGAATAGAATCTACAAAACATCAATTCAGTTACTAGTTAAAATTCTAAAAAGTGAACCAAATAAGTCATTGTTTCTATTGTTACTCTTAACAACTTGATAGAAAAGTTACTTACAAATCATTTGTGCATTTTCCTTTTAGATATTTTGTTTCTTATTTTCGATCTGTTTCTTGTGCACGATTGGCTCTGGCATTTGGGAATCAGTCGTTGGATATGACTTTCAAGTTTTTCTCGCATGGGAAAAATATATTCCTGGGAGCCCATGGTTAGGTGGTACTAGGCAAGGTGGAGCAACCGCAATATCACTTATGGTTTTTATATCTTACCTCATAGTTCTCAATACAGTGGTACCAATATCTCTTTACGTCACGTAAGTAATAGGTCTATAAAACAACGTCTCTTTTCTCGATGGTCTATATTTTAAAAAGTTGTCTTCATTCACAATATATCAGTTGCCTTAACTCCACCTTTATGTAAACACCTTGAAAGTCGAAGTTAAAACTTTATAAAGTGATATGGTTATTCTAGGGTGGAGTTCATACGTCTGGGGCACAGTTTGGTGATAAATTGGGATGTTAAAATGTACCATAAAGAATCAGACACTCCTGCTAAATCACGAACAACCACACTAAACGAAGAGCTCGGACAAATTGAATACATCTTTTCTGATAAAACTGGAACACTGACCCAAAATATTATGACATTCAAGAAGTGCTCTATTGATAGCGTGGTATATGGGGAAAACGAGTCCGACGCTGCAGTAATCAAAATAACAAATGTAGGTATACTTTTGCTCTTACACCCATCAGAGTATTCCGTTCGTCTTTTTGACGTAGCCATGTATCTTATATTCCATCCAAGCGTAAATCACAAAGCACCAATATTTGAAAACGTAATGATCCCTTAAATTCTAGGGAGTCGGTCTGCAAGGGTGTAGATCCTGGAAAAACGAAATCTAAATACAAAACCTTGCATGGGTACATACATTTCATTAAAGTTAATTTGTGGTAATAATTCTATTCCACATTTCATTTCAAATTCGTCCAAGACAGACATGTGCATCCGACTATATCAATTGTAAACATGTTTTTGCAAGGAGCCCACGAGTGACCTGACTGGGTACAAGGAGGACATTCTAGAAGCTGTTAGAAATGATGACAAGAAAGTGAGAATGTTCTTCCGTCTACTTAGCCTATGCCATACTGTTATGTCAGAGGAACGAGATGGTTAGTAATGAGACAACAGGTTATCATCCATAAAGGAATGGAATGGTTGAGATCTTTAATTCAACAGAATTTTATGAACAATGAAAGTTATAAGCTTATTCCACGCTTGCTCTTCACTGTTGACACTGCGTAGAGCCAAATGATATGAATGAGTGTTACTTGTGGTCAGTTTACACGGCTCTTTGAATTGTATAACATAACGTTTGCAGGTGTTCTTGAATACCAAGCTCAATCTCCAGATGAAAATGCATTGGTCCAGGCTGCCAGAGAGTTCGGCTTTACCTTCAAAAGACGAACCCCAACCACAATCACTATAGAAGTAGATGGACGGGACGAAGTATATGAGCTACTGTGTATACTTGACTTCAACAATGTTAGGAAAAGGATGTCTGTAAGTGTAATTGTCACAGGGAAGGTCAATTGGGAGGGTCTCAGGGGAAGGCCTCAAGAGGAAGTCATAGAAAAGTCGTCACAGGGAAAGGTCATATGAGGTCACAGGGAAAGGTCTCAATGGTAGACAATACTAGACATGGGTAAATGATTGTTGACTTTTAGCCATATAAGATTACTGACTGAGATCTAAGTACCGGATTTAACATACACTGTATTTCCTTTCTTTGCTCCGTTAAAATGTAAATGACGTCATGGCGTTTATAACTATGATATCATAGATGGATCATTTTTGCAGGTTATTTTGCGAAAAGAGGGGAGGATAATGCTTTACTGCAAAGGGGCAGATTCTGTGATATATGAACGTCTTTCTAACAACGAGTACAACGCTAATCTGGCATCAAAAACATCTGGTCACCTATCGGTAAAGGATTTTTCTGTTTTCTGTTAATTGAGACTTAGGCGGTAAGCTTAAAACAATAGTTGATATATATTTAAATGTTTTTTGCTGACTATAATTACATATTCTTCATGTGTTTTACAATGTTTTTGGTCATTTGCTTTTTGGCATATGTGCCAATGTATATTTAAATATATATTATATATATAACAAATATATTCAGACATTTGCTCAAGATGGACTGCGAACACTGTGTCTTGCCGTAAAAGAAATCGATGAGGTTTCGTATCAGATGTGGCAGAAAAAACACCATGCGGCAAGGTACTCTGATTCATATTGAATCGAAGTTTGTGTGCGCATATATAATATGATAAAATATTGGGAGTGCCAAGTTCATGAACGTTTTAATAACAGAATAAATTCAATGCTCATAATGCAAAAAGATATAGCGATGATCTGTTTTAAATCGTTTAAATTTCTGGTTATGAAATTATAATCAAGGTTAAATTTTCCACCTAAGCATTGCACTCGTTGACCGCGAAGAAAAGGTATCGGCAGTTTATGAAGAAATTGAAGGCGATTTGATCTTACTGGGGGCTACTGCGATTGAAGACAAGCTGCAAGATGGTGTACCTCAGGCAATCAGTCGACTTAGCGAAGCTGGGGTCAAGATTTGGGTTCTTACAGGCGATAAACAAGGTAACTATTCACTAACGGAGCATTTAACATCACAGCCACCTTTTGAACATATGGATCGACTTAACAACGGTTTTCTGAGAAGTTAAGGAATCAAATACATGGCATAATTTAACCATATATAAATTGCAATAAAAGCACTACATATTATTCCTTGTCTATTCAGAAACTGCCATTAACATCGGCTATTCAAGCAAATTGCTCACGGAGCAGATGGAAGAGATATTCATCATTGATGCTGATGAATACGTTGAGGTGGAGAATCAATTACGACGAGCTAGAGAGGATATCCTTGCATTCATGGGTATGTGTTTCATGCTATGTGTTCACCAGCTAAAAAACAGATTTTGTATATCATGACATTTCTTTGCATTATTCCCCATATCTTTACCTTTGTATGTACAGCAATGTATATGGTATAAAAACAGAATAACCATTTGGATTAATGATCCGAATTAACACCTTTGTAATATCTTCTGTAGTCTTGGCCTAACACCAGCTTAGTACGTGTAGGGAGTATTTTAGTTTCTACTTACCTTGCATTATAGCTAGTTTTTTTCGACATATATATAGTGCAGCTTGTATGAAGAGATCAGTTGAGTGATTGAAATCTAAAGGTGTTCATTTCAAAAAGCTGAAGAAAATGTAAAATATTTTGTAGAGAAGAAAGAAAGTGCTCGAAGTGCGCGCGCACATTTGGAAAATGTAGGGCCACAAGGTATTAATGTAGATATAACTGTTATTATGGTTTGGAAAGCTTAAAGCCATATAGAACATTTCAAATATTATCTTGTGAGCTGAGATACCAACTCCTCAGACGAAATTGAGTATACAATAACAAGGGTTCAAATAATCTGCATATTGTAACATCTACGCTGGAGTGCGATTTTAGCAGAAGAAAAATGTTCTAATTTCTCAAACTTAATTTTCCATTTTATAATTCTATGGTGTATGTTCAGAATGAGGCTTCGACCTCTTCACGTAAAACAGTGGAGGGATTGTACACACTTTTTGATGATGTCATCAAGGTAAGTTCACAATCCTATTAGTGGATTTATTCAAAATACAAAAAGTAATTTGCTTATAAATGAGAAATTTCCGTTATTCTACAGAAATATGAGTTGACATTTTCCCAGTATCAAGATAAGACAGTGATCTTGACGATAATAGTTCTTTGATTTTGACAAAACTGCCTTATATGTGTTCTATATGGTTTTTAAATATTAGATTGTAACACAAAGTGATAGAATTATCAACACTTCAACACTCGGCTTCTAGGCTACATTGCTTATCTACAATTTTGCTCCATTATTTCCACTTTGCCTTACATAAGACTGCTTCGTACATGTCAATGTAATTGATTTCAATAATTAAAATAATGCTTCATTTCTATATAGGCGGACACCACGACCCATTGCTTTTAGTTACCGTCTGTTGTTTCAATTATAGGGTAGCAATTATAGTACGACATTATAGAAGTAGTATAGAGGATAGTTTTTGTTATTTCTGTTCGAACAACGCGTTGTTGTCTTTGATTATCATATTCACGCTAAACATATTACAAATACATGTATCTAGTTTAATCTCTGTTTTAACGGTAAATCAATTCACTTCAAATATAAATATTCTAGGATGTAACTCTCAGTGTCTCATCATATCCTCTTGCGGTAGACTTTGCAGGAATTCATAGCATTTATGTTTTGAACAGTTCATTCAATAACTGCATGTTAGTTTGTTATATCATTATCTAAATGATATAATTGTAACAAAAATTGAACTAGTACACCCTGAATGGGGTGAGTGGAAAATAATATCTAAATCTAGTTTACACTTACCTTATTTTCCATTGACAGATGGCACCAGAGAATGTGGTGTAAAGTATAAGAACGGCACAGATGCCAGCATCAGTCAGTCACTAAAGGATCTTGGAACAAGCAGGTCATTTGGTCTAGTCATCAATGGACATAGCCTGGTCAGTATCAAAAGTTTTTCCAGACCCTGCTCTGTGCTAAAAATAAATGATTTATTAAAATATCTATAATGAAAAATTATATGCTATACGTAAGATTAAAATTTGCTTTTTCGTTACGTTTTTCATTATTTTTCACTTATTTTATTGATTGAATAATTATGTTCTACTATCTGACTTGCAATGCTATTGCCCGTTCGCTAAACTATGTAGTATTCTTTGTAAAACTAATAAAAAATATTCATATCAGGAATATATAGTACACTTTCTGTAGGTCCATAGTCTTAAGGAAGAAATGGAGATGTTATTACTGGAAGTGGGAAGTATGTGCATAGCGGTCATCTGCTGCCGGGTTACGCCCCTTCAGAAGGCAAAAGTGGTCGATCTTGTGAAGAAGCACAAACAATCCATTACTCTTGCAATTGGGGATGGGGCAAATGACGTCAGCATGATCAAAAGTAAGAAGCAAGTTTAAAAACAATATCATAACTACCCCAGGTCTCAATTAAACTATAACTTGAGTTTTACAATGGAATATTAGGAATCTCATTCGTTTATACTGTACTGTACCATATAAAAACCTGCAAATTGATCGACTATCGTTACCTGAATTGGAAAATTGAGAGACATGATCCTTATATATCCCGCCATTAAATACAAAACAAAAGCACTTGGTAGCAATTAGAATGACCCATATTTTTCTAAATCATTTGCATATAGTTAGGATCTATAAAATAGGTGAGGCAAAATTAGGGGAATGATGAAAGATTAGGTGTACTAAAAAATGAGGCAAAATGAAAAAACTCTGATTCAATATATCTATTTTTCATGTTATTGATGAAATGTTGTATGATGTAATTTTGAATGAATAAATTGAATTGAATTGAAAAATTGAATATACTGGTGGTTATGAGGTTACAATGTAAACTGTAAGATTTGTAAATATGTAAAATCTTGAAGAGGCCTGTCTAATGCTTGACAAGATCCATGAAAATGACAATTCTTATGCAGGTGCTCATATAGGAGTGGGGATTAGTGGGCAGGAAGGATTGCAGGCAGTTCTTTCAAGTGATTTCTCAATAGCTCAGTTCCGTTTCCTGGAACGCCTTCTCTTATTCCATGGACGCCTTTCCTATCTTCGCTTCTGCAAATTTCTCCGTTACTTCTTCTACAAAAATATCGCATTTACACTGGTACATTTCTGGTATGCTTTCTTTTGTGGTTTCTCAGCACAGGTACGTATTATTGATCACCCCTCCTAAAGCATTGTTCAATGAGGGGAGTATCGAGGCATGGGGACAAACCTTGATTACTTGGGAAGTAGAAGGGATATTAAAAACAAACGACGTCCAAGTAGGGACTGTTAGACTCTTTTGAAAAGGATATAACCTGGAATGATGTTGTTAAGAATATGCATTGGTTGTTGGTAAAAAGGCTTTGACCAGTGGGTGTATAAGTTCAGTTGCGTTGCATAGTTCAGTTATGTTACACTGCACAGAAACGAATGAGTCACATTTGTTTTTCCCCCATTATGAATAGTTTTACTCTAAAAAAAATTCCTTGCTGTACTACTTTTTCTGGTTTTATCTTTCTCAAATTGCGATGTGTTTGTAGTATTTCTATGATCCGCTGTTCATCGGTGCCTACAATGTTTTCTACACATCGATGCCAGTGTTTGTAATGGCAATATTTGAACAGGTAAGCATATTTAAATTTTGTATTCACGGAAAATGAATCGATCATCAACGTTAGCCCTGTTTTCTTTTCAAGCCCTCTCTGATTGAAAGAATAATCATAAAAAGATGCAGTGTAGTCGAACTGTTTATATATCAAGAGAGAATAATAAACAATTAGAGGACATTAGACAATCTCATGAGTGACCACCAAAAGACAATTTTGCTATTGACGAGTGAGGGATCATATTTAACGGAGCTGCTGATATGATATTTTAATATCTATAATGATCGTTAGAGATGTGATCATTGTATCAAAAGTAATATTACATGTATTTGTAATTTGAAGAATTTAGTTTTAGTGCCTTTGTTACAATTATTACTGCAATTGTAAAGTAATATTCCATTGTTGGATGTACGTTTGGTACAAATAAATCCCATTTAATAGTACTATATCAACTACACTATTGTCATTGTTATATTCTTAAGCATATAATTGTATTGTATATTTAATTACTTCAAATTAATGATTCATTAATCCCAAAAGGATTATTATAATTGCAGGATGTGAGTGACGAGTTCTCCGTTTCTCACCCCAAGCTATACACAGCAGGCCATGGCGACGGTTTGTTCAATAAAAAAATCTTCGCACTAAGTGTCCTGGAGGGAATAATTACATCTGCTTTGTTGTACTTTACGGCGTTTGGGGCCTTCAGCAATAACATTCACAGCAACGAAGGCAGGGATATAATCGACCACCATGCTTTTAGCTTTGCCGTTGCTTCGGTCCTCATCTTCGTGGTTAACATCAGGGTGTGTAATATTTTTCAAACAAAGAACCAATTTATTTATAAATGAGCCAAAAGCACATTGATGACGTTCACTTCTATTTTGTGAATATTATATACTAAGTTGTTTTTTCAGTGTGCCATCGATACCCAGTTCTGGACGGTCTTTAACCATCTTGCTGTCTGGGGGAGTATTGTTGTGTACTTCATCTTTACATTCTTCCTGTACAGTGACTTCATTGTTTATTCCTACATTGGAAGCGAACGGATCATATTGAGCTCTGGTCAATTCTGGTTTACGTTGATCCTCATCGTAGTCGTCTGTATTCTCCCCATCATCGGATACAGATTTATTTCACAAGTGTTTAATCCATCATTTAATGACATCATCAGAACGGAAGTGGTTACGAGGGCAAGATCGGAAACATCGGAATTGTCGCATCTTGGGAATTCCGACCGTAAAGGGTCATTAAGAACTGGGTATGCTTTTTCACATACGGAAGGCTATGGAAGTATGATTACCAGCGGTACTAATATGAGAGCAGATGGAAGAGTTGCCAAGGTGTCACCTGGTGACGACAATCAGAATATTACAGGGGTGTCATATAAACAAAATGGCACAAATCTTGCCGTGAAAATATGAGATTTATTTGATCGAGGAGTTGATTTTTTACATGTATATTACTTGCAATTGTCTTTCTAAAACAAAATGTGCCTTATATGAGCTTTAAACACAACGTGTAACATTTCAAATAAATTTGCAAATGTCTGTATTTCTAGCTTTACTTTTGTTCAATAGCGTCCCAGGTCCATACAACCTCGGCGAATTCTAAAAATGAATATGACTATCATTTGTACATAGTAGTTTTTTGAGGCATGTTTCAACAATAAGCAATTTTAATAAACAAAATAATATAGATTCGATGATTACTGTTTATACAAGACAATGGTCATTTAATTCCCCTAGGTACATATTGCGATATTTCATGAACTACACACTCAAGTGGTTGAATGGAACTATCAGTGAATCTTGAAATCATTAAAGGTGGCCAGGTAATATTATAAAGCCAAAAAATGGTCACACAACAAAGAAAAGCAACAACAATGAAAAAGAAATGGAATCGGTATAAAACCATTTTGGCATATATTTCTGGCGTTTATTGTTTATTACAATAATGAATATGATTTGGACATTTAACCACACGATCGAATGGATAATTGCAAGGACGCTATCATACGCAAGACATGTTCCAATGGTAATAGACAGAATACATGAGATATCAGCAGAAAGAGACTTGATACTGGATAGAACGAGTTAACCAATTGTCCAATATTTCACTTTATTATTATCCAGTATTGAAGCAACGAGATCTCCAAATTGAACCATCTCGTATGCCAGAATACCTATCCTCGAAAAAGAATACTAGGCCCGGCTTCTGTTTTAGTAGACCCATTCTTTAAAATTAAAGTATTTCTTGACATGTTAACACCATCTTTATTTATCTACAGTAAATTAATGGTAGGAATATGATATTAACCAAGGGAGGTGCATAATAAAATAAATACTGGACGGTCCTCGAAAAAAAATACTAGGCTTGGCTTCGCCTCGCCTCGCCTAGCCTAGTATTTTTTCCTCGGATAGGTATTCTGGCATATCCACCTCATGGTCATCCAGTATTTGTTAATATTTCCCGCAGAAATGACGTTATTAGTATTATTACCACCGGTAATGCCCAGGGCTGATATAGCAAGAAATAGAAAATCTTGCGCACTGACCGATATCCAATTTCCCGGGGAAAATTGCCGGGCGTTAATGCAATATTGGCCCGCCAGTATGGCCCGCCACTATGACGTCACACATTGCTCAGGTCGATATAGTAAAATAAATGCCTTCTAAACTAGCACTAGGGAATTATATCCCTAAAACATGCCGGCAAGGTGGTGATAGTAGAGAGGTAGAGCTACACGTTCAAATGCAAACCGTGAACCTGAACGCATAAGTTCACGCTCAAGATCACGTTTAGAAAATTTTCTGTCAAGCTACACGATTTGGGTGTCGATTTTTGCCTTGCAACTGAAGATACCTCAAGAAAAGCCGGAGACTGCCGAAGATTTTATTTGCAAACGAAGTTGGCCGAGGGTACAACGAATGTGAAGAGGAAGTCAAAAAGAGAGGCTCTGTATTCTCCGTCAGATTGAATCGGCAAAGTTCGGTTGCATGGCTACCTTCGACTGCGTGGCCCAACCTCGATTAAATGGAAAAGATGCTGTCCCCGTCTGAAACCATGTCAGTGGTGACTATGTCTAATAGGCCATCAGCTTCACCCTAAAATTTAGGTTATCGGTATCAAGTTAGGGGAATAATCACCATAGTGATTTTTGGGAAGGTTAAGACCTCTAGATTAAGAAAATGTGTGATAGCATTGCAACAGTTGTAGCTAAATGGGTGTTATCACCCATTTTTCAAAATGGCCACCGGTGTACAAGTTACAATATAAAAGTGGGTATATCTAAGCATACTGAGATACAAAAAATGTGATTTTAGAATCTATGTTTGGGTTTATAGGGTCAAGGATCTTATTTATGTCTAAATTGGAGTCATCAAATAATTAATTTTCATAGAAATCCAAGATGGCTGCCAAAATGGGTGCCAAAACGAATTTGTAATTATTGATTTAAACTAAAAAAAACACTTGGAACAGTGATTTTGGAGCCCATGTCTACGTTTTAGGGGCCAAGGATTTCATTTATGTCTAAAGCTCTGAGTTCTTAAATAATTACTTTTCATAGAAATCCAAAATGGCCGTCAAAATGAGTGCCAAAACGAATATGTAACTTCTGATTTAGGCTAAAATAACACTTAAGAACAGTGCTTTTGGAGCCCATGTGTACATTTTAGGGGTCAATGATTACATTTATGTCTAAATCTTTGAGTCATTAAATAATTGCTTTTCATAGAAATCAAAAATGGCCGTCAAAATGAGTGCCAAAACGAATATGTAACTTCTGATTTAGGCTAAAATAACACTTAAGAACAGTGCTTTTGGAGTCCATTTGTACATCTTAGGGGTCAATGATTTCATAATGGCTTTATGGTGTAATGGTTAGCACTTAGGGAGTCAATAGGGACTCGTGTCCGTTAGGCCTGGGTTCTAATCTTGTCGCTTGAATACATTTTTGTTTTTTATTTTTGCTTTATTTCATATTCAACCACAATTCAATTACTTTAGTCTCACTTTTTACTCATATCAAGGGCGGGCGTAATACAAAGAAAATGCGTCGTTCGCAAATCAAATGTAGTGATAAGGCAAAAGTAGGCCCTGGTTGTCATTTCATTTCGTTTAGTAAACGTACTGTACTTAGCCCCGGGTATTAAACTAGCCCTGCCTATTTATATTATACGAAGTTACATGTCAACAAAACTATAAGTTGTCATTTATCCATTAAAATGTATACTTATTTCATATTATTTCATATCAAATATGGGCTCCTGGGCCATCATAGAACATAGCTAAAATCAATCACGTAATGAGCGACGTGTAATCGCTCATCTACACGTAAAACCTGTAACTTTCACGCTTACCTGTAGAAAGTAGACTAACCTGACGTCACTTTCCTGCGCGTGCATAGAAGTTCACGTTCATGCTTTGTTGAATACGCGTCTGTAAATTGCACCAACATGGTAATCTCATGTAAAAACCTGTGAACGTCACGCTGGCCCACAGAAAAACAAATCTGACGTCATTTATTTGCGGGTGCATTGAAGTCCACGTTCAAGTTTTGCTAAAATACGTGTAGCTTAACCTCTCTATTAACTTACTAGTATATCGAAAGCTCTCTATTATTAACAGAATCGCGAGTCATTCACACAGCGTGTCTCTCTATATATGATCAGCTTTATTAATCAGCGAGTAGTTGTTGACTTGTTTAAGGTTCTAGAACACAGAGATACTTTACCTACAGCTTCCTAGACAATGGATATTGAAGAATAATGATGTTAAAAGACATAAATCGTGAGTAACTACAACTACATAAAAAAGTGACGCAGCACCGACGGATGCATTCCTAAAACGCATGTGACTCCGTTGATCCGAGAAACTGTTGGTCATGGGGGAGCTGGATTATTCAATCAGCACATACGACTATCTCCCACTTTTTCAAGATTTCGATTGTGATAATCTTACTTCATGTAGCAATGAAACTTTTGAATATTTTGGATACACCGAATCCGCGATAAATCCAGAGGGGGTAGTTATTCCAGTGGTTTTCGGCAGTATTCTCATCCTAGGCCTTGTTGGAAATGGACTGGTCATATATGTGATACTGAGAAACCGCCCAATGAAGACTGTCACAAACCTGTACTTGGTAAACATGGCATTCGCTGACATGTTATTCCTTTGTCTCTGTTTGCCATTCACGGCCTTACTTTACACGCTACCGAGTTGGCCGTTCGGCGAAGTGGTGTGTAAGTAGAGTTCATTAACTTATAATGAAAATTAATTAATTGATTAGTCATGATTATATATTGATATACGTACATACACATTTGTAATTGTAGCGTCTTTATGTATGTCATTTTAAGGCACTTGAAATTGATGAAACCATACATCGAGGATGGTTGCAGTTAGCAGTATGAAATTGTGTAACTCACGAAATTATTCATCGAGGCAGGTTTTCCAGCAAAAAATGGTTTTAACATAAAATAAACAATTTTATCTCTTTTTCAATAAAAAAACAAACAATAATTCTTTTGATAAGATCCCACACATGTAATATATGTTGACATAATATGCACCATTTGATCTGATATCAAGATCCTATGTACACTCCCCTCCATAAGTTTGGCAACTTGAACCTTAGCTCCCCCATTGAACTACGTGTTAAAGCCTCTTTACGTTTGAATTTTATTTACTTAACTTGGGATGTAAATACTTATAATATTGATGGAAACGTAACTTGACTTCATTTCCAATACATCCAAATTTTCTCAATTTTTCCCCTCAATTACAATACTGTAGGTCGAAATTGATAATAAATTTGATGAATTTTTGAAAATCGACATTCCCATGTAAACCAATGGGAAATGGGAGGTTTGCCGCAAGTCTTAAATGACAGAATATCCATCCGATCGCGAGTCCTAGCAAGAAATACAAGTTAGGTAAGCAATTGAATTTGCTTTATTCTATTTAACAAAAAATTACGTTCCTTCAGGTTTGACAAAGTTATAGGTCTTTAAGTCAAAATTTTGTTTTTTAACAAACCTCTCCCATAAAAATGGAGGCGAAAAATGAATAGTAACTTTAGTATTCATCAAGTAAGCTAAACACTTAGTGGACAAAAAAAGTTAGCCCCATTTTGTAAAATCACAAAAAGTGAAATATCTTCTTTTGTTGGGAAGATAATATTTTCTTTTACTGCACATATTCTAATTTGTATAAAGATCAGATATTAAGGGTAATATGAAAAGTGAACCACTAAAACTGATGAATATTCAAGTTTGAGGGAACTTTGTTAAACCTTGCCATGTTATTTCCCCCTATATAGTTAACACATCAACGGTTTTGGTTACATATTCAGCGTACCATTTACACCAGTGCAGGGGCGGATCTGGGAACCAACAAAGGGGGGGGCAAATTTCAGGTCAGAGAAAAAAACGTCGGCGCTTGCGCGGAAAAAAATTTTGAGCCCCTAAAACGCAAAAGTGGGCCCAAATTTTGAAATTTTGACGCCCATTTTCTTCAAAATTAGGCCTGAATTTAAAAACTAAGGCCTTAAAAGGCCCAGTAATGACCAAAAAGGCCGACTTTTTGGGGGCCTTAAGGCCCCTTTTTTGGCTCAAAATTTTTTTTGGGCCCAATTTTTTTTTCTGGGCCCACCCAAGGGGGGGGGGGGGCGGGCCCCCAGGCCCCCCCCCCCTAATCCGCCAGTGCAGTGTAATGTTTAATTGACATTATCACATTCCATACCACAGTAGATTTCAGTTTAGTTAAAGGCAAGTTCAAATCAACTTGTATTATCTTCATATTACAGATTTTAGATGATAATATTGTTCAATAAGCCTGAAATGATTATTATTTGAACTATGTTTACAAAATGTGAATCTTCCATTTTGTTTCTGTTGACTACGTGGTCAAAAATGTTGTTCGACCGATCCCCTATGATGTTATGACTTGTATGACAGTTTATATTAATCATAGACCAATGAAATATAGATTCATCTTGACATGAAGATAGAATCTTGGGACACTGAAGCCGTCGTAACTTACGATTAGGTAGCAAGTCATTGGTACCTGTTACACTGCTGGGTTGAGTCTAACGAAGCATTTTTGTAACGAAGGTTAGCGAAAAAATTGTGTCCACACTGGCTTTATCCAACCCTAACGAAGCAATTATTTGGTGTTACACTGCACTTAAAATGCTTCGTTGCGCGTGCGCAGTACTCATCTGCCCCACCCACTTATTATGATTAATATTTTTATTCTTTTGATATAAACCATTGATCAAACTCAAAAATATAATTTTTAATGTTTATTTTAACAATTCAGCACAGAAAAAGACTAGTTCAAAATTCTCGGGAAAATAAAACCAGATGAATGTGATCATTCCGTACACATGTCCATACATCTTTCCCATCATTTCGATTTTTATATATTTCAGCTGTCAATACGATTACAAGTATTGTTTTCATTTTCTATCATTTCCTTTGAAAAACATATGGAATAAAAATAGGCCTATGTTCACTGCTACCCACCTAATTACACAGACGTATCGTCGGTGTATCATGGCGGAACTTCCTCCGGGACTAGGTTTCGGTAAGATTTTTTTATTTCCCGATCTACACCTACTTATAAGTCACGTTGTGGATAATAATTTGGCTCGAAGTTAAGGGAGATAGTCTAGTTTGAGAATGTGTCGATGGTTTTAGGTTTTATATGTTAACAAAGACACAATTCACGTATTTAGTCCCTCGCTTTTCTTACACTGACGATCAGCATTAATATTACCAATATAACACTGACGAAGAGGTTTGCTTACCCTGACGAATGGATAATATTATTGAGAAAGTTGATCTGAGGAATGTCATGAACATAGGACGTAGCCATACGCCCGGTGGCATTTATAAGAATCGCCTCGATATTTTTATACATGTTCCCGGGCCTATGGATGTAGCTTTCTATTAAATCTCGGAGATTTCTGGCAGGTGCCCAGGGCCCAGGGGAGGTATGTGAAGCTGAAGCTGAGATATTGAATCAAATCCTTTCAATTATTTTTATGTAATTATGATATGTGCATAACATCTCGAAATATTTAAACAAAACAGGCATCATATTCTCAATTAATAATAAATTGGAGTCCAAATTTACTCGTAGTATATAACATGCGGTTGATGTGATAGCGCTATTGGGAGTGTGCAGTTTATTTACATTATTTTGCTACAACTATCATCACATTTGTTTTGACTGGCTCTTATTGTAGTTGACCAAGAGCCATCTACAATGGCGGACACTGGTGGGGTAAGTTTCATGTTTGCTGTTTAAGGATTTAGACTCAGTGCATTGTGGAATGACCATTCCTTGAAGGACGTTGCTTTCCAAAATTTGCTCGAGATGCTTGCATCAAATGTCAATTTTAGGACACAACCCTTGAAAGGAATTGCCATTCCACAATGCATTGATTCTTTGGCTTAAATTATTTTCACACATTGCAAAATATTTTCTACAAAGTCACCTAAAACATACAAAATCACTAAAATAACATATTTCTACTGAAACTTTTTGCGAGGGTCAAGTATTTGAAAAACATCAATTACAGCTCCTCACCTAGCAACTATACAAAACAAATGCATTATTGATTATTTTATAATTCACTAAAGTATCATCATATTTGAAATGTAACATATAAGATTGCTTAATCCTAGACAGAAATCTCACTTTTGACCTTCACATAACTGAACTTGGTGCAAGAATAGACAAACTTTTAAATCCACTGAAAGCGCTCTGTCAGAAAATAAATGGAAAACATCTCGAAACAATCTTTAAATCTTTTATCCTGCCACTTTTTGACTATGGTGATATTTTATATGGGTGTGCAAACACAACAAAATTACAGTTATTAGATCGACTTTACTATAAAGCCCCTTGCATTTGTTCAGGTACTCTACATGGGACTTCGACAATTAAAGTGTTGAATAATTTAAATTGGCCAACATTAACAAAGAGGCGTCAATATCACAGAAGCATTTTCATGTATAGGGCACATAATAATATGCAGCCCTCTTATGTTCTTAACATATTTGAGCCTCTCAAAAGAAACCATGCTTATGGTCTAAGAAATCAACTGAGCTACACAATTCCTAATAAATCCTCATTTTCTAATAGATCTTGCATATCAAAAACACTGACTGAATGGAATAAGCTTTCACCTGAAATAAGAAATTTACCTACCCTTAGTATATTCAAATCCAGACTTAAAATAGATCTATTCAATGACGATGTTACAAATTCATCAGATCTCTCCGTTTTAAGAAAACAAGAAATAATTTTCAATAGAGTGCGCTGTGATCTCATTTTTAAGGCTCACCTTTACGCTCACAATTTCACTAATATAAACTCCCCATTTGCCAGTGTGGAATGGATGGTGAAACAACCAATCACGTAATTTTTCACTGTAATCTAAGATCAACATTTTGGACAGAATTTGAAAATGAATTAAAAAATATGAACATAGAATATTCTACTAAATATAGATCACAACGAGACAAACTCTCCCTTATCCTCAATGGCGATAAAAGGCTACCTAAAGCTGTAAACTTAAATATCCTCAAATGTAGTGCCATCTTTTTTGAACGATGTAAAAATGTCTAGGTCACCCCCACCACTGTAACCCTCCACAAATACAACCCCTATTTTAATAATTGATTGAATACTGTTAATTGATTTTCATCATATAACGTGGCTGATAATGCTGATGCCCAGCCACAAGCACATGTGCACTTGTTTACTGTATTCTTTGTATAAATATATAAATAAATTAAAAAAAAAAAAAAAAATTACATTTAGAAATGCTTTAAATTCATTCTTAATTATCAGATTCACTTGCACTGTTGATGAAGATTTTGATGATCAATCATCTTTTAATAGCCGATATATGATCGATTTTTTGCGTAAATAAGAATCCTAAATTCACTAATTGTCTTTAAATGGCTCTGACTATTGAAATTAATAGGTGACAATTGATGATGCACGGGATGGTAAGTTGAAGATACGTAACTTGCTCTTTTCCTTCATATGTTCACAATAATTGATAAGGATTGTTCTCCCTAGAATTACATTTGCAATGGTCATGTTCAATTCAAAACTGTGTACGTTTGACCACACCGGTGGACAACACACATACGTGTAACGTTTTAGAAACATGTCCATGGCCAGAGATACATCTCCAATGTACGAGCTTTGGCTTTTTCACAATTTTGGCTAAAAATCATACGAAAGTGCTCAGAATGGTGAAAACTGCATGGTTTTGTAAAAATTGGGAACATCATGATATTGGCAAAGTGTTCTAGGGACGACACTGTTCATATATTTACATTTAAGTTAGATAATGTTTGTATCGGGATCGTCCGAAGTTGTTTTCCCTTAGGGTCTGGGTTCTGATTTTACCTCGTCCTTTCATGAACTAGAATGCCTTACGAGTCGAATCGAATTATGCTGGGTACATAAAAAGTTCAGTCAAGTATTAATGCAAATTAGAAAATATCCTCTGAGATAGGCTGGCATTTACTGACTTTACTCCTGAAGAATATCTTGCCTTTGAACGCGTAGCGGCTCTGCCTCATGATATTGTATTGTATGCCGTGATAACATCTTTGGCGCTTCCCCATCCCCTATTACAATAGTAGCATTTGTATTTGGGAGATTCATGACTCTCTGAAATAGTTTAACCATACATACGAAATTGTTACCTCGTATACACAAATGTTAAAATGGTTCGTCAGTGTAAGCAACAGCTCCAAATCAAAGATACGTCAGAGTGATATTGGTCGTTCGTCAGTGTAAGAAAAGCGAGGGACTAAATACGTGAATTGTGTCTTTGTTAACATATAAAACCTAAAACCATCGACACATTCTCAAACTAGACTATCTTCCTTAACTTCGAGCCAAATTATTATCCACAACGTGACTTATAAGTAGGTGTAAATCGGGAAATAAAAAAATCTTACCGAAACCTTGAGCCGGAGGAAGTTCCGCCATGATACACCGACGATACGTCTGTGTAATTAGGTGGGTAGCAGTGATGTTAATTACTAGGAGGAATTGGATTTGGAGTTTATACAGAGGACTAGTCGTATAAAACGTTCAATTTCCAAATGGACTTCTCAGTTATATTTCAAATCGTGTAGCCATTACTAAAATATCTCGGTGTTCGGCTGGTGGTTTAACTACTATTTCATGATCAATTCATTTAATATGAATATTACCCGTCTCGCCAATATTCCATGCATATTTAAGTGAGTTTGACATAAATTAGTATGTTAATCCATCAGCCGTCCGTTGAATTCGAAAATGGCGCAAATTGGAAGAAACTTAAATATCAGTTGTAAGCATCGTCTTACGACACATCAATAGTGTTTGGGGCTGGTTAAAAACATGCAGCCTCTCTGTGGTAAAAATCTGTCGACAAGAAACAATTTTGGCCGCAGGTTTTACTGTATTTGTATACGGAAGTTTTGAAACGTAATCAATTAAATATATTTAAACATGACGTACAAGTATTGCAATGGGGCGATAATCAGTTGAATACGATATCTGAAGAGAGACATTTTCGAATCAATCAAATCGGCTAAATTCCCTGATGTGATTCACCGGGAAGCATTTGTATCAGTATCATGGTATTAGCACCTTTAGAATTACATTCAAGGTATAAATATTCGAGGCGCAAGAAAAAATTAATATTAAACATGTATGCCACAACTTTCTATTTAGTAACCATATCTTATGTAATTTCAAAAGTTTACCCTTCCCCACTTGAGATGGAGTTTTCCCGGAAAGAGGGACATTTAAATATTCTAGGTTTATTCCCTTATAGATCAGATAAACGTTTCAAAAATACCGTATACATATACGGTAAAACCTGCGTTTTTTAGATTTAATACTTTTTGTCATATCAATGCGAGGAAAGGCAGGGAATCGAATGAAATGCCACGAAAGACGGTAAATCACATTTGTACGTGGCGTTTAGGGCTTGAGTTAGCGTCAATCAGTGACGCAAATAGGTAATTATTTTAATCAAAACGTAGCATTATAATAATACGTACTTAAAAACATGTTCTTTCCTCGCGATTCCTCTCATTTAATACAAAATGATGAATGTGCTCTTTATTACGCGCATGCGCAAACCGCCAACTAAGCATTTTCTAACGAAGCTACCTGTTACACAGGCCAAAAAAGCTTCGTTGGGACCTAACCTTCGTTGAATTTTCTACTCAATTGCTTCGTTATCAACTAAGCTTTTCTAACGAAGGCGGAGGTGTTACACAGGCCCAAAATTGCTTCGTTACGAAGCTTTTTGTCAAATTGCTTCGTAACGAAGCATTTCAACTGGCCTGTGTAACAGGGGTCATTGTTCGTCAAAAAGTAGACTCTTTCCTTGGAATCGTAAGTTACGATCGTACCAAAACGAACCCCTGGATGATAACTACTCCCTCTTCTAGATCCAGTTAATTGACAGTATAGCTTACAGTAAAACCTGTCTAATCCGAACGCCATTGAGTCCGGTTGGGATTATGAGGTGTTCGGATTTCGAGGTTTTTGCATCTGCAAGATTTTGGATTTTGAAAAATATAGATGCATGCTCAATGAGTATTAATATTTCTATTGACCACATACCTTCATGACATTCCAAAATTCTGTTCAAATGAACAAATGCATTGAAAGAGCCATTATGATTGAGACCATTTGATATTTTTTCAAAACAAATCAGTGTTAAATTGAAAATATTTGAGCAATTTTGTAAGAAATATGTGATATTTTGAGAAAGGTATCCAGATTAGTCATGTTAATTTTTGAAATGAGAGTGTTCACTATTCAAATCAGATTTCAAGTTTTTTTAACATGAGAGTCAAAGGGAGGAAAAATAAGATCGGAAAAGGTGTTCGGATTAGATGGTGTTCGGATTAGCCAGCTAGTGTTCGGAAATACAGGTTTCATTTTATATTCTATTCCAAATATTTTCAATAAGGGTAAATGGGAGGTGAACACACATTCACTTGCTGGTATGACACTCTTTAAATATGAAATACAATAAAAATAACAACAAATGTAAAGGATTGTTATCGGCACGGAAAATAATTACATACAAATGCAATGTCAAGAGGCAAATATTATGTTGACTTAAGAAGAAAAATCTCATAATCCTCTTCTTTTTGATCGTCAAGATAGCAAGTTAGTTCTTTATTGCATAGAAAATGTCCACACTTGAGGATTATTAATTAGGTTTAGAGGCATAATACTAAAAGACCTTTAACCCTTTCCATTAATTCAGTTTATTTTCTCAATTATGAACAATACTGATACTTTACACAATTCTATGTACATTTCTTATAATATATCACAAATCATTGTAAATACCATAATTTGGCACCTGATACTCCCTCTTGGGGTCATGGCCACTACAACCTGTAAATATGTTACATGTACATTGATTTTAATAACGAAAAAAGGCATGCCTGTTACTAAAAATACAGTTCCGTAAATTGACAGACATTTTGAAAAAGTTGATATCTCTTTTTCCAATCACATTTTTGCACTTTAATTTTCAATATCTTCCATATTACATCAGATCTATCAATAAATTAAGTAAATAAACAAGTTATAAATTAAACAATATTCTTTTTATTTTTGAAAATGTCTGTACTGCTGTTCCGTAGTTAATACGGTCACGATTTGAAATTAAAACCAGAACAAAGTCTATCAGTAAAAACACATAACCATTGCAATCATAATGAACAATATTAATGCTATACTTTGGAATTAAATAGTTAGATATAGATATATACACTTCTAAGTCTCAAATATACCCCAATATGGTCGTCTATAGTCCCCAGCATTTACAATATACAACGACTAAAATAAATAAATATAATTAAAATAGATATACAAATTATAAATAAACGCATTAATAAAACAAATGAATTAGTAAATAAATAAATAAAAATAAAACATATAAATACTTTAATGCAGGTAAAATGGTGAACTACATGATGATGGTGACAATGTCTACAAGTATATTTACTCTGATGGCGGTGGGAATCGACAGATACTATGCCATTATGAAACCCATCCGTTCAAGATCGTTCAGGTAATTTAAAGAAATTAACGTAATATTATTTTTGGAAAACGGCCATCGTTTTATTACTGTAAATCTTCTTAGATTTTTATGTTGCCATGTATTACATCATTTCGTTTTTAAATTAGCCTAGACTTAGGTAGATGATCTGATATTTAGCTCAATCCTGGTATTTGATTGTTCTATCTTTAAATCTCGAGAGATCAATGTAACAAGCCGTTAAGGTAAAAATAAACAATAACGTGATTAAACGTAAATAAACGGCTTACGGAGGATCATTATATCTAAGACGTTCACCTCTTTAAAATGGCATTATCAAACTCCGCTGGGACAAATAAGCGTCTTTTCCTCGACCCCCGTTTGCTCAAACATAGGGCTTGTTTATAGAGAATGATATATCCGAATACTTTAAATATCAACTCCTCAGTCTCTTGTCACTGACTTACATAATACTGATGCTACATCAGTTTATTACATGACAAAGGAGTATACATATGTACCATAAGACGCTGGACACCTGATGTTAGGTCACTAACTAATATAAAAAGCTAGATGACGCAAACGAAATCATGGCCTCAAATAGCCATCCAAAGAACCACGTGTAGTATAGCAAGTGATTTTAAACGGACATACCTTTCAAGCCCTTTCACCATGAGTACTTTCGGGCCATAAATACAGTGGTTTTTATCAAAACAATATGGTTTTTTCTTTCAAGTGAAGTTCCCATGATGAAAAAATATCTATCGAACCAATCGAAAAATTATGAATAGGGACCCATTGTCAATATTTTTTTAATGTTGTACCCATTTACTCAAAAGAAGAAGATTTTTATTCCATGAAAAGATTATTCAACAAGGGGTCTAAAACATCCTTAAAAGTTGAATGGTATTAAAAGTCTAGTTAAAAATCAAGGAAGATATCAATTTTTGATGACCAAAATTATGCTGAAAAATGGATAGCACGAGTTTTTCCAATGGGAAAATAACATGGGATTTGGGTTTTTTAACTTTGTCGCATTTCAATCCCCATCCCCTTTTCAGAAGCTGTTAATATAGTATAGAAGAAACTTTTGATATACTTAAAGAAAAACAAGATCCAATAAGCATAACATTTTTTAAAAACCGACAAGATGGGGTCCCAATACATATAATTTTTCAGAGAGTTGGATTGATATTTATTATCATGGGGACTTCATTTGAAAGAAGAAATATTGTTTTAATAAAAATCACTATATTTATGGCCAGAAAGTACTCATGTTGAAAGATATGTCTGTCCAAAATCAATTGGACTTTTTAATAAATTTTAGGATTTGTTATACACTCTAACATTGTGCGAATTTCAAGAAAATCCGATGAACGATCTTCTGGAATGTCGATGACAATATTTATTGAAAACACTAGTAACTCATCTCCACGACTTGGTACCCTCTAACTTCTGTACGAATTTAAAGAACTACTGCCAACAATGTTTATGTTCAAACCTAGGCGGTATAATATGTAATACTTACCATAAACTTAATTCATGAAATAAATGATAAAATAAATTTAAAGAAAAGCCCACCAGCGCTATTTCTTGAATCGCGACGGCAAGGATAAAGAAAGAGAACAAAATGGGAACTAAAGACAAGATGGCCGCCCAAAACTTAATCACCTGTAAAAACCTTTAACATACATGTATGTTCGACTTTGAAGAAATCTGACAATCGGTTTTCCTGATATCGGGATGAAAAAGGGGGGGGGGGGGTGGTACCAATCACGATCTCAATAACAAACATGAGCATGTTGTCACCACTATGACGACTGAGGACACCCCACCGGTGGTGTGATAAAAATGAATTAACATCCTGATACAAAAGAATACTACTAGACACGTAGTTTCTCTCCTTTCCGCTTTAACTTGCTGAGATTACTTGGACATTCGTTTCATCTTGCGTACGAATTTAGCTTAAAAAATGGATAAAAGGTCATTGTTAAAAAATGGCCGTAATTTGTTCCACGAAAGGAAATTTTCATTTTCAGTGTCATTGATTTTATTTGCTTAATTTAGGCCCAGAAAGGAAAATTTAATTCCTTAAATAACCATTTGGCCTAAAAGTGAGAACTGATACCGATGATGTAAAATCGAGATGAGATCTGAAACCCATCCATAAAGCACTGATTAGAATTCATGATAAGACATGATGGGTACCTAAAATAATGGATGTTTGTTTTTAGGAATATCGAGAACACGACTTGTCTGTTGGTACTGATTTGGGTTCTGAGTCTCGTAGCCATGTCCCCAATACCAAAACTGTCGAGGTTGGTGATGTTTTTACAAAACGGAGAGACACGAGCGTTCTGTGCTGAACACTGGGAGCACATTTCACACAGGAGGGCGTTCTCTATGAGCATTTTTGTAATCATGTTCCTTCTACCCATGCTCATCATTGCTATCTGCTATTTCAAAATGGCGAAAAATCTATTGACGAGTGTCGGCCCTGGGGTGTCAATAGAATGCAATATCAGTGCGTTCAGAGTGCTTAGATCTAGGAGGAAGATTGCTAGGATGGTCTTCGTTGTAGTTATCCTCTTTGTCACGTGCTGGATGCCTCTACATGTTGTCCATCTTTGGTTCGATTTCGGAAAGGTTGACCACATTACGTCCGAATTTGATATCTTCAAAATCGTTGCCCATTGCATGAGCTACCTTGGCAGTGTCGTTAATCCTTTTGTGTACTGCTTCATGTCTCATAATTTTCGCAAGTGTTTCAAACAGGCCTTCAAATGCGGTAAGCTACCCAATGGACAGATCTTCGTAGTGACAGACCCCGAACGTGTCCAGCCACATTCGAACGATCTTACCCCGGAGAATAGCAGTAGGATGCCTTTATTCACTGGAGGTGACCGGGATGACGAGACAGAAAGCGTGTCTCCCGCCGAATGCTCAACCGAACTGCCAGCGTTTAAGAAGCAAGAGGAGCAGACGATGTTCCTCGCTCAACCGGATCAATTTAACGTGATAAGTGTAAATGAACATAGATTATAAAACGCCGATAAATAACAGTAAACTGTTTCAACCAATCTCCTTAAACTTAGAAAGAAGCAAATTGAATCGGGAGAATTATAGAATATTGAACACTAAGACAGTGTTCACTGAATTATTGCACATTAAATGGAGTCGATCACTGAATCACTGATTGTTGCAACTCATTGCATCGATTCACGGAATTATAAAACAGTTTGATTGGCGAAAATCTTTGAATCACTGAACTTTGATTGTAATACCTAACAGAATCATTGAACATTGATTGTAGAAATTTATAAAATTATTATACATTTATTGCTGTAATTCATAGAATCATTGTTTAATGATTGTAGCAACCAAAGAAATAATTGAATATTAATTGTAGTTATTCATACAGTTATTGTACATTGATTGTAGCAACTCATGGAATCATTGAACATTGATTGTAGTTATTCATACAGCTATTGAACATTGATTGTAGTTATTCATACAATTATTGAACATTGATTGTAGTTATTCATACAGTTATTGAACATTGATTGTAGTTATTCTAACAATCATTGAACATTGTTTGTAGTTATTTATACAGCTATTGAACATTGATTGTAGTTATTCATACAGTTATTGAACATTGATTGTAGTAATTCTAACAATTATTGAACATTGATTGTAGTTATTCATACAATTATTGAACATTGATTGTAGTTATTCATACAGTTATTGGACATTGATTGTAGTAATTCTAACAATTATTGAACATTGTTTGTAGTTATTCATACAGCTATTGAACATTGATTGTAGTTATTCATACAGCTATTGAACATTAATTGTAGTTATTCATACAGTTATTGAACATTGATTGTAGTAATTCTAACAATTATTGAACATTGTTTGTAGTTATTCATACAGCTATTGAACATTGATTGTAGTTATTCATACAGTTATTGAACTTTGATTGTAGTAATTCTAACAATTATTGAACATTGTTTGTAGTTATTCATACAGTTATTGAACATTGATTGTAGTTATTCATACAGCTATTGAACATTGATTGTAGTAATTCTAACAATTATTGAACATTGTTTGTAGTTATTCATACAGTTATTGAACATTGATTGTAGTTATTCATACAGCTATTGAACATTGATTGTAGTAATTCTAACAATTATTGAACATTGTTTGTAGTTATTCATACAGTTATTGAACATTGATTGTAGTTATTCATACAGTTATTGAACATTGCTCAATCATTGAACATTGAACTACAATATACGCTTTGCATCAAATTGTATATGATTATATGTAACATGTTAAAATTGGAATAAACTTAAACTTAAACTTAGTAATTCTAACAATTATTGAACATTGTTTGTAGCTATTCATACAGTTATTGAACAGTGATTGTAGAAACTCACGGAATCATTGAACATTGATTGTAGAAATTCTAACAATAATTGGACATTGATTGTAACAATTCACAGAATCATTGCACATTGATTGTAGTAATTCGCTGAACTCATTTCAGCGAATCAGAGTTCACAGAATCGATATCATTGAATTGATGTGTAATTCATACAGTTATTGTCATTGGTTGTACTAATGCACTGTATCACTGAGCATTAGCATTGAGTGTATAAATCAATGAATCTTTATTTCATAGAATAACATTAATCATTAATGACGTTGATTTTATGGCATCCTTAAGATGTCAACTCCAAAAAACAAAACTGTTCTATCCACAATTGGTAGAGCTTTTAATATAAATTATAAACATGTAAAAATAAATTCTTTGGTCAAAGGATCCTAGCAAATACGGGGCTGGGATCTGATATGAATTCAAAGTGGATGAAAAATAATTACATTGTGTGAAAATGGTGTATGCAAGGGAGACATTATGAAGATAGAGCAAGGTGTCAAAAGAAGGGTCTCTAAGATAAAAAATAATGTAAGTGTGAAAGTGGTAACAGGCGAACGTGATGAAATTCAATAAAAATCCAGAAATAAATTACTGAGAAACAGAAAAGCCAATTCTTTTTGTACAATGTACATATATTTTTTTCTATTTCAAATAACATATGTATGACACAAATACAATGTTTGCATCTTTCTAAGGTCAGGATAAAATAATCTTGCTTCTGGTCACATAGATTTAATATTTGAAACCCAACCCAACATACCATCTCTTTAAAAAGTTCAGTCTCTATTTTGCTTGTATAAATATTTTAACTTTCTCTTTCTCTCCAGATAAGCAAAAGTAAAAAAAGCTGTAAAATGTTTTCAATGACCCCTGTTACACAGGACGGTTGAAATGCTTCGTTACGAAGCAGTTTAACAAAAAGCTTCGTAACGAAGCAATTTTGGGCCAGTGTAACACCTCCGCCTTCGTTAGAAAATCTTAGTTGATAACGAAGCAATTGAGTAGAAAATTCAACGAAGGTTAGATCCCAACGAACCTTTTTTTGCCAGTGTAACAGGTAGCAATGTCTATCTGATATTACATAGAGATAGAGTTTTCCCTCTAATAATGGCATGTGTCTAATTAAAAAATCTGAGTGAGTGGGTAATCTCTTTCAATATTACTCAATTCCTGCCTCCTACACAGCAACCAGAACCAGGACTATTTCTTCCCTAGCCATCATGTTTTGTAACATCTATCTTAAGCACCTACAAAATTAACTTGAACTCCTATATGAATTGCATTTTATTGGCTATTATCTTATAGTGTATTATCAATAAAAAAGATGTGTCCTTTCGAAATCTACTCTTGCAGGGCATATTGTAGGGCCACTACTTAGGTTTCTGCAAAGATCCACACAATCTAAGAAACTACATGAACAAAATTGTACACAGCTTATAATACACCATTTTAAACATCTCCCATTTTTACAAATCCACTTGTTTCCATGGCCACTGAATGCATAGTTTTTGGGGTTATGACTTAACTATTGTATATATTTCTCTAGTAGATTTTATACTTGACAGTGTTATCACATAAAACATTATACATGCCATTGAAATCTTCTATGTACTGAAGTGGATACACAAGAGATCATACTTACATGGCAATCATCATGAAAATTCATGTTGAAGGCAGAAAGATGCAGGCCTGAGCCAGGATTTGCCAAGGGGGGGGTTCAGTTTTCAAATATTTCCAGGGGGGGGGCTCACATTTGACAATTTTGGCCCAAATATGGCTAAAATCACTTGAGAAGTGCTAAAAATGGTGAAAAACTGCATGATTTTGAAAGAATTTTTGGCCAGGGGGGGGGGGTTCGCCCTAACCCTGCAACCCCCCCCCCCCCTGGCTAAGGGCCTGAGATGAGATGTGATGAGTATCAGAATGCATGCTAATAAACATTCAAATACATGTAGTAAGGCTTATCCATGCTCAAGAGTAATGGATGTACCATGTGGGAGTTGACCTTGGCAACGTGAGATATGACTCAAGGCAGCTTGATATTAAAGAGAGAATCAGATCTAGCGAGCAGCTTAACAAAAAATTGTCTCAATTTTAGAATATTTCTTGCTTATGTCATTCCTTTTCATGTCTATTTTCTAAAAATCCCCAAAGTGCACACTTTATGTCAGGAAAACTAAAGATTTTTACAATCATGTATTATTTTTCTATAAGAATGGTTACCATTCTTATTATTTGGGAGAATTTAAACATTTTTCACGCAATTTTGCACTTTGAATCCATTATAACTTCACCAATTTATAACATATCGTGAATCTTTTGGGATATATTGTATTTGAGATTGTAAGGAATACTAGTAGATTGGTAGGTCAATTGTACATACTGCTTGTAATTAATTATAAATTGTCACCAAGATCCAAAATCTGTTCTGTCCAAAATTTCAGTTCAGTGTTCAGTTAGATCCTTGCTGCAAGGGTATTTTACAAGTATATAGGTTATAACAGGTTATAAAAATCAGAATGGTTGCCATGGAAACAAGCTGATTTTGACAAAACAGGGGATAATTTAAAAAAGTTCATTTCTGAAATCCCAAAGTCACCAGCTTTTAATCATGTATTGTGAGCCGTGTACCATTTTGTCCATAGATATATCCCTTTTAAACATAAAATTTGAGATACATTTGTTGGCCTATTAGGCTCATCTTCTAGCCAGGTCTTGCATTACTAATGCCATACATTGTAGTCAATTGCATTATAGTCTCACATTAACACCTTGTATACCCCATATCATACATAACTGAATCTGCTTGGTACGGAAATAGAAAGGGAGTTGTAATTATATAGAATCAGGGTTCTCACTAGGCTTTTAGACTCCAGAGATTCTCCGGAATATAATGTCTTAAAACCTCTTGATCCAGAGTCTAATAGCTTTTCCGGAGTCTAAAGTGTTTTTTCCGGAGTCTAATTTTACATTTTTGTCACATTATTTGCGGTAAAACTCTTGAGAAAATACATAAAACTGGATACAAATAAGGAATAGGAAATCAGAAACCTTTTTAAAATAATAATATTTGGATTAAAATTGCAAGATAATCTTAAGAAGTATGTTGAAAAGTATACTCATAGGATATCTCTGATCTCACATGGGGGAGAAGTTGTCACGATACCATGAAAAAAGTAATCGCAATACCGCTAAAAATCAGAGGTCTAAAAATTTCCTGATGAGAACCCTGAGAATGGTACTGGTTGGTATCAAACATGAATTGAATAATTATCTCTGGTTAATCCACCATTCTAAGGTTGGTCGTGAGACCCCTCCCTCAAGCGGGGATGGTCGTGAATTAGACAGTGTTGTGCCATGGGATTGGACTTCAACATATTGGCTAATCACTGGAATAGGATGACAGCCTAAATTTTATCAATTTTAAAAAGTCCCACAAAATACCCACGCTACGCCACTGAAATGATTACATTGCACAATTCAAATGGATATGTTGGTAGTACTTGGTAGTACGTATATACGATATCAGGAACATATTTCACAAAATATCTCACACCCAGCATGACAGGAAGATGGTAATCTAATTACCCTTTCTTATTCAGAGTCTAAAATACATGTACAGTAAAGTGGAACACATTTGGTTACCTCTAAAAAGTGTTCCACTCGGGAGGTGTTCCACTTACAGAGGTTCATCTATTAATGAGTCAGTAGTTTGCGGGACTTTGAAATGTGTTCCACTTTCTACTGTACTAGACTCCGACACTCAGTATGATACTCATTAGGTCTGTGACATTGATTCCACTTAAAATCTATCCTTTGCAAACATTTATTTTAAAAAATAATTAGGAATCCACTTTTTCTGATTCTTCCTTAATAACATGTCAACTGAAAGATTGTTCAGGCCAACTTAGGTCTAAAGTCCCTGCTACATTCATTGAAAAATCTTTTATAATGAGCACCTGTTCAGATTAGATTGAATTTGCACAATTTATTTTGACATCTCACAGATATACAGATATTGCATATTATTCTATGACAAGTGAGGTTTCAGGTACATAACAGCGGGATATAGAATTGATTTCTTGAGGAAGCAGGACATAACACATTGTACATATATATCTCCCGGTGAATACAAGTATCTAGCCTTGCCCAAGTCATTCTCTTTTACTTATCTTGATTTCTATGGTAAAAATTCAAGATCAGGATAAATGAAAAAATACCGAATTGGGCAAGGCTAACATGTATCTCCCACTCCAAAATTCCCGGGAAAACAATTTTGTTAAATGTAGAAATAGTCAAATTGTTACAATATCTTGCTACAATGTAACTGTCAAAATGGATGCAGCTTATGGAGAAACCTCACTTGTCATAGGATAAATAAGTGATGCTTGGTTTTGAATATGGGATATACTGTATATCTCTCGGGAAATATGATATCCAAAACCTCTCATAACATAACCTTCATATATTTGATTTGAAGGATATTGGTAAAGATTCCTCAAAATATCTTAGGATAACATTGCAAAATGGTTACTGCCAAATATTTAAACTATAGATTTTGTACAAAATTGTTAAGATCGCCAAATCAAACGTGACATGCTAAAAAGCAATTAACAGTATGGTTATTGCCAATTTATGCAATCGCAATCATCTTTACATCTTACAAAGGAAACAACTGTAAAGAGGTGTAGATTATGACAATAGCTTGATCTTCATAGAGGATGTAGATGTCAATAAAGAATGTCATAAGTAACCACAGGTGGTAATAAAAAGAATCAAAGGGGATAATAAATTTAAAGGAGTGTAAATTAATTTATAAATAGAATTACTTCTACATTGCCATTTCCCTTTAGATCTCATTTAGTAATAAACAAAGAATATCTTAACTCTGTAATTTAAAACACAATAAAATTAGTTCTGAGAGTGCATATATCCATGAAAGGGAATAAGAAATGCATTTACGTAGGAACTGTCTTAGTGAACACCTGTCTCTAGTGGACACCCCTCCATCTCTACTGACTTTTCTATGAACTACCCTCTCTGTAGTGAACATCAACCAACAATGAATGTTTTTTTGCAATAAAATGTTCAATATACAAAGGTTTTATTGCAGATGAAATGGTACTTATGCAGACTGGCCAGCATGAAAAAATGCCCTTTAAACTACTTATTGAGACGTGTACATACAATAGTATAATGGTGGCATATTAAAATGTTTTACAAATGGTTCTATAATGATTTGCACTCAAACATGTTTTAAATGTTCAAACTACACGTAATGTTAAAGATTCATAAAAGTTATTTCCCTTTCCAAAAGTCTGATTTCGCCTCTTTGAAAGAGAGGTTAATCTATTCATTACATACTAGGCTTGGACACTTGTCAGGTCATTAACAATCATTTAAGTCATCAATCAAATCAAATCTTATTCAAAATAAATCTGTATCCTGTCAAGTTCCTTTAAATAATATGCATGGTAAAATTATCAATGTAAACAATTTTCTATTTGAGAAATCTTATTAATACTTAATGCCAAAATGTGTTCCACTCCACCCTTCTTATATTAACTCATTGCTGGCCAAAGCTATTTTTGGAGGTTTTCTGCTGGTTAAGCAAAATTAAACAAAAACAGTTATATCAAATATTTCTAAATAATTTTCGCATTAAATTGTTGTCAATCAGTCAACATTACATAAAATACCGTATTTTTTTACAGAATGTTTTCAATGATTGGTTTAAGAGAAAAACATTGTTGAATTCAGTTCTCCATATCGATACCACTCCTTTCTTTGTATTTTGAAATCCAGTCACCATGTAAATAGATTTTCTTTAACATATAGAGAGGAGGCATATTGAGTAAAAAAAGTTCGTGAAAAAAACGTAAGTCTACAATTTAAGATTTTATATGGATTTCAAAATGAATTATGCACCACATTTGAAAGACCAAATGTTCTTTGGTATTATATGCCTAATAACCAAATTACAGCATTTTACTTATTTGCCCATTACACACAGTGAAAGATAAAAACTAGGTTTGGTGAAAGTCGATTTGGATATTTTGAGGATAACTTGGTCCAACTGGTCTTCTTCAATAGCTCATAAATAGGCATAATATTCTGTGTCATAAGTTTTTAATAAGTTGAACTAAGATATAGAAATGATGGTTTAAATGCACTTCATCCAATATATGTCAGATCTCAAAAATCTTCAGTATATGAAAATGCCAGTTGCAGACCCAACCATTCCTTTTTTCTATTATTATGCTTCATCATATAATAGCGATGTTGTATATGCATGCATGATACTGATCCATTTTTCATTGATCCCTTTGTCCCATCCAGGATGAATCGCCACTCAGATATTCTCCTAAATGTTATTTTGGTCAGATATTGTTTTGGGTTTGATACTATGGGTCATATCTCTGCTGCCATCTATACATGTGGTTTTGGTTTGAGACTATCTTGGTTCAAAGGTCTTCATCATCATCTGCCCAGGTTGATACTAGCTTTTCATATTTACCTCTCCTGGAATTAGTATGATGGTATATGTATTGTAAAAAAATATAATATATTGTATGATGATATGATATATTATAAGAAAATATTATATATTGTATGATAATATGATGTATTAGGGAGGTTAAGATAGCTCTATTTTGCAGAATGTGTACTTGTAAAATCATGGTCCCTTATAGTTTATTATCAATTTACTGGTATATGAACATTCAAATTGTAATCATGCTTCATTCTTCGCTAGGCATTTCATACTATTTTTGGATCAATTTGTTTTATAATTGATCTGTATTATTCATGTATTTGTACATATGTTAAAAGTTAAATTGAATAAAAAATAAAAAAATTTTACCTAAAAAAATCTATGAAGCTGTGAGGAAAATATTTGCATTGAGGTTCCCATTTTTTTTTTAACATATTATTTATTTCCTTCATAATCAAAAAATACACAAAATATCTACTACCAATCGCCATAGGCATTCTAGGTAGTTTAAATTACAATAGAGGATTAATTACAGTAATCATAGATGGTTTATTGGTAATGTGAGAGGTTGGGAGGGAGGGGGGTTCCCATTTAAGGTGGACAACAATTCACATGGGTCTTTATATTGCACATTTACTTTCAAGTTCTCCAAAATGAGTGTAATTTAACCTCCCTATTGTAAGAAAATATGACATATTGTATGAAAATATTATATTTACCTCTCTTGTGAAAATATGATATATTGTAAGATGTGATATATTGTGAAAAATATGGTATATTGAAAGAAAATATGATATATTGCATGGAAATATGATATAATGCATGAAAATATGATATATTGCATGGAAATATGATTTAATGCATGGAAATATGATATAATGCATGAAAATATGATATATTGCATGGAAATATGATTTAATGCATGGAAATATGATATACTGTAAGAAAATATTATATATTATAAGAATATGTGATATATTATAAGAAAATATGATATATTGTATGATAATAAAGCAAGAAAATGAATAAGCTTACATTTGTAAATTGTTAATTCAAGTAGTCTAAAAACATTGTTATTGTATTGTTGTATTGTAATAAATTGCGATACAGTGATATTCAGATTTTATCAGCCTTGCCCAAGTTGGTATTTTTTTACTTATCTGATCTTGAATAATAGAAATCAAGATAAGTAAAAGAGACCGACTTGGGCAAGGCTAAGATTTTATGTCAAACTAGGAATTAGTTGAACACCAATAAGATCCATTAAACACTATGACCACTATTATGTTTGACAAAATGTGACATTCCAAACATCCATGCATATGTAACACACAATCAGTAGCCTACACATGTACATTAAACACTTATTACTTCAAAATTGTATTATTATCTATGTATCAACAAAACAGGGATGTTGCATTACAAGAACATTTAATTATCAACATTCCTTGTTTCAACCATGGCAATTGCAACCATGGCAATTATGAAATAGTACAGTATATATTAGCATTCTCCCGAACTTTAATTCTGGCGATGCAATCTGTACTATTAAGTCAAATATATTGCCAGTGACAGTCATCATACAAGTTACATCTTACGTCAGTCCAACCTACATCTTCTCCCAATTTGTATATTAGAAAAGTGGGCAAAAGGACGGAGGTTCACCCAATACATAAGACGTTAACCCATCAATGTAAGCTAATTCTACATGCATGATAACCATCATTTAATCCATGTGGCTTATTAGCCATCACAGCTACAAACCTTCGATCCCACAGGGTCTTAATTTTAATTCACAGGCACTCATAAATTAATTTCCGAACTTCGGATATTCATGTTTTCATCACTCTGATCTCCTCGTGGCATCTCCTTTCTTACAATGGATTTCAATCTGTGAGTTCAGATGAAGAGATTGCCAAGAAAATTCAGTTAAAAAGATTGCCACGGTGATCCATTTGAAAAGTTTGTCATGGTAATCCTGATCAAGAGATTGCCATGGTAATCCTGATCAAGAGATTGTCATAGTAATTCAGATAAAGTGATTACCATGGTAATTTAGAAGAAGAGATCTCCATGATAATCCAGATGAAGAGGTCAATGGTTACACAAATGGAGATATTACCATGGTAATCCTCTTCAATATCTAAATCCATCCACTCATCTCCTCCCCATTACACTAAATGACCTAACATTTGGATAAGCTAAACCCATGGAATTTACAAATTAGAATCCATTTGCACCAAGATGAGAATATAAAAATAACAAATACTGTATCAGTCTCACAATTTTTGGTCAATTTCAAAACATCAATTCAAGTAAAAATTAAATTAATTACATTTAAGGATTAGGAAAAGAGTTTTGATCTGTTGTTTTATCTCAGGATATTACTTGAAGACAAAATGTAATTAATTTTTTGGACCTTGATATTTTGACATGGCTCATTAGTGAAGTTAAAATTTTGCACCAAATTCGAACACTCCGAACATCAACAGCAGATATGACTACTGAAACAGAACTCATGCATGCATACACACTTCAAGGTACCACTAGGACAGAGACTGCCTCAACTAGGAAAAATCAGAGATTCAGTTGACACACCCCAGGCAGCATGTTGTATACCCACAGCCAATAATCCTGGCCTTAGGAGAGCATTCGTTACACACGCACTACTGAAACAATAATGTGATCGTTTCATACATATGAAACAATAATGTGATCGTTTCATACATATGAGAGATTGCATGAAAAATGAAAAAATGTGCCTGAAAAAGTCTGTATTTCAACATGGAATCCTTAGAATATTTCTGATGTTTTGATACCCATTATGTGGTGATAAATTTGATACTGACATCTCAAAATCAATTTCCCAGTGCGTTTATCTATTCAAAGGTAACACAATGAAAGGATTGCAGAAAAAAAACTGAAAGATTTGACCCGGATGTTATGAGATTGATTCAAATCTTACAGGTTTTAAAAAACAACTCTCTCAGATTCAGACTGATGATATGGCAAAGGTCCATGTGCAGTATGGCAAGTGATTTTAGATGGTCATATCTTTAACCATGAATACTTTCTTGGCATAAATACAGTGGTTTTAATTTTTTTTAAATGTTTTCTTTTAATAAAGTGAAGTACCCATGATAGTAAAATAGCAACTCTCTGAAAAATTATGGTTTAGGACCCCACCTTGGAACTTTTTAAAAATGTTAGGCTTATTTCTTAAAAATAGAATCTTGTTTCTCTCAATTTAAACATATCAAAAGTTTGTTCTACACTATATTGACAATATCTGAAAAGGGGATGGGTATTGAAATGTGTAAGTTAAAAACCACATTCGCATGTTATTTTCCCATAGGGAAAACTCGTGCTATCCATTGATTTCAGCATAATTTTGGTCACCGTTTGATATCTTCAAAAAAGACATTCAATACCATTACACTTTTAAAGAAGTTATAGACCCCTTGTTGAATAATCTTTTCATGCAATAGAAATCAGAAAAAGAATATCCTTGTTTGAGTAAATAGGTTCAACATTTTGAAAAAATTGTTGACATGGGGTCCCTATTCATAATTTTTCAAATTGTTCGATTGATATTTTTATTGTCATGGGTACTTCACTTTAAAGAAAACATATTGTTCTAATAAAAACCACTGTATTTATGCCCAGAAAGTATTCATGGTGAAAGATATGACTGTCTAAAATCACTTGCCATACTGCACATGGACCTTTAGATACAGCAATGGAAAATAAGGCATAAACATGTAAAATGTCACCACCTGCCATTTGTTACAGATGACAAATGCCTACCACCAACCGCTGAAAGCCGCACACCTTTCACAAAAAGGTTGGATACCATAACATTATGCCACCACTTGTGGTGGTGACATAATGACACTTGTGGTGGTGACATAATGATTTCATATATTAAGGAATTCATAGGATTTCGAATTACAATAAAAATTATACCAAAAATGCCCTTCTAAATTCTTCACATCTACATCTACATTTTGTTTACCTGCACTATTTCATGAATCAGATTTTTAAAGAATAAACAGTAAATTAGATCAAACCTAAACCTGGGACTCACATATGAATCAATCAACCAAACAATCTATCATTCCATCGATTGCTCACTCCATCAATCAGTCAATCAATTAACCAAAAAATCAATCAAGCAGTGAATTCTCCATAAAAATATGAAATTAATATTTTAAACATATAGAGCTTTATTGTACTTGTCACACAATCACTCATTAGGGCAAATTGTACAGCATCATAAAAAAGAAATTTAAACAAAACTTAATGATATACATTTATCTTATATACTAAATGGTGCTTGATCATTGCAAGATTTTACTGGTTACAATGAATTATTCTCTCCCTTTCGTTTTAAAACTGCTGATATATATTTCGAAAATATATCCAGTAATACCCCTAATGCTTCCTCTTGGGGATCATAGTCACTATATAACCTGTAAATATCTAACACTAATTTTTATATAAAAAAGTAATATTCCCTCCAAGAAAGAAAGATTGATTCATGATCTGTGCTATTTATATGTTCTATATTTGGACAATGTGTTTTGATATAATCAATGTATCTTGACCAATCATATTTTAATTCATTGCACTTTTATAAGGAATGATATTCTGAACCAAGCTTGTAAGTGCAAATTAAATATTTTCTTTCTTCAATAGGGGTAGTTGGCCTGGTGTAACAAACATTTTCAATTTCTAGCGAATGTGCGCTAATTCTTAACTTAAGTTATATCTGCCACCTTCATTTCTGATAATATCCAAGTATAAGGTGCTTTGTTATTTTGCGGAGCTGACTTCAATTCTTTGATTATTTCAAAACAGAAAATTCATTCACTATTTTACGTCATAGCATGGGCGGAAGGCATGCTGATTTTTGTCTTTGATGTTGTTTTCAAAGAAGAAATAATAGTTAGAAAACAATCTTTGTTATTTAAGGTAAAGCTAATTTAACCATGAAGAGGTGGCCAGGCAATTTCTTAGTCAGCAGGTATAATTCTGTATTAATTTTTTTTTTTTTGAATACATTTTTATTTTTTATTACTTTTTTATTCATAGAAAACATTTGAAAGCAGTTACATTTTTTTACATAAAAAACTTTGAATGACTAGAATAACAGTAACTCCCTTTGTAACAAATCTAACCACACAAAAATTATTTTATCATATCAATCTTAATATTGAAAATTATTTTATCGAAATAATCAGGCAGTAGAATAATTGTTTATTTGAGTTACTGACAGGAAATGTGAATGGATAGACATAAGGAAAGATGTGTGGACAAATAGAAAGAAGTACAGATGAAGGAATTCTGCATATCCCTTCTCGAAAATCTTTTGGGGGATAAGGCCATAAGAAGTAGAGTCTTTGTTTTGTGTCCCCTTGCTTGCAGGGTTTTGAGTAAATCAGAAAGGACGCAAAAGAAAGAATCTACTTCTTATGGCCTAATTACTTTTATATGATCAGTATGATATTTGATGTATAAATCACTTCAATACAAAATGATATATTATTTTCTGTTAACCTCTTGAATCCTTGGCTCTAAAATTGGTGTGAAACCAGTACAGAGAATTCTACATTTTTTACCAGCTTTTAACATTTTAATACATGCATATATACAACAGGTGATGCTCAATTTAGTGAAATTATTCGCCAGAGATTATTTCTTCACATTTTAAAAGTTATTTTGTGTAAAATGGATGCATTTTGTTTAAATTAGAGCAATTTGGTGAAAATTTTTGTCACCCTGGGTTTCAAGATCATTTCTTAGGTGGCGGGAAATCTTGTTACTCTGGGTAGTCAAGAGGTTAATAACTTCTATGAATAATAAAAAAAGTTATATTAAAACTTTCATATTTGATCAGATCGTTTCTTTCATATTACAAAAAATTACCAAGAAGTGGCTTTCATTCATTGACAGTAAACAGTATACAATAATAGAAATACAGGATTTAGCAACCTTAAAAGACCTAAGAGCATCGATACCAGAAACTGTGAAGATATTAATGAATGGAAGTGTTTGTCCTCTCCTCATATTACTTCCCAAGCTAAACCACTGCTTATTAATGAATTGCTTTCTAATGAATTGCTTATTAATCAATTGCTCTGTGTCAAGTAAAACAATATGCCATAATCAGTGCTATAAACACCAGGCTTATTTCTTCATATATCATGAAACACAAATTGCCATAGAGAGTATAGTCGGGAATGACAAGTCACTGATAAATAAACTTACTTGATTGGTCGTCTTTTATCTTTTCTCCTATTGGTTACTCCATCAGGGTCATCCATCATTTCTTCCAATAAGGTTTGATCGTTAGCCTCCATAGGAGCTATTGAAATATCTCGTACTGCACGGAACTGACCACAGTTGTTAAGATGTTCATTCTCAAGACGGAAAAAATTCCATATAAATCTCCTGAAAATTAAATAATATTGTAAATTACCAATATTTAATTATTAATATCAATTTATAAGAATATAAACTATAATTTGTTAAAATTACCTATTATAATTTATGGAATTATGGAATAACCTATATTAAATTCCCAATAATGCCAAATACGAAAAATAGACGCAAAAACTACAAGTAGTTGGTCAAATAGTTTATTGTACCTAACTAAACTAAAACAATAAACTACAATAGAAGTTACATAATATTATAATGCGTTAATTAATAGATGTTACGTAATAATACAATAGAAAATACATAACAGTACATTGCATTAAAGTAGTTACATAATAGCATATAATATTATGACCTCCCAGTCCAGTACACCCTAATTCAATTAAGGGGAGGGTGGGAGGGAGCATTAGCTAAAAATAGTACATGTTTAGTGCTTGGCTGCAGTAGCTGAAGTGATTAGATGATCTAGACATAATTAAAAGTTCATGACCTTTGCATGAACTGCAGAACCAGATGGCAACCTCTATAATTTAAATCTATTTCAACTGAAATTAAACTTAAATTCCCAATAATGCCAAATACGAAAAATAGACGCAAAAACTACAAGTAGTTGGTCAAATAGTTTATTGTACCTAACTAAACTAAAACAATAAACTACAATAGAAGTTACATAATATTATAATGCGTTAATTAATAGATGTTACGTAATAATACAATAGAAAATACATAACAGTACATTGCATTAAAGTAGTTACATAATAGCATATAATATTATGACCTCCGAACCCAAACTTGATGTTAAGTAGAAGTAGTAGAAGGTAGGTTAGTTGAAAAAGATTTTGCCATCTCTACTTTTGAAGCTACAGGTAATTCTTTAGGTGTCTGACAAAACCACAAAGAGTTATATTATTCAATCATCCTATATCTATAAATGACTGCAGTACTGGGGGGGGGGGGTATGGTACAGCCAAAGGGCAAGAATAAACCAGATGTTATTATCATTTCACAAAGATCTAGTCCAGTATCTTCACATGAATAGACAAGGCATTAACACCATCCACAAAAAAGTTGGATACTACAACAATAATACTTGTGGTGGAGACATAACAAACTGAATAATTGCCAAAGTTCTATAGCATTGCAGAGGTCTAAGGGGAGGCATCAAAAGATCAATGTCTGATAGAAAACTAAATAAATCTAGTTTGGGGGAGGGGGTCAAAGCTATTTCAGTTTGCTATCCGACAAATTTCAACATTTGAATTTTTGGGAATTTCGACTCGAAATGCCTTGGAATGGTTTAAAAATAAAGACTTTACCAGATGCCTTCTTCACCAAGATGCATGCAACATGGAATATTATGCCTATTGTTGTTGGCACATGTTTTAAGAATCATGAATAAGTTATATACCCCCATAAAAGTCCAAATTATGTCGCAAAAACATGTGAAAGTCCGCGATCAACTTTCATTGTATTTAGTTTTGAGAGGGAGGGGGGGGGGTCCAACTCAAAACTAGATTTATTTAGTTTCCTATCAGACATTGAACTTTTGATGCCTCCCCTAACTCACCTAAATACCTCCAAACAGGCAAGTATGGTTTTCAATATCTCCCCATGTATATACTCTCCCTCTCCTACACTTACCTAAATACCTCCAAAGAGGCAAGTAGGGTTTTCAATATCTCCCCATGTATATACTCTCACTCTCCTATATATAGCATTTGTTGTATAGCATTGCAGAGGTGTCACTTACCTAAATACCTCTAAACAGGCAAGTATGGTTTTCAATATCTCCCCATGTATATACTCTCCCTCTCCTACACTTACCTAAATACCTCCAAAGAGGCAAGTAGGGTTTTCAATATCTCCCCATGTATAAAATCTCACTCTCCTATATATAGCATTTGTTGTATAGCATTGCAGAGGTGTCACTTACCTAAATACCTCTAAACAGGCAAGTATGGTTTTCAATATCTCCCCATGTATATACTCTCCCTCTCCTACACTTACCTAAATACCTCCAAAGAGGCAAGTAGGGTTTTCAATATCTCCCCATGTATATACTCTCACTCTCCTATATATAGCATTTGTTGTATAGCATTGCAGAGGTGTCACTTACCTAAATACCTCTAAACAGGCAAGTATGGTTTTCAATATCTCCCCATGTATATACTCTCCCTCTCCTATATATAGCATTTGTTGTATAGTATTGCGGAGGTGTCACTTACCTAAATACCTCCAAACAGGCAAGTATGGTTTTCAATATCTCCCCATGTATATACTCTCCCTCTCCTACAGTCACTACAACTGTCCAGGAGAAGCGGATTATAAAATCTTCCACTATTGCAAAATAGTAATAGGCCTGAAAGCAAATATTGCAGAATAATAAATAATATCAAAATTAATTCCAAAAAGGGGACCATTACATAATTCTAATATGATATGTGACATCACAATAGCTAGAATAATTGATATTCTGGTCTATATTAGAGTATGAATGACCGCTAAAATTCATATATGCAAAAAGTTGTGTTTCTTGTCTATTTATCACATTAGAATCGTAACAAAGACCTTGATTTTATGATTTATGACAAATATATGACCTCAAATTTTATTCTGGCCATTGCCAAAGACCTCGTGAATGAACAGAATAAAATTTTTGGTCATAAAATGTCGGTCTTTATTCCTTAAAGAGAATTTACTAACTCCCAATAATGACAGTGGCTTTTTAAATGAAGCAATCTACTGTACTGTGAAAACAGTGTACAGTATTGAAAAACTATTTAACCCTATTTAACTTTAGATCATAATATAGCCATACATGTACATGATTGCCAATCTAAAATATGATATTTTGCACTCCGTAAAAAACAAACAAACATGGATTGAGGATAAATGTCATAGGCCCCGGGAACATGTATTAAAAATCGAGTCGACATCTGGAGTAATAAGTAATACAGATGTCGACTCGATTTTTATACATGTTCCAGTGCCTAAAATAAATGTACATGATTTTATCTAGGTATGAAAGTGGTCACACTCAGCTTGTATTCACGAGTGCAAATAACGGCTGTCGGCTACTTGATTAACGTTCTATTTTATGACCATCTCATTAAAGGATGAATGGAACACTGGATGTATTAATCATATTTAAATGAGTTGCCAGTTGGTTAAACCAGTAGCCGACAGCCGAAAATTGCATTCAAGAAAACAAACTAAGAAAAATAGCTTGCCTCAGTGAATGTGTTATTCTATTGCTTTGTAACCATGTTGACTGATGCCTCTGAGAAGCGTTTGAAAGCTCTTGGATAAATGCAAAAATTTACTCCTTATCAATGTTCAAGCATTCCTCTCAAGTGGCTCACCTTATAAGCATAGACTATTTCTTCTCTTAAAAATCTGTTTTCCCCTGCATTTTTGTCAAATAAGCCCCAATCCATTTTTATATCCCATATAAACGTATAACATGTACTGATGATGGCAGATGCAATCCATAAGTAGAAAAATGCATTGTTTTGAATAGTTTCTTCTCCATGAATACCTGAAAGTATAAATATAGATGGCGGTTATAGTCAATGTGGGATGCCCGGTGGTATGGTCACTGGATTTGTCTGAACCTCTTTAATGCCAGCCTCTAAAAGAGTTTGAAACCAAAGCAATGTTCATTTTTGGCAGGTTTTGAACATTTTCCAATGGCCCTTCCAGAAGTCCTGATAAAAATGCTCTAACTTAAAAGTTTATCATTGATCATTTTGCACAATATTTTCAGAGTAAATGAGCCATCAATTTCCTCATAAGATATAAAAATTTTGGATGTTGGTTACAAATATTTCTGAAGTTATGGTTGCCAATAACGTTTTAGCGGGACAGGGTAATATTTAAAATTTAAAAGTTTAAAATTAGTTTTCTTTTCAATGAATGATCAAAATCCCATTACACAAGGTTGCTTAATTCTACAAATGGCTGTTTTATAGTATTATTATTATTATTCTCATAAGTGTGAAATCATTGTAAATCTAATATTATACCAGGTACATAAATAATGAATGCCTCGTGATACATTAGACAAGACATGAGACAATAAGCTTTCAGTTCACCTACGTAAAGCAATGCGTAAAAAGTGACCGAACAGAGCCATAGATTCAAACATGTTTGACTAGGACAACAAATCATGCCACAAATCTGGCATGGTCTACAATATTATCAGAGACAAGTTAAATATAGCACAAAAGGTATTAGGACACTCCATGTATTCCCCAGATAATGCTCCCCTTTGTTGTGTTTGGACTTTGGACCAGCCCTAAAGAGGGATTCGAATGTCTCATATTCTCGAACATTTGTTGAAATCAAGAATGCAGCCGACACCTGAGTAGGACTTCAAAATGTGTACAAAAAGTGGGTGGATAGATACCAGAATGTATTAATGCAGTGTTTTAATACAGAAGGACATTATTTTGAGTATCTTCAACGATCTTTATCTCAAATAGGAGTCAATATGACATCAATATGAGCTCAAGTCCTGGACCAAGTGCCTCTACCATGGGGAAGTAAAAGTGTGATTATAGAATTTTCTGTTGATCAATCATTCTTAAAAGTCCCTGCTGTGTAGGCATATAAATTATGTAAATTGTGAATATTCAAGAGGTCAAAGGAGGATCAAATATTCCTAGGAATTACATGTATGCCTTATTTTAATGCATAATCCCCAGGGAACTTTTTCATCTGTTTGAAAACACTGATAGATTTAAAGAAAGATCTCTTGAAAACACTGATCTTTTGTAATTACTTAATGTGATATATCCCTGTTTAGATTTAAAGAAAGATCTCATTGAAAACACTGATCTTTTGTAATTACTTAATGTGAAATATCCCTGTTTAGATTTAAAGAAAGATCTCATTGAAAACACTGATCTTTTGTAATGACTTAATGTGATATATCCCTGTTTAGATTTAAAGAAAGATCTCGACTCATCTCTGGACTATAACAAGGACCAATATGCAGGGGGTAAATTACATTAGAACATTCTAAGCTACAATCCTCAGAAGTCCATTGTGTTACTAATTGGAAATCACTGTGTGGTCATTCAGCTTCCGATTTAGAGTATCACCTCAGAATACATTCTTACATGAGAAATCTGTTGGTTTTGTAACAATGGATAACACAATGTATTGGTATTTGAGCACATTTAAATTGCTTCTAGTTTTTATTGCTTTTGCAATTCAAGAAAATAAAAGATAAAGTTTTAATTTAAGCCCACAAGTGAAAGCACATTATAGAACAAAAACAATTGTCCATTTAACATCTTGAATACAGAGCATTTAAAATGCCAAATAAAAAGTAAAAAACTTTTTTTTACAAAAGTGTGATTTCACCAAATTTCTATATTCTAAAGATGACCACTCGTCAAATCATTGCTCTTATAGTATAGCATGGAGCCACCTATTGCCAGTGAACAACTAGCTTTATATATATTTTGTGTAAATTGAACAAGATTTGTAATTAAGTTGAATTTCTAAGAGACCCATTTTAGCAGAAAATTATGCCACCGATCCATCAATCACTAGGGGAGAGCATTTGAACTAAAAGAAGCATTGTTTCAGTACATTTTTGTACTGAAAAATGTACTTAGTTTTTTAAGAACAAATTTCAGTATTTTTGTATACTAAAAAAATTTGTACTGAAAAATATACTGAATTTTAAGGACATTTTGAAGGACAAAATGTATTGAAAAATATATTGGCTTTTAAGGATATTTTTAAATATCTTATATCAAGCACACCTGAACACATATTGTGTTTTCATGATGCAAAATGATCAATTTCAAAAACTGAAAGGTATGTCATTTTGTATATTAACTTACCTTTATAATATTTATTCAAAGTGGAGAACAGAACTACAAAGAATGTGGTTGAATATTTGCCAGCATTCACTATGTGCGGGAAGACCAGCTTAGTGTCTCTGTAACGCCTAAGGCACTGAGCAAACCGGAACCACGCAGGAAGACACGCAAATATGGGACGAATGCCATATGCTATTGTGCTGCATGTACCTTTGTCTGAAAGTACAATTTCCATCTTATTCATTCAATTATTACCCCTTACTTAGTTATTGTTGTATTTAGTTATAGTTCATTCCATGATCTAATGAAACCCATGTTTAATCCGAACACTACTTGAACCCACTGAACCAGCCAAAATTGTTCGAATAAGCAGGTTTTCACAATTCAAAGTTTCTTAACCCCTTAAATCAGGCTCTATAAATTGATTTGAAAACAGAGAACTTTTTGCCAGCTTTTTTACATTTTACTACATAAATGTACAACAGGTGATGCTTGCTAATGCCTAGGTCACATTTCCTCCGATTCATCGGCCGGCGCCCGGCCGATTAAGTATTCTGCTCAAAACTGAATACAATTGTGAACAGGATACTCAATCGGCCAGGCGCCGGTGAAATTAGTCAGCGAAGATCATTTCTGCATGTTTTAAGATGTTTTTTGTGTAAACTAGATGAAAATTGTCCAGATGAGAGCAATTTAAATGAAAATCTTTTTGACAGAATATCTTTTACATGATCTGTCACTGCGTTCCCTCGGGAAATATTGATATTATCGTTGTGATTTTCCCCATATCGAATCCCTCCTGGTGAATAACTTCTTTGTATTAAATATGTGTTACATGAGCAATCAAAAATATATTATGAAACTTAGATATCTTATTAATCTTGATCGAGAGGTTAATTAGAATATTAATTAGTTCAATCACAAAATGTTAACTAATAATAAATGTAGTATGTAAAGTCAAAATAAAATTGCCCAGCCTCTGACTAAAATCATATACATATATATAGAGAGATTATGTATTGAGAAATGAATCAGCTACATTTTTTTACAAATCAAATTTTCCCATGAACAAAATTCAAAACGTGCTGCAATGTCACATGACAGATATACCACTCTACCTCTATGGTGTAGAAGCATATAAGATACTCAAAGTCAAGGAAACTTACTTGGTACATGTACATTGTGACACAAGTTTTAAAATGTAGACCAGTACAGCACAATAAACTCATGTCCACATGAAAAGGGCTGACACTCTAGCTAATGTAAGTATCATATTATTTCTCATTTGGGAGTAAAGTGAGCCCTGATAAGGTGCTTCCTAATTAACTGAGCGCAATATGATGCCAATTAATGAAGATGCAGACCAGTAAACATATATCTCTTCTTACTCTCATTTCATTGTAAATGAGATGTTTTGATTCGTTTTGATAGTACAGTAAAACCAGTGTAAGCGGAACCTCTTTGGTTTGGTACCTCTAAAGGTGTTCTACTTGAGAGGTTCATTTAACATTGAGTCAGTTGGTCTTGGGATACTATCATACTAAGATACTCAAAGTCAAGAAAACTTGATTCAATATGCCAGTCTACCTCTATGGGGTAGAAGCATATAAGATACTCAAAGTCAAGGAAACCTACTTGGTTCAATATGCCAGTCTACATCTATGGCATAGAGCATATAAGATACTCAAAGTCAAGAAAACTTACTTGGTTCAATATGCCAGTCTACATCTATGGCATAAAGCATATAAGATACTCAAAGTCAAGAAAACTTACTTGGTTCAATATGCCAGTCTACCTCTATGGCGCAAAAGCATATAAGATACTCAAAGTCAAGGAAACTTCCTTGGTTCAATATGCCAGTCTACCTCTATGGCGTAGAAGCATATAAGATACTCAAAGTCAAGGAAACTTACTTGGTTCAATATGCCAGTCTACATTTATGGCATAGAGCATATAAGATACTCAAAGTCAAGAAAACTTACTTGGTTCAATATGCCAGTCTACCTCTATGGCGTAGAAGCATATAAGATACTCAAAGTCAAGGAAACTTACTTGGTTCAATATGCCAGTCTACATCATTGGCATAGAAGCATATAAGATACTCAAAGTCAAGGAAACTTACTTGGTTCAATATGCCAGTCTACCTCTATGGCGCAAAAGCATATAAGATACTCAAAGTCAAGAAAACTTACTTGGTTCAATATGCCAGTCTACCTCTATGGCGCAAAAGCATATAAGATACTCAAAGTCAAGGAAACTTACTTGGTTCAATATGCCAGTCTACCTCTATGGCGTAGAAGCATATAAGATACTCAAAGTCAAGAAAACTTACTTGGTTCAATATGCCAGTCTACATCTATGGCATAGAGCATATAAGATACTCAAAGTCAAGAAAACTTACTTGGTTCAATATGCCAGTCTACCTCTATGGCGTAGAAGCATATAAGATACTCAAAGTCAAGGAGCACTGTTGCTAGGCTATTCAGTTGATCAGCCAGCCAGAAGTCAGCAAACCCCACGTGGTGGAATGGTGCTGTTACTATTCGGAACTAGAATTCAGAAAGTGTATATTTCAGTGAAGTACAATGTGTTGCAAATAAAGAATTAAAGAAATACATGTATGTGAATGAGGCTTCGTCCTTTTTGCCAAAATTGTAACTCTAAAACTACACACTTTATATTTTTGCAATATTTGTGATTCTGTTCATAATACAATTATAAGTCCATCAAATAATAGTGCTTTCATTGAAGTATGAGAGTATATGTTCATTGAAGTATGAGCGTATATGTTCATTGAAGCATGAGAGTATATGTTCATTGAAGTATGAGAGTATATGTTCATTGAAGTATGAGAGTATATGTTCATTGAAGTATGAGAGTATATGTTCATTGAAGTATGAGAGTATATGTTCATTGAAGTATGAGAGTATATGTTCATTGAAGTATGAGAGTATATGTTCATTGAAGTATGAGAGTATATGTTCATTGAAGTATGAGAGTATATGTTCATTGAAGTATGAGAGTATATGTTCATTGAAGTATGAGAGTATATGTTCATTGAAGTATGACAGTATATGTTCATTGAAGTATGAGAGTATATGTTCATTGAAGTATGAGAGTATATGTTCATTGAAGTATGAGAGTATATGTTCATTGAAGAAAAAACCTCAATCCCTCCTGCTAAAAATACATTGACTGCATGTGAGAGAAAATAACCTACTCCTTCTCGAACACAATGTATGCGAAACATTTAATAAGGACGAAGTACTAAGAGACATGACTCAGGACTAATTCCAATGAAATATTGCTCAATAGCAGCTCTGAGTGACATCTTTTCAATAAAGTTATAAAGAATTCTTGTTCTATGTATTCAAAATCAAGTGAACTACATGTACTGTATTTAAGGCAGGGTGAGTAGAATGTAATGAGTATACATGTACTGTATTTAAGGCAGGATGAGTAGAATGTAATGAGTATACATGTACTGTACTTAGGCAGACTGAGTAAAATGTAATGAGTATACATGTACTGTATTGAAGGCAGGCTGAGTAGAATGTAATGAGTATACATGTACTGTATTTAAGGCAGGATGAGTAGAATGTAATGAGTATACAAGTACTGTATTTAAGGCAGGCTGAGTAGAATGTAATGAGTATACATGTACTGTATTTAAAGCAGGCTGAGTAGAATGTAATGAGTATACATGTACTGTATTTAAGGCAGGCTGAGTAGAATGTAATGAGTATACATGTACTGTATTTAAGGCAGGCTGAGTAGAATGTAATGAGTATACATGTACTGTATTTTAGGCAGGATGAGTAAAATGTAATGAGTATACATGCACTGTATTTAAGGCAGGCTGAGTAAAATGTAATGAGTATACATGTATTGTATTTAAGGTAGGCTGAGTAGAATGTAATGAGTATACATGTACTGTATTTAAGGCAGGCTGAGTAGAATGTAATGAGTATACATGCACTGTATTTAAGGCAGGCTGAGTAGAATGTAATGAGTATACATGTACTGTACTTAGGCAGGCTGAGTAGAATGTAATGAGTATACATGTACTGTACTTTGGCAGGCTGAGTAGAATGTAATGAGTATACATGTACTGTACTTAGGCAGGCTGAGTAGAATGTAATGAGTATACATGTACTGTATTTAAGGCAGGCTGAGTAGAATGTAATGAGTATATATGTACCATACTTAAGGCAGGCTGAGTAGAATGTTATGAGTAATCTGAACTCTCAATATGTATCACATATCTTAGCAATTTAGCCACCTTAATCAAAGTAAATCTTAGTCCTCAGGTAAGCAAAATGAACCCTGACACAAAAACTATAATAACAAAATTTTCACTGTACTCACCAGTATTCTAAGTAGCCAAGTCCTAGCTCTATAGTGCAGTATATGTATAGGGTTGACTAGATATAGGAATAAAAATCCCACCAGAGCTAGGGGGTGGGCAAACACTGGAACATATAGTACACTACTGAACATGTAGCCTAGTACACTCAATGCCCAGATTACAGCAAAGAAGCCAGCAACCTAAAACAGATATCAATTCATTAATTTTACAAGCCTCAATTAATCATATCATTTTTGTTTTCTATAAAGAATTTACATTTGCATTTCGTCGCGTGAGAATAACTTTGTACTAACTGCCATTTTCAAAAAAATTGAGATAGACATGGGATTTTACTATTTGAAACACAGGCTTTCATCTCAGATACATGCCCCATCTCAATTCCCTCTCATTAAGCTAGAATTCAGTGTGAAATTGTACCATCTCCAGACAAACAGCTTATTTCTAATTTCAAATTGTCATATCTGATATCAACTGTTTCAACCAATCAACTCTCTAAGAATTGGTCATGTGACTTGCAAAACTTGGAGTTATAACAATCTTATATTAAAACGAAGTATGCCAATATGCATGTTATTGCATCTAGAATGAAATAATGTTTTGTAACCTACCATGCCAGTTTGCATGCCTGGCCTTTCATGTTTTAGTTTTAGAACTATTACAAGTAGAACAAAAAAATAAAATGATACAGTATGTGAAATCCCATGCATATTCAAATTATATGCCCTCAATTACTCTTTGTATTATGGATGCTCATTGGATTATTCATGGCCACATGATATGAAATAGAATTACTAATTTCCTCGAAAACCTAAATCCTTGCTACCAGGGAAGATGAAAAGTACAAATGACCAGTTAATTAGATCATGTGAGCAGTCAAAAGTACCCTTTATCTTCCCTGCAACCAGGTCTTATAGGGGTTTGAATGGCCAAATGCAATAGAAATGCATATACGAAGCTGTCATCATTAAATGTTGAAAATGAAAGACTACTTATTTGTTTCTTCAAATAGAGTACATAATAATAGGTTATATACTAGGCTAGATATAGTAATCAAAACAAATAGTAACTGTCATATTTTGCACTACATTGCTCAAAGGCAATCACTTTCTGTATACTATTGAAATCTCTTTCAAAATGATGTTTTATAGTTTGTGGAAAAAAGCTAAATCTATTTAAACTAGCTTTAACTTTTACTGACCATACACTATATCAATAAGGAGTTATCTTTATGTTAGTATAGTCCCTTAAAACACTTATTTTATTTTCTCTTCATCTATGATTTACTTTGCGCTTTTTACTGAACATCTGGGATCTTTTTAGTTATTTTACTACTAGTATGTTTTTCAGATTTGTCCTTTCTTTTGCATTTTTGGGATCATTGTTCTTAGATCATCTACATTTATTTTGGAAAAGTAACAAATTGGTTCAATTTCTTTACAAAGAGCCACTCTTAGTCTCCACTTCTACAATTGCTTCAATTTCCAATTGTACTCCACAGAGTAGCAAACAACAGAAAATGAATGAATACTGATAGCTGCATCCCAATGAACAAAATGTGATTACCTAAATTGAGGTTTCATCACTTTCATTAATCTAAAATGAATTAGAAATTATTTTTCTATTTTCAAATTTCTTCCATGTGCATGTAATAAAAATTGGTTATGTCTTAGGCCCTAAGGATCTGAAACCTGCTGGTCAAAATGGAATTACGGACCAGTTGCAATGTTATTCTCCTATACCCAGTGAAAAAATCAACTGGTCTGTATCAAAAATAACCTGATAATGACCAGCGGACCGGCCCTTAGGGGCTACATTGTAATGTGCTGGGAGGTTTAGGCTACAGGGTTAATACCGAGGGAAATATGTGGGGGACCGTATTGGCATCATTGGTTTCAATGCATTGTACTTCTGCCTTAGTTTCAAAGGCAATAAATTCTTTTTGAAGGGTGTCCTGAGATTCCAAAATTAAGAAATAATTGTACTTATTTGAGAAATTGATTTTAAAGTTTTATAAATTGAATTTTCTTTATTTTATTAAATAATATTCTTTGGTTTTTGAAGATTTTTTTACAAAGCAAAACATTATTTTTCATTCTAGATACAATAACATGCATATTGGCATACTTTGTTTTAATATAAGATTGTTATAACTCCAACTTTTGCAAGTCACATGAGCAATTCTTAGAGAGTTGATTGGTTGAAACAGTTGATATCAGATATGACAATTTGAAATTAGAAATAAGCTGTTATTCCGGTGGGAAATTGTATCAACTCCATTTCCATAGTTTTAAAAAAGGATCTTGTAAATTGTTTCAAGGTATGATATTTCATATAAGATATCTCTAGGGTGAGACCAGCTGACATGCAAAAAATCAAGTTTCACTATAGCAATACTAAGTAAGATACAGACCTCTAAACTTTCAAACCTTGATTTCTCAGTTCCGTAAAAATGTGAGATAGTACAAAGTTATTCTCATGCGACGATTTGTCCCACTTCGCTTCTCAAAAGAGAGCTTTGTCTTCATAGTTTATAACTAGACTCTGCATGCAGGGTAGAAAGAATTCAAAATGATTAAAAAAACCAAGATTCATGTACCATTAGGGTGATGCATAAATGTCAATAATTGAGAAATATCAAAGTTAACTTCATAATGGTTTAACCCATCCTTCCACAAAGACAAAATTTCAAAATGTTGATTAACATAGGGGCTAGAAAGAAGAAAGGCCATATACTTACCTCAAGAAGTTGCTGATGAGAGAGATGATTTCGGGGATCAAGTTCAAATATCAAGACATGATTCACCCCTGATGACCTCCAACCATATGTGTTAAGACCCAATAAAAAGCAGCATAAGATGAGCAAGAAACAACCCCTGTAGATACGTAGGGCAGGTGCCCAGTCATGAGAGTGATCAGTGAAAACTCCTGAAAATAAGTTGATAGAGAGGTTGATCGGATGTTTTCTTTGTATAAATATATAAATAAATAAAAAAAAATAAAAAAATAAAATAAAATCGGATGTTTTAGGCTAATTGGGTATAGAAGTAAAACTTGAGATGAGATGGGTGTTTTGACAGAATTTTTATAATTGTTTATTCATTTACGTTTTAGATGATTCATCGTTAAAAGAAAATTAACCTTGAGTAAACATAATTACACGGATGCTTTAAGTTTTAACAACTTATATCATAGAATTAGAAGAATAATGGAACAATTAATTAATGCTAAAATAAAGTTGAAGAATTCAATTTGGTGATCAAATTCATTATGTGTAGTTACGCCCCCACAATTACCCCTACCCTCTGTCATACCTGCTAATACAGCAGCTGTTATGAGTACAAGGAATATACCAGAGAAGAGACCCACTCTGAATGTTGTCCATGGACTTTGCTGAAAATGAAAATAGAAAAAAATCATCAACAAACTCCCAGAACTATTTATTTTTAACTTACAGCTCAATATTAAAATGTACACGGAAGGTAACTGTATAATTGTAGTATTTCAGCTCAGGTAATTGAATCAGATACAATTGACAGGTATCTATTTGAGACTGTATCTAATGTTATATCATTGTCTTTATTTTAGGTTTGATGATATATCAGAATATAAAATATTTGAGTATATGTGGAAGAACATACAATTTTCAGTTGGGGAATTTAAGTATACAACCATCTTACATTATCTTATTCAAAACAGTTCCAAAATGATTGGTCTTCAGGTCTTCCCATTTGCTATTGGAATCAACTGAGGAATCATATGTACATAAGCCTTTAACAAATTGAACATATAGGCACTAACATGAAAAATGTCACCACCTGCCATATGTTACAGACACCAACCATGGAATACTGTCCAGAAAAAAGTTGGAGACTCAACTATAACAATATGTCATTACTTGGCTGGGGGGGGTATGGTGATGTAACGAACATTAAACAAAAATGTTGGCAATTACAAGCAGGTTACCTGGTCCCCTAAAGGTGGTACCCTCAGCCTCTTCATGGCCTTCTGCCTGTTGCCTCCCTCCAGATCCTGGGTAAATACCCCCTCTGTTTCTTTGATCAGGTGATCAACATCCTTACTGTTGTAGAACCTGGCAGTCTCCACATAATCCTGTCTCCACTTTGCTCCCCTATCTGTGGTCATTAACTGGAACACAGCATGGAAATCTAGATTTCCTTACTGGGTGGAAATCAAGCCCAAAATACATGATTCATTGGAGGCCCAAACACATGAGGCATAAAGTCCCAAACAAATTAGGTTTAAAGGTGCAAATACCTCTTTTGAATGAAATGTCCCTTGGTGTTATGGTCTCGGACTGTAATATTTGTACTTGAATGGTGAGGAGGGGGAATTAGACACTCTTTCTTTTTATAGTGGATTGTGATTTGTGATAATTGGTGTTTAATTTCCGAATGACTGGTGTACTTTTTGATGTTCTCTTTTTCTTGCTGTTATTGTCTTCTCTAACCATTTTTGGTTTTTCCTGTTTGCACTTGCTCTTAAATATTCAGGTATAGGAAAACAAACACATAAAGGTACATCACATATGTATATGAGGATGCTCAAATACAATTCAATATCTGGACAACTGAGCTACGAATAAGATCCCCAAAAAGCATGAATAAGTCATAGCATTAGGGTTGTAAAAGGGTAATTCAGAGACCTCTCATCAATATTCTTTATTCAACTTCACTCATACTCACCTTGTCATGTTTTTTTAATATTTTTCTAAAACCCGTAAAATTGAGAGTTTGATAGTTCTGTAGTAGCACCAAGCTGAGGTAGAATTCGCTAAAGGCCAGCTTCAGGTCGTGTATTTTACGAACATGTGATGCGGTAGCTCTTGCGCTTTTGTCACGTGCAAACATGGTGGACTTACGACGACGTAAATTGTTTGGTGAATTTCTTTCTTGGTTTTCTAAGTGGAGTGAAATGTTCAGTTCACTTTTCAAGTTTGCGATTTTCCTCTGTGATTCAGCAAGTTTCTCTGGAAGCAAAGTTTGAAATAATTTAATTTTATATGTTAAGTTGGTCAAACTAGCTATAAACATAAAATCAACAGTTTTCCACCAAACTTGGTCAGGTAAAATCATCACTGGGGAGATATCATTTAAAAATCAAGTTGTCATGGTAATATATAACTAAATAAATGAGGGTATAAAGCACACATTTAGCTTTTAGGCACACCCATCATCACCCAAATGTATATTTTTCATGGCCACAAACTCACTTATTTAATGTATGGTTACACACTTGCTTTTTAGACAATGTTTCCAACTCTTATTTACCACGAAACAAAGATATTTGTACTTGTATTCATTTATTTGAATACACATGAAAAAGCAATCTATTTTGTTTGAGATAAGATAAGATAAGAAAAACACCGGCTTGTAGGCTTATGTAGCCTTTTGCCTGTATGGGTGTGTGTATTTGGTATACACATCAAGTCAGATTTTTGGCATATATTCAATTAAGACTTATGGTCTAATTTCAGTGGGTGGCTGTACCAATGGTCATCCAACCTGTTCTTGAACTGGTCAACACTTTTTGCTTGGATAAAATATTCAGGCAGTTTGTTCCAGGGTGTTTATTGTTCTTGTAGTGAAAATTTATGTCAAAAGGCCAATTCGGAGCTTTGCAAAGTAATACTGTACCAGCTGACTTTAAATGTACATTACTCTTTGTAACTTACAAAATATCAAAGTTATCACACACTCAATTCAAAATAAATCTCAGTGTTACTACTTGAAATATTAATATGACTTACCAAGGAAAAAAGTGTTAATTTTAGCAAGTTCCTTGTCGCAAAATTGGAAGAATGTCTCGTCGAACCTAGCAAAAAAGCGCTGTATGACACCTTCATCAGTACCTGAAACAGACAAATAAAAGACAGAATCAAATCTCAGAAGCAACCATAAAATTATTCCATTTTAGAATACTATAGGCTCGCATAATTTCTCGTCATTTTATTTATTTTCTTAAAATCCCTAAAGATCATACATTATTTCAGAAAATGTGAAGAGTTTATGTGAATATTTATCATTTGGTGGAATTTACATATTTTACACTTTGAATGGCTAATAACTTATCACCACTTGATGAGATATAGCAGATCTTTGGGAAAGTAATATATTTGAGATGGGAAAAATACATTGATAAGTCAATTATATATGTTTGCATGCAGTTTTGGCACCCCCGGGTAAGCTACATAGAACACCCCGACATTTGAACTCGGAATCCTACAAATACTCGGACTTCAGCAAACATGAGGTTTGGGCAAATTAGGTTCAATTCTTATGCCGGGCATAAGAGTAGATCTGTTCTTATGCCGGGCATAACAGAAGATCTGTTATTATGCCCGGCATAAGAGAAGATCTGTTCTTATGCCCGGCATAAGAGAAGATCTGTTATTATGCCCGGCATAAGAGAAGATCTGTTCTTATGCCCGGCATAAGAGAAGATCTGTTCTTATGCCCGGCATAAGAGCAGATCTGTTCTTATGCCCGGCATAAGAGTAGATCTGTTCTTATGCCCGGCATAAGAGTAGATTTGTTCTTATGCCCAGCATAGGAGTAGATCTGTTCTTTAGTCGGCATAAATAGAAGATCTGTCCTTATGCTTTGCAAAAGATAATGAGAGTAAATTTGTTCACTTCAAGTTTACGCGCTCACAAATTTGTTATATATTTTTACCAGTATTGGTCATTATTTCAATGCTCTGATAGATTTTGTACACCAGGCAGTACAGCAGTAAATAACAAAGAAATTTTGTATTTATTTATAACAGTTCACTTTATATTCAAATCATTAATTTGATTTAATCAATATATCACTGTATATGTATTCTTTTGAAGTTAGTATAGATAATTATAATGGTGTTTGAATGAATTTTTAGTCAATTAATTTTTTGCTAAGTTGGTTTGACTTTAATGTATTGTCAGTAGCACTGTGTTATGGAGCTTCAAATGTAATTTCAATTCTCTTTTGACTTGAGGGATCCATAGATCTGTAGATTTGCAGAGCTTTTTCGACAACATTTTACTTGAAGTTGTAATCCAGATGTAACCATTCATATCATGTAGTAGCCATCCTTAGCTCATAGTCATAGGAGGGATTTTAGGCTTATTCATATAAAGTACCTTCCCAAATGATCTCCAAATTGATTGAATTAGATGCTGGAGTCAGGACATCAAATGGTAGATGTAATCAATGTAATTGACTGTACATAGTACAATAATTGGTATGCACATTGTATATACTAGTATACATGCACTGTGTAGCCAGTGTGCAGTACAGCAAAAGTTTCCTTTGTTTATGTTGGTATTACCATTTACCATGGTCCTCAGAATGTAAACACCAATATCGGTCCATCCATGTGAAGAGGGTGTACTAGCCTATTGTCTATAGTCGCTACAGTCACAAAGAACAACATAATGATGGAACAGAACAGTTTAGGCCCAGATCTGCAGAGTCATATGGTGTAGGGAGCCAAGGGGTAAGTACATTTTCAGCAACTGCCTAAATTGCAATACATCTGTTGTGTCTTTTGGCACCTTTCTGCTTTTCCAACATTCTGAAAATGACAAATGACAAACTAATTTTCAGCAATGTACAATATAGGCCTATAGAAAATGTCTGTTCCTATCCCCGAATTCAAAATGAAATCTGTGTTAGGCTATCCTAATCGTCATACAGTATTACTGAGAGACGGAGACTTAATTCATTGTGCTCCAAAGACAGTCATGAATTTATTTTCAGCTTTGAAATTGAATTGACATGATTGAGGATTGATTTACAAATTACATTATTTTAAATATTTTCCACTTCTACACATGCTTATTAATTGTTTGAAATCAAAAACATTCATGAAAACATACCCAGAATTCTGCAACAAATTTGTTCCAAATTACATCAGCCAGTTGATCTTTTGCTTCTTCCATTTTTCTGTGCTGTCTGCTAAATAATTTGACCTTGGTTGCCATGACACATGTTTGTTTATATGTTTGTTTGATGACATCAGATTCTAAGAATTCTCTATCTTGAACTTTCTCTGCTTGTCATATGCTTGGTTGCCATGACACAAGAAGATTTGTTTACATTGACCTGGCTTTGACCCTGTTTGTTTGATGAGTCATAATTCATAATTTAGCAGAAGACATAATCTAGGCTCACACATGCACTGACAGACTCACAGCCTTGACAGAAAATCTTTGTTGGAAAAGTGACCTAGGCAATTGAATACTTGTAGATCTTTCTTTGGCAGATTGATATGTAAGTAAATGTATATTACTGAAATAATGTTCATTATTTATAAATGCTCAAATAATTTTAAATGAAATTCATAGAAAACAGAGAGATGAAATGTGAATGTTTCACCATTTTTTCTCAAATGGAACAAGTGACTTGACTGATGATTTCAGATTTGACTTTGACTTGTCATTGAGTTTTTTCTAAATATGAGATGATGTTCATTAGTTTATTGAGTTCAATACAAATGTGGGTTTATTTCTAGGGGGAGTAGGTGGTAAAGCAAGAGTTAATAATTGGTCATATTTATTTTTTTCTCATTGTAAATACTTTTTCCTCTAAAGGACGATTCTCGGTTTGGAGAACAGTCTCCTGGGCTTATAATTTTTTTAATGAAAAATATAGAAACATTACCCAAATTAAACTATGAATATTCAAAAGAGGACATTTAAATCTACAAGATGTAAAATTAACAAATTGGTCTGAAGCAGGGATAACGTTCAATTGACCGATTCAATAAAATACAAGTCTCGATTTGGGGAAAGAAGTACATCAGTGTACTGCGCTAATATTTTTTTGCGAAAAATCTAGAAATATTACCCAAATTAAATTATGACTATTCAAAAGAAGACATTCAAATCTATATTATGTAAAAAAATCAAATTTGTCCGAAGCAGGGATAATGCTCATTTAGATTGATGAACTTCGTTCTCCAAACCGAGAATCATCCTTTGAAAGTGTAGGGCTATGTAATGAGTCTACATTAGGAGAAATGGTCCTATCACCGTACGGGTAGGGGAAATGGTCCTAATTATGGCACAATTGTCCTAAATAGCTACAATATGCACCCACCATCTTTTAAACCAGTGTTACGAAAAACAGTTCAACACCATTACTCCAAATCTTCATGATTTATTCAATTTAAAGGAGTTATAACCAAATGCCATAAGGCCATGAGAAGTAGATTCTTTGTTTTGCGTCCTGGCAAAATCCAAATCATGCAAGGGTGCAAGGAAAACAAACACAAACTCAAGAAAAAACACAAACTTGTTTGCTGGGAAATGTATACATTTTATGGGCATAAAAAGGAATGGCATACCAATTTGCAGTGATTACAAACACATATCTATACATTTTATACAATATATTTAAACATAGCTATTATTCAAGGGTAAAAAATAAGAAAATTGCACAATGAGAGCCAAAGTAGTCAATAACACCGTCAATTTTGACATGCATCAAATTATCGTCCATTTCGTCTGATTCTGATTGAACGAAATGCGATGGTACTTTCAGACCCTTGTGATTGCTATTTGGATGTGTTTGTTTTTTTCTGATTTACTCACAATCGTGCAAGCAATTGGATGCAAAACAAAGAATCTACTTCTTATGGCCTTATACTGACGCACATTGTAAATTTTTCCTGCGCTAATGTGTATATCTGCGTGTTACCTTTAGAGACAATGCAAACGCAACTAAATTGATAGATAAATTAACGATCAAACATATACTCCTCAAAAAAAGTTAAGGACCGGTCTTTTTCCTCATAGGTTTTCCTACATGTTAAACCCCATGTCTGTTTGAACTCTTATTTTCAAAGCCCGAAACGAAAGAAAAACTGATAATGTAAATGGATATGTAGCTTGACTCTATTATCTATATTTCAGAAAATTTTAAATTCAATCTCCGTTTCAATATGTCAAAAATTGATGTCAAATTTGAGGAATTTAATAAAAATGGCAGGACCAATGGGTGTAAACCAATTGGAAGGAGTTGGGTTGCCAAGCCAAAAGTCATATGAGAAAATATCCATCCATACAATTGCTCTCAAAAATAAAATTTAAATAGACAATTGAATTTGCTAACTTGTCCACAACAAAAATTGATTTGTTTCTCCAGGTTTTACAAAGTTATGAATCTCAAAAGTCAAAATCATTTCTCAATAAACCTCCCATTGAAATAACACAGGGGTCAAAAATGAGTTGTCAAAAATACTGTAAAACGGGTATTGTTAGCGAGGGGTAATTGTTAGCGATTGTTAGCGATTGCTATAGTTTCGCTAAAAATTCAATTCGCTAAAATAAACCGGGGTTAAAATAAACCGGGCGCTAAAATTTGCAAATTCCTAAAATTCGCTAAAATTTCCCGCGCTAAAACCCCCTTATATTGAAAAATTGCTAAAATTTCCCAGTGTCAAAATTACCCGTTTTACAGTATATTGGCTGTTGTACATGCATTCTTTGAAAAATCACTCTCTCAATAATGTTTTCAGACTTATTATAAACTTTATTCTAAGACAATTTCAATTAACTTTATTTTACAAAACTCCCCTTGTTTCTTGAAATGGACTGATCCAGTTGACTCGCCTGGAGCCGCCATATTGTTTTTATACGGGAAGCTTATCGGAACCCTTTAACACCAAACATGCAGAAAGTAAAACAATTCAATTGTCTACTCAGAAATAATCTTTAATAAATGTTTTACCAAATAAATATCAAAAAATCTGATTTGCTCCTAACCCACCATTTCCCTATAGTTAACATGGGTTCTGCCATTTTAAAAAATTCTTCAACTTTGACATCAATTTTTGACATATTGTAATTACCCAAATGCGAGTAAGTAG